CCATAGGAGGCCGACTTGGGGAGAATTTCACGAGGAAACCGATGAAACCACTTTCAGAACGTCAAAGTTTTGTATAAACGGAGTTATAAGCTTTTAAAGTTTCCAAATTTTGTCCGACCTCTCCTATTGGTTTGATCTACTGTGCGCCGCACGACAATCAACATCGTTTGTTCCCGGGTCAAGCTTTGCTCGTAGTTGACCTGCTCATCAGATAGAGCGATTTCAACCGGAAAGTCCGGGTCAATTTAGATGATTTTAGAATGAGGAGGGCATGAGAGCTCCGCCGGTGGCTCGATCTATGGCGGAATTCTTTGTTCCCCTGACGAAAAACCGTAACTCCATTCGAACCCTGGTTAAGTCGATCGTATATGTTGAAGGTCGCTGCCGCGCTGTACTCCGGTGTAAAGGGTGCATACTATAAAAATAGACGAACATCAAAAAAATTACGAAATGTCACATTTCAGCGTAAATTAACGAGTAGGCACGAGACGAGAAGTCTGGTCAAAGTCACGGCCGGGGAAGTCGTTTGAATATTCAATTAGAACAAATTCATTATACCTGCAAAGCGGTGTGCTATGGGCAGATGATAGGGCACTAGGCCCTATATAAACGCGCTGGGTTTATGAGAGTGATACTTAAAGGAAACGCTTGCAGGTTTCTCGGGCAATTTTGAAAGAGAAGAAAAAAAATCCTGGTCTTATCTTGATTTTTTGGGCCAGATTGAAATTGTTCCCCGACTTTTTTCGCGGAAAAATCTCATACATACAATATTCTATCCTAACCCTAAATTAGATGCAAGTTAAGATGCTCTTGAAAGTTTTTATTAAGACCTGTCTCACTGCTTACCGATCTAATATGACCCAGACACCGAAGGTATATATTAACCCTACGCTCGCTCGTTAGCAAAAAATTCAATTGTAAGAGAGCGAAAATTGAGAGGTTGCATCGAAGATATCTCGGTTTCCTTTGTCGATTCTAAGTCAGCGAAAAAGGCCCCTGACTTTGCCTGATTTTCAAGACGCTTTTTCGTGTTGATTATTCCACGTTTCTCCAAACTATTGGGAATCCTGGGTCTACTAGAAAATTCTTAACTTTCTCAATTTTTTTACCTTGATAGAACTAGGATAAAACGCCTGCTAGCCCAAACATGTTGTCCTCGCTATAAAATGTACGATCAACTCTCGGTAGCGTAAGAAATATAGAGCTTTTAGGGCGTAGAAATTCCAGATAATAGCTATCCCGCCTGGCCGTTGATGCATTGCACCGGTTTTATCTTCCACCAAAAAGGTCGCTTTTTGCATGGGCACACTGTAATTTCGTTCGTTTTCCTTGCTTGTTCTTCTCTACACTTAAATTAAGAAAGTACAACATTTCGCCGATTTGAAGCTTAAACCAATGGTACTGAATTTACGTGCGTTACGAACGACTGAAAGACTTAACTTTGTCCTCGCCGCACAGTGGATCGAGTCTATCAGAGAGGTCGGACAAGACATTTTTGACAAAAATTTCAAATTTTGATGTTAAATTCGTCAAATTTTAAACTTTAAGGGGTGCCTAAGGAAGAAAATTTCGCGAGGAAACCAATGGAACCACTTTTAAAATCCCAAAGTTTTGTATAAACGGAATTATAAGCTTCTAAAGTTTACAAATTTTGTCCGACCTCTTCCATCGACTCGATCCACCGTGCGCCGTCTTTCAATGCCATCTATACCAAAAAAAGCCTCCGGAGATTCAGAAAATGGTGCTATACGTATAGATACAAGCAAGCGTTCTCGAGTTACGACCATAAAACCGATTTTGGGGCACCCCCCCCCCCATAAAACCCAAAGCCGTCACGCTGTCGATGAGGACTTTCCTTTTGGGGACTCAATGGGGTCATAAGGACTCACAATGCCAAAAATCAGCTTGTTATTAACTTTTTCCTTAAACTTCCGTAGAATTCCTAGACTGGACTGGGAAAAAAAACACATTGTATCTACAGTCCAGACTCTTGAAACATTGACAAGAAAAATGACACTTGATTCAATTAGATTTAAGCTTAAATCAATCAAAAGGAAATCCGCTCAAATAAAGAGGCTTGGTTCTTGATTTAAGCTTAAATCTGATTGAATCAAGAGTATTTTTCCTTGTCGGTGTTTTTGAGAGTCTGGACTCTAGATCCTATGTGTTTTTTTTTCCAGTGTACGAGAAGGATAAGTGGTAGGTAGAAAATCTACGTGACGAAATTTTCGGCGAGATCCTCACGTTAGTCGCTATCACGCATCCCGCCAACAGACCAACTCGCATCGAATAAGCCTTCAAGTGTTCGCGTGACAAAACGTTTTACGATCAGGGACCAGCGCGAGGAGACTCAGCTCAGCTGACATGCAGCATTCATGATGATGAGACTTGATGAATGTCAAACTTCGTAATCTTATTGTTGATTTCGAAATGGCAGTGCACTCGAGCAGAATTATTCATAGCAGCCCTGCTCCCTTGCGCTGCTTCGCCGTGCTGAGGAAAAACGCCTTATGAGCCTTTAGGCGTTGCCAAATCTCCTCTCAGAAAATATCTATTTTCGAAGAAAGTTATGAATATTTCTCCTTAAAATTTCCACAAGTTTTAGCTCAAGTTACGAACAAAATTCTCGGAAAAATCCGAAGAAAAATATTTACGAATTTTTCCGAAAATACGTGATTTTTCGAAGGAAATTTGGCAACGTCTGAAGGCTCATACGGTGTCCTTCCTTAGCACGGCAGTGCTGCTCTCTGACTAGACGCAGGCTCTAAAACCGAGCAACATTTGAACGACACTACCTTCCGAGCATACGTTTGCGCCTAAATGATCCAATAAATACGTTTTAATTTTAATTTTTTTCATTATGATCCACCCTCGTAACGCACGGTCAGTTGTTGGTGCCCAAAATAAACCGAGGTTTGAAAGTACAGTGCTCCCATTTCCCCGGACTAGTTACAAAGTCCCGAACTTCTGAGATTTCCCTGAATTTTTCCTGAAATTCCCGAAAAATTCCGGAGCTTTTGCATTTTCCGGAACTTTCTCCGAAAATATGAAAAAATCTAAAAGAAATCCCACAGCTTTGACGGACATGGATTGGGAGATATTGGAACAAAAAAGACGGACATGGAATGAGAGCACTATTTAAGTGCCTCTCACACCAAGATTTTGTACTGTTTCCCGACATTATACCAAGTGCAGAATGCCGTATGAGCCTTTAGACGTTGCCAAATTGCCTTTGATTAAATTTGAGATTTCAGGGTAATATGGGAACATTTTTCTTCGAACTGTTTGGGGAATTTAGTTTGCAATCAGGTCTAAATTATCTGAGAAATTCAAGCGGAAATATCCGTAACACTCCCCAAAAATAAGCATTATATCAAAGGATATTTGGCAACTCTCAAATGATTATACGGCGTTTCATCTTGACATGGCAGAGTAGGATCTCGATCACTCTAAGTGATGGGAACCGGAACACTTTTTTGCCTCACTCTTACACTTGAAAGTTCACCGTTGGGACATGATTGTTAAATTTTAGACAGGTTTTTCTTGAAATCACAAAAATTTCACTGGATTCCTTCCTCCATGACACCTTTAAATTACTTATGAATTATGTCAGCATCTTTATCACTTCATTTTGTATGTTTTGATTACCTATTTAAGACTCGTCAAACAATTTGACTCATCTTTGAATCAATGTAGGTTCTTATCATACGGATGGTATAAAATGTAAACAAACAGCGCAGACATTATATCAATGGTGAAAATTCTAAACCGCATACTTTGCTTTGCGATGTTGCAGACTTTCTGTTCTAGGTAAGAGGTAGGTACTTCATTTTTTGAAAGGAGAGCTTCTCAACGTCAATTTTAAAGAACTTTCAAGATTTTTCTTCTCTGTGCAAAGCAAATTCTGAAAAAACTTCAAGGAATGATGTCGATTTGTTCTCCTTAAAAATAACAATAGAAGCAGAGATTTCTAGACACCGCTAGCAAGCGAAGTGGTTAGGGAGTTTTACCATTGATATACATATATGTCAGTACATTCTGTACATTCAAAAGGTAACAACTGTTATTTACTTCCAAAATTTTAGTATTTCTATTTGACACTAGATCATATACAATGCTGGAAAAAATAATCATTAGCAACATAAGATGAAAAAAATTAACATGCTGCCAGCGGATATTATTTTCGAATAAAATAAACAAAAGACAGGAATGATGCGGGCATTGGCAACTGAAAAGTCTCAAGATAATTCCTCAGTGCTACTTGAACTGCAGCTGAATTAGATGTTTCCGATGGTATTTATCATAATAAAGTCTGCAGCTGAATGATAGAACAGGTTCATTATGATGTTATTTAGTATTCACCTAATTGCCGTCTAAGTAATGTGATAGTGTCCACACTTGACACTGTCACCAACATTTTGATACAATTTCATGTCATTCCAATATTCTTAAATTTGCTATATGTCCACGACACTAACTAGATGCTTGATCCAGGTCAAAAGATGAAATGACTTCATCTGCTAACCCTATCTGCTCCTGTCACACATTACTGTATGTGCCTCACAGCACAGCAGTCTCTCTTCGATATTAGTTCAGCAACTTCAGGGACAAAGATACCATAATGATAATTGATTCAAAGAGGTGCTATTAATATACAGAAAAGAAGATCGTGCGAGATAACTTGAGTTCGAACTTCTAGGAAAGTTAAGAAGTGCATACTGATCTGACTGTTCATTGATTGGGATTTGATTTGTTGTTTGCGCATTCTATTTTAATACTGGACTGCATTCAATAGAATTCATTGCATGACCGAGTGCATTCTAACAAAGCCAGACGCAGACTGTGAGATGAATTATCCTTTAAAATACATGATTCCTGCAGCGGAAACTAAGGTCCTGGCGTTTGATTAGGACATGCAACTTTGACACTCTGACTCACATGGATGATGATTATCATAGGTATATATAATAAATATGCATTTGAACTTAGAAAAAACAAACCTGATTAACATGGGGCAGCTCCTGGCATCGTCGTGAGAACAATGGAAAGGAAAGGTCAATTTCCCTGAAGACTTGGAACACACATTGGAACGGATAATTCTTACGTACAACTATTTCTTCCGTCTGCTGAGAAGAAAGACGATCAGTCAAAGCGAGTTCATGAAGTGTCAACACGAAAACACGTAGTCAAAACTAAAACCGAAAGAAGAAAAAATTGGAGCACGTTACTGATCTCGAAACGCAATGACGAGCTTCGAAGACACGGGGAATCACGGTGCTTTTCGACAGAAAGAATATCGAGGATATGGGATCGTGCTAAATGACATCAAAACAAAAGAGAGGGACACGTTATGCTCCTCAAACAACTCGAAACCCTAAACCACCGCAAATCTCTCCGCACAAATTGGTCGCTCGCAGAACTGGCTGAGTACTGAAATGCAAACGCTTACATTACATACATTGCTCGTATCACTCGTTTATTATTATCAACTCCGCACTTCCCAGCTCACGCACGCACTAGATTGAAGAACTGCGCAATCAGCTGTGCGCAACCCGACCATGTTATTATTATTGGTTCTAGCTGAGCTCCCTAGACAGCGCCACATGACAGAGATAGTCTGACGGCCAGTACTTAAAACGCCCGTAATACATAGAGTATGCAACCGGGAGTTCATAGACTGCGTTGGCAGAACAGAAACTAATGGAGTTGCATCTTGCCTTCCATAAAAAAGTGTTATTCAAAGGGGGAACGGTGGCGCAGCTTCTTTAGACAATTTCAGGGAATTCGCCTTACATCACAGAACATTTTCTGAAATTCTCAGAAGAATATATGCTACCGTTCTCCTGTTTATCAAATAAATTATCCGATGCAACTTGGCCTTTCTGCACGATGCGGTCCACATTAAAATTAAGCCGTCCAGCTTAGATCTGCTCGAAAGCATTATTCCATATCTGTTCACTGTTCAGTCCTCTTTTGACGAGCTGTTCTCTAAAACTAATTTTACAGCGTTGTCCATTATGGCAATGAAAGACCAAGAATGCTGTTTGTGGAGTCCAAGACTCGGTATGATAGTGTGACATGGGGAACAGAGAAATTTTTTGCAACGCAAATTGCCGCTCATCTTACTGCCAATTTTTCTGGAGACGCTTTAACTGTGCACTCGGCACAAATTAAGGGTTTTTTTCTTTTTACTGGGGGTCTTAAGAGGCTGCATTAGTTTTTTGACTAAGAAAATGTATATTACGTCCCATAATATTTTCAGGGGCTCAGCCAGTAACTAAGTAATGGGACAAAGAACTCTTTTAAGTTTTGAGTTATTTTTTTTTTTTTTTTTTTTTAAATAAATTGGCCTTCTTAACTTCTAGGCGTGTCAATGTATCCTGAGTCTTTAACCTGAAGTCAGCATCCCTATCGAAGGTCTTATCAGTCACACTTAAAAAGCATATTAGTCAAATTAAGAATTTGTCCTTTTATGAGGGAAATTTTTCCTACAAATCTACGAGAGCTCCGTAGCCTTCAGAATTACCTACAGCCCCCCACACCTATCTCTTGAGGAACCAATTATTTTACCTACTACTCTGCCTACCATAGGTGTTGAAGCCCTTCAAATTTGACCTTGCGGTTTCTTTTTTATAACATACCCACTCTTCACTGACTTCAAAGGGGTCCAACACTTTCAGAGGGGCTGAAGGTTTCCTACATACCTATCAATTTTAGCCCATATCATGCGAATTTTTCGATGAAAAGTCGTGTTGGACATTACTGAAACTAAAAACCTATGATATAATTCAAACTATCATCAAAACTAGGAACTCTCTAGTTTTTGTCATTTTTGCACACGAACAGCATACAAAATAATTTCCTCCAAAGATAAGAAAACCAGTCCACACAATAATGAAGCTGAGGCATTAGGTACCTTTGAAGCAAGAGAGACAAGAAATAATAGTATGCATGATACAGTCGTGCTTTTGGTGATCTTTCAAATGATATCAGTAGATTTTATATTCAATAAATTGTAGGTACCATCTTTCTGGGTTTGAAAACCCTAAAAAAAGGGGGCGAAGAGTGAGTAAAAATCCCTGTCAGAATTTGCACTTTCATGGATTGCTGGAAACAAGGATGCAAAAATAAGAATTCCTTGATTTCGGTGTTAGTACAATTTGCATTACAGAGAATTCAATCTGATTTTACTGCAACCACAAGTACACAACATTATGGAGATGATGCAGATTTTATTTATCATGCTTGTCCGAGGAGAAATTGGGCTTATAATTTACAACAGGTGCCCTGCAGGTATCTGAGTTATAGAAGGAGATTTCCGTCTGATAATTCCTTCTGATTTTCCTTAAATCAGAAAGAAAATGAATTGTAGCAACTAAATGTGACCATCCTCAAAAAGGGGGACTTTTGTAGGTGGGACAATTACTTCAAGGAGAGCGATTTTCGGACCAGTCCAATTGAAGAATCGGCATTTTATTTTTTTATGAAAAGCACTGACTAACGTCCTGAAGAAGTGTTTGCCGGCATTCAGTTCAATGATATGCCAGAAGGAGGCAAAATAAGCCAAAACTCAACGTTTCTGATCATTTCTTGAACCAGAAAATAAATATTTTCCTTTGCGGTGGAACCAATTATTAAATATGCAATTTCATACCCTATGGATAAATTCTTTTCCCAATGAGTGGTCACTTGTGAATTTCTAAGAGATTTTAAATAAACATTCGTTACAACTGTATTCCTTATGACTTCTCTGAATCAAAATTCACCTGAAAATTTTTGTTTATATTTGGTTCTGTTTTAAAGAAACGCAAATTAACACCCTGCGATTTGAAATTACGTAGAATGAGAATGTGTGTACCAAAGAAAAAGCAAAGAAAATTTCAAGCCACAGTGCTGGTTGTTTTCCTTCAAGAAAACGAAATATGCAAAGAAATTTTGAAAGAGAAGAAAATAAAATTTTGAATAGGAAATCAGTCGTTGATGAAAAGTTTATCTAGCAAATGAGAAGATCGATACTTAAGCTTGCTTTTGCTTGGATCAAAATCTTTCCAACTGTGCATATGAGTAAAAAAGCAACAAAAAGATAACGGAGGACATTTTATACACAAATAAGTATATACAATTATTTTAATATAGCTACATATAGAAAGAAAATATTTACAAAGGTATGAAAAGTTATAAAACAAGCTTTCAATTGATATTTTCAACTTCTTTTTTTTCATGCATTTTTTTAAAATTTTATATTATAATAATCATTTTAAATTAAAATCTTCTGGTGTTTTTACATAAAAGCAAGGTGGGGTTGAAAAGAAAATTTAGGAAGAACTTTCTCTCTGATGAGAATGAGTTACAAATTTTCTGAGTTTGATAACACAATATATATCTCGAGTTTCGAAAAATTCAAAGACACATTTTCAGAGAATTTGATTAAAAAGAGGCTTCTTTGACACGAAATGTTTCTAAGAATGTGAAATATTTTCCACATTATGAGGCAGATCAATAATATGTCCATTATGAGGAAACATCAGAAAAATGGCTACACTTCAAAGGAAAGTATGGGGCAAAATGACTCTGGTACGCAAGTACTTGTCATAGCGTAGCATTTACAAAACCCTTAATAACTTCAGATCTTTCCATGGCAGAGACACCCTTTTTGGATAAAACACTCTTGATTATCCTCCTGGCTTTCGTACAAAGAAATGGGTATATACCTCAGAATAAACAATTGTTTGAGAAGCATAAATAATGGGGGAAAAAGCGCGGACTGAAAATCTTCGAAAATGTTGCTGAGTATGAATCTTATGAATTGGAAAAAATCTGATTGTGAGTTTGCATTGTAACAGGAAAAATCCATGAAACTAAGAACCACTTTCCCTCAAACTGAATTAAATCCTACAACATCAGAACGGCACTGTTTCATTTGCTCTATACATTTTTTTATGGTCTAGGACTTTGAATGATGAGAGAAACCATATTCTAGCCCAATGATCAATGCAATCTGAAACTAAAATTGAGGGAAAGAACGACGGAAGCTTTTGTTAATTCATCATCAATGATGAAAATGAGCTTAAAACTTGCACTTTAGAGTCATAACGAAAACTTTTGGACACAAGTTTTTCCAAAATAGCTGACTACATGTTGAGTAATTGCTGTTTATTTGAACGAATAGACGGTTCAGCAAATTTCAAAGTTTCATTACAGTGGCAACATTGTCACAATTCAAATTTTTCATTAGATACTTCCAAGGTTACTTGAATCCTTGATTCATTGAGGGAATGAGGGTTACAACAACTTAAAAGTATTTCAAAAGTTGTCGAGGAAGTATACTGCCTACATAACGCGTTCAATTCATAATTTAGGAACAGAAATGCTTTGTTGTAATGAAATAGACAACTTAGTGGTTTTTCAACTAACAATAATTCCACAAGAGAACTACGATAGAGATAGAAAAATTTTCTGTCCGACTGTTCCTCTCTCAGGACATCAGAAAAAGGATTCTTGGTTACTCCACTGAGAGATTTTTTAAATTGTGCAAGAGCACTAGTGTTTCTTAGGCGACCCTATGTCCTTTGTTTCTTCTGAAGGAAATTCGAATGAGCAAATGAAATTTATCGTACTTTTTGGTAACCTAGAAAAGTGTGTGGTAGTCAGAATTATAATTTAAAGTACCACTCAATTCTTTTAAATGATTTACAATCTTAACAGTCTAATCACTACAAATCAGATTAAATATAATTATCGCAGTTTTAAAAGCACCTTAAAACATAAAAAATTTCAACATTGGGATGATACTGTACAGCTACTACAAAAAGAAAATGAATGAATAAATAATAAAATAAATCAAGTAATACTATTACTATAGATGGCCTGCTGGGTGTTTGATCCTTTAATGGTAGCAAAATGGAACGACCAAGAAATGGTAAAGAACAAAAATTGTTCATGAGGATGGATTCCCTGCCTCCTAAATCTCAACATATTTGTTTCTTTTCCTAATCCGCCATTAACATGCCAGGTGACCGAGAGGGATAAGCCACTCATCTGACCACACAAAAACTTTAGAGTCAACAAATCTTCAGCATCAAGAATTGAAGTTGAAGAATAATTTTTTTTTTCTGTAAAATCTAATTTGTTTATTTGAAGAGCTACCACTTATGTCGTCAGTTGCAGAGCAAGAATATTCAATCAAACCGTGTGCAACTGATGGTACTACAGAAACTCTGACTATAGACTCTCACAACATAATTGGTTAATTTAAGGCACCAAAAACTGAGGAAAGAACATAATTGATTCAGCTAACACTTCAGAAATCTATACGTTCTTAATTAGCATGAAACATATATGGTAATAGTGATAAACTAATCTTCAAATAAAAAAATAGACTTGATAAACCTCTCCACTCTGAACTTGCAAACATCACAGAATCTGAATTTTAGTGAAAAAAGAGATTTTTGAGACTATATCATTTCCTGATGAAGAACATTTCAATATTAAAAATACCTTTTCTTAAAGAATCAATCATTTTAATGGAACAAATAGGAACTGTTCGTGAGACCTCTTCTAAAATTCAAACAGGTAAGAGAAAAAAGGTTTTTTTCACACTATCTTGTACGGTCAATGCAATGCCTATAATGCAATGAAATGTATCTTGCAATGCCTGTGAGTCAAAAATAGATAACTGAAGGGAAAAAATAATACTGTTAGGGCCACTGACGTAATTACAAATTATGAAAAAAAAAACTTTGGTTGACCAGGACACAGAATGCCACACAAGGTCTGCCACTATTACTGGATTCAACTTTTTTAAAGGGAACTCGAGTTTTATTTTGAACAAAGGAATTACCTAAAATATCAGTAAATATTTTATAAATGACACATTTTAAGATAACTTCAAATATGGCATCATAGTTGATGACATCACTGTTTATTCTTAGGGTAACAGACGCACATTAATCACATTATGTTCATGCATTCTGCAATATTACGAATGCGATATATTTATGTAAAAAAGATGACCTGAAAGGAACAAAAACTGAAACATCGATAATGAAGTCTTTCACAAACTCACTTTGGTGTGAAGCAGGCTTCATAATAATACCAAAGAAAATTCTTGCTAATAGTTCTTTTTAGTTGAAAGATTTCAACTCATGAAATCTGTGACTACACATTATTGGTGGGAAAGTCATTTCACTTTTGTGCAAAAATTAAGCTTTGCTAAGAAAATACACAATCCGGAGGCAGAGGAATCTTTTCATATGAAATTAAAATAAAAATTTCAAGGGCGTTCCACAGAATACTAAAAGACAAATTGGAATGAGATCCATTGATGTAAGGCAACAATTTAACAAGAATAAAAAATGAGAATACATCATATTCACATGATTAAAAATTAAAAGAAAAAAAAAACATCAAGGGACGTCAACTCTTTCTTTTACCTGGGAATAAACAGGTAGTGTGATAAAAATTGTTTTCCCTGACTCCTTAATTTAATCAGATGCAACCAGAATATCGGTGCTACTGAACTCCGGCTCTACAACTTGTTGCTCTTCTGCAGTAAGGGCATATCTCGATTACCTCGTGAGCCCCAGAAAGCATGAATTTATATGTGAAACAGGGCTTACGTAGAAATTGACATACGCCCTTATGTCAGAGGGGCACCGATAACAGTGAGCTTAAGCAGAGATAGAATCAGTTAAATGATGCCGCAGTATTTCTGATGGGTGTTGTAATGTTTGAGATGAGGTTGCTTGAACATCGTTTTCACTAGGTCGCATGTTTAAAGTCTGATCAGATGTTTCCAAACCTAGTTGTGGTTGCTGCTGCTGCTGCTGTTGTTGTTGTTGCTGCTGCTGCTGTTGTTGTTGTTGCTGCTGTTGTTGTTGCTGTTGCTGCTGCTGCTGTTGTTGACTTTGTGGCTGGTTCATATGCTGTCTCTCATGAAGAGAAAGATGGTTCTTCTGAAGAAAAGCTTTGCCACATTTAGCACAAGCAAACGGTTTCTCTTTACACGTCCTGTCTGGATATTTGTGTCGATGTTGAATAAGTCCATGTTTTTGAGTAAAACCTCTCCCACAATCCTCACAAATGTGGCTTTTCTTGGACATGACTGCTGCAGCAGATGTTGCAGCCACTGTAGCTGTTTGCTTTAGTGTTGCTGCCAGACTACAAATATCTGACAGAAAACTATGATCACCTATGTGTAACCTCAAATGCAATGCAAGTCCTTCTGAGCTTGTGAAGGCTTCACCGCATTCCCTGGAAAGTGAAAAAAGGAATACCAATTAATAACTGACAACCCATTAACATAAAGAACCAAGAGGAGTCTGGACATCAAAATCTCATTGACTAAATTGTTTCGTTATCTGAGCTGTGCTGAGCAACTGAGCACTTGTCATGCTTTCATTTAAGATGATAATAATTAAAATCTAAGGCGGAGCCATCCTGACCTCCCCTTGTTGATGGTTTTTTTATAGTTTGGTACACCTGTCACAAGTAATATTTGTCTATCACGTGCGTGAATGATTGCTTTGTTATCAGAATAACAAAGCAATCATTCACGCATTGCACTTTTTTGCTGGCATAGCATTTCTCTGAGTATCATCTCTATAATCGTCTCTTGTCTAAAATAGATTGTATTCTCACAGGGAATGCTTCAAGAAATTTTTAATTTTTTTAATCCAGATGTTAATGTTTTTTGTATCCTTATCCAGTAAAAATAGTACATAAGAAATCATTTTCTCTTCTTTATATTCTTTTACGACTTTTCAAGAAGACAACACTGGTAAGAAAAATTGTTCTAGATGGTTAAATTTTTCTTAAACTAGTCTTCAGAGGGGTATTATTTATATGCATTTCAAAGTTAATATGGGAAGCAATGTCAGGCTGAAGAAAAGGGGGAGAACTAAGTAATTTATTGAAAAACTGCTTTTCTTGCTCTTACTGCTGGAGGAAAAAATTCTGACATGCAAGGGAGTTAACTTCATTGATAAATCAATAAAATAAGGAAATTGTGGGATGTTGCAAGTCGCTAACTTTAAGAGCATAGTTGCTGCTAGATTATGAGTTATGCTATGTGTCTGGAATTGCATCCAACTGCAGCTACACACAAAGTTTTGTGCAAATTCTGATCTCATGTTTTAGTACATAGAGAGGGCAAAGCATGCTCTTGGAGAGAAAGGAACATTGTTTTCAAATCAATATCTCACCTGCAAACTTTCGTAGCGGTGGGTGGAGGATCGAACCGTTGCGGTGACGGCAAAGTTGCAATATTCAAGGTTGATGCTTGAACCCCACAAGTTCGGACATGTACCAGGAGGGTTCTTTTCTGCAGAAATTCTTTTCCACAGTTGGGACAAGAATCCGGAATGCGCCCATGCCTCCGCTCGTGATTAACAAGCTCAAACTTGCGGAAGAACCCTGCCCCACAGTCAGAGCAAACAAAGGGTCTTGTGCCACCATGAAACCTTGAATGCATAATGAAATGCTCCTCTCTGGAGAATGATTCACCACAAATCTGTAAAATAGAAGCATTAGAAGAGAGTGGAAAAGACAGAGCACAAATTAGGAACTAAGAGCTTCGAATCAAATTCCTAGAAAATCAAAAGAATTCAAGTACCTTATAATACTCTTACTAGCCGCAGGAATCATTAGCGAACCATAGGAGCTTCCTATTAAAAATAATTACCTTAAAAAAAACCTCAAAAAAACTATATTTCAAGGCAACAAGAATTATTTTTCTTCTTATGTGTACATTCTTACTTTTATTATGTTGATAAATGCTTACATGGTTGTCTTATTTAAGTGCTCCTATTCTCTCTTTCTATACACATAGTCATAAGAAAAATTCTGACTAAAAGAAATTTACTCCAAAAAGGACAAAGAAAGAATATTTTTCCAAAATCAAAAGAGGTACTATTAGGAACCTCCGGAGGGAAGCCAGAGGCGTGCTCTACATGAAAAATTACCTGGCATGAATATGGCCTTTCACCAGAATGGAACTTAATGTGTGTGGTCAGATGCCTCTTTTGAGGAAATCTTTGCCCACATTCTGGACATTCAAAAGGCCTATCCCGACTATGGACTCTTTCATGGCATACCTGAAAAGAAAAGGATTCGATTAGGAAGTAGAAAAGGTCAAAGAGAGAGGTAAAAATGAATTTCGTGATTCAGTGCATAATATGTTCAAACAGCCTAACAGCAAATTCTAATCTCCTGAAGATACTTATATCGATGGGCTAAAAGTTTTCTCTTGCTAAACAGGTAAAATTTTCTTAGAACTGCAAGACAGCCTTGATCAATCGTTTCAAAAAAAGGAAAAAAATTTTGGAAATTTTCCAACTTCCCGCAAAATCTTTTTTGAAGGAATTCCTGGTTAGGAAAAAAGAATGCATATTTGCTTTACAAACGTTTGTCGGGACATACAAAATTTCCTCTCTAATTTAAAAAAGCAGTATTTCAGTAAAAAGTGCAATGACATTTTTTTGTGCTTCATGGGGTGTGTCTAAGTGACTGAAACTGATAATTTCACAAGCATAGACTGGAATTTGAATTGCCATGAGCTTCGAAGAAAATCGCTAGCTTTCAAATAAGGCCTCGAAAGAAAAAATGATTTAGATAAAAATTTAACAGGATTTTATGTTTCTTCAAGTGTGTGTTGGAGGGATTCTTGTCATTTTTCTTGAGTGTTTTCCCCTCCTTCATTAACAGTTGGTGATCCATGCATTCAACTTTCCTGGCAAAAATCATCTTAAAATTGATTAAAAGAGGGGTAATATTGCAGTGAACGTCACAAGTATGGATCACAAACTGTAAATTGAAAAGGAGGAAAAATACTCGGAAAAGCTCAACCTGAAGAAAAACTACTAAGGCTCAAAACAACTTTAAAAAAATTGTACCTCAACAAATTGTAATCTAAATGACCTCCTAAGCCCATTCACCTCATTTGATGAGTATACTTGTCAGCACGCGCGGGGGACATATTTCAATTGGCGAGTTAATTCACAGCATCTATCGGCGTTGCTAGGCGATTTTTTGGGCAGTGTTTTGTCACTTTTCCCATAGATGGCGTCTCAAGCGCCGGAACGTCGCAAATGGCGTGAATTCACTCGTCAGCTAAGATAATGTTCTAGGCGCCCGCTGACAAGTAAACTTGTCATGTGAGGCAAATGGGTTAAGATCTTTATATACAACTAATAATTCGCTTCCAAGCCTCCTGTAAATCGCATTTCAATCGGTGAAATAGTTTCCTTGAAAGAGTCAGTCCATGGCACCTGATTGAATGGTTTTGATTGGAATGCTAAGAATGCTTACAGAACATGCGGGTTTAGGAAATCAAGCCTGCAAGTGATGATTAGAGGCAAGATATTTGAAGTAAGAAATACAAACCAGATGATGTTTGAGAGTGAATGATTTGTTACATTCTGCACACTTGTACGGCCGATCAGAAGTATGAAGCAGAAGGTGGGTGCTTAAACAATGTTTCAAGGCGAATGTTTTACCACATTCTGGACAACTATGAGGACGCTCTCCTGTATGAGTTCGCAAATGGGTTGTAAGATGATGCTTCATTAAAAATGTTTTGCCGCACTCCCCACAACTATGTGGTCTAGCTTTCAACGTTGGTTTAGCTACTGCAGTAATAGTCTGCTGAGGCTGTTGAACATGATTTGAGGAATGGTTGGCATCAGAGATATTGCTGTTCAAGTGAGCTACATCTGCCGCAGATTGATTTGACATAGGATCCTGCTGTTGCTGCGGCTGTTGTTGAGGCTGCTGTGGCTGTTGTTGCTGAGTATTTCCAGTGCCATCCCGGAAATATTTACTCTCCGGAGCTATTGGCAGAGCTGGAGCTAGAAAATGCCTGGCCTCATCGTTCATAAAGAACATACCTCGGTACATCAAATTGCTGTTATTCATGTTTAGCAAGTCGTCACTGCTAGCGCAGTCTTTTTTGATTTTACGCTTCAAAAAGAGATCTAGATTATCTGATTGACCCAAAGAATCTGGAGCCTCCAACTTCACTCTTTCACTTAAATGATCAGAGACAGCTTGGATTGGATCCAAATCTAGATTGCATCTGAAAAAGAAAAGAAAATCTTAATTAATAGATAGTCAAAATTGAGGACATGGGTATGATACCCAGACGCTCAGCGTCAATACTTAGGACTCAGGGCAGTTTCTGAAAATTTGTTCTATTTCTAGTCTAGGTTCCGCACCCTGGAGATAAATAGGTAGTAAGCCATACAGACCGATAGCAGTATAATTGGGTATGAAATCAATCTTGTGTTTTGAAGGTGATAAATGTTATTACAACTAAAGATTGACGTAAACATGTCTTCCTTGCTAGGAGGTAAATCCTAAGACTTACCATTCCATTGTACCTGTTTTGATTGAAATCATGTTGTGAAAACAGAGAATGCAGCCTTCCTATTGAGGAGTCATTGAACTGTCAATACATTCACATCGTTCAAGTTATTTTGTTGGTATGAGAAGTAGTTATTTTTGTTCTTCATTTTTGCACCAATAAACTATCTATCTGTCTACTTTCAGTCGAGTCCAAGTCCAATTGACGAAAAGCAAGAGCTCTCCAATCTGATGTTGTCATGGATTGAATTTTCAGTAATGTTGAAATTCTACTTAAATAGAAAGCGTACTTATCAAAAGATCTTGTTGATGAATGAAGCACATGAAATGAAAAAATGAGACAAAAGAGACTTCTGCGGAAGATGGAAGAAAAGCAAGTGATCAACAAAGAAGACTGACTGATAAGGGTGATAAGAAATTCACCACCGCGGGTGGAAATCAAAGGATGAAAAGATGGAATCGAAGATGATTGACAGAGAAGCATAACAAATGTAATCACACTAATTATGAGACAAACTCATCACTATGAGGTGGCTGAGCTGATAGGTTAATCAGCTTGCGGATCCTCTAGTATAAACCCCACACCATCTAAGGGACAAAACTATGAGACTCCGAAGACAGAATGGGAGCTTGGGAGCCTGACAGTGACGGTGAACTTTTCAAATTGTTGTGACAAAAACACTAGGCCTGCAATTTAGAAAATAATCGGTAAATTGGTGAGGTAAATACCTTCTAAACATTAGCTTGACGTTAGGCTCCACAGGAAAGCATAATCTGCACTGATTACCCTTCACAACATAACGTGGAAGGGCGGAAATAGCTTGCACAGAACTTCATTAAATGTGTAAGAGCAAATTTCAGAATCTCAATCAACAGAAACTCGAACAGACATTGTAGGAGTGTAAAAAAGACGGCTTTAGAGGAAGCGAGACGTTTATCGACTTGATATGCATACACGCCATTTTGTACCCACTCACACTCACACACCCATGTAATCCACCATTCAGGGGATTCACTGGTGAACCAATCAAAAAGTAGAAAAATCGCCCACGTAATTTGATTTTGCGGGCACCTGCTTACAATACCGTCGAACGCCAGGTTATGAAAAGAGGTGGAATAATAAGTATAAATTGCATTCAATTTTCGTGGTAGGGGTAGCTGTTCTGTAAAGAATATGTTTTAGCAAAACCCGCTAATTGTTTAAGAACTTTCTCCGAGAGAATGGAGAAAATTACCGGAAAATGCGGTCAGTGGGAAGGTGGTAGTGAGCAGGTAAGCGTGAACTAATTTTCTGTGCATTTAGCTGTTAAAGAACAAAATTAAGTAAAAAATTAAGTGTGAGAGACACAGTTTTGTGCACTTTTCAGTATTAGCCCTAAAAAATTCCAAAATAATCTTAGGATAGAAAAGCGCTTTTTTTCTCATTTTTTTTCGTATCTTCAAACAGAGTAAGATGAATTAAAATGGATCAGGTAGCAGTTTATGTTCTAGGTGTTGGATACAAAAAACCAGTTTTTTTTCCTTCTTAAAACTATGTTGTTTCTTTCTAAAAAAAACTATTTTGTTAGTCATTTGAATCAATCAAGGCAGAACATGTTGATACAATAACATTCATAATGAGGGGGAAAAATTATTGAATGTTATACCTGGAAAACTACCATGTTAAAATAACTTTTTAAAAATATACTTCCGTACCAACAAAATGAAAATGTAAAACAAGAAAATCTCCTACATAACTTCTCTGCTATTTGACTAAAAAACTGAGGTCTGCTTAAATAAAACGGTCGGATTACGGAAGAGGTTTGATTGACGGACGATTCAGGACTAATTTCCAAAACACTATAAAAAAATCTGGAAAAAAATAAAATTAAACTTTTGGTCTCGAGCAAGCTTCAATAGAGTCTCCGAAAATATATGCTACTGTCAGAAAATTGTTAAAAAGCAAAATATTGGGACTAGAAACGATTGCAGTAATTGGACTGCATTTTGCAATTTGGAACTATAGATTCTGGCCCGGTTTAAAAACAACGTATGTGCCATTGGTTTCCCTATGCACGTAAGTGTTTTTTCAGATGAGCCAGAATCTATAGTTCCAAATTGCAAAATGCAGTCCAATTAATCTTGTGATTTTCATTCGCAGTATGTGGAAATTAATTGCAAGAAATGGCTCTCACAATTTTGAGTCTAACTTTCAACAGCCATTTTCAGGAACTTAGGATCTTATTTGCTCTTCTCCTGCTTCCCTCTTTCAATTCATTTGTGCGATAAAGTTGGAGACACCCTGTAGTGTGCATCAAAAGGTTTGGTTCACCCCTGTTTCATACGTCTCACATCACGTCCTTCTGTCGAAGAGTGGAACCTTGTATCTCCATTGTGATGTTTCAAAATTTACGCCCCAAGAAAAACAGGCAAACCTTTTGGCTTGAAAATGCATGAATATTCTGCTACAACAGGGAAGAAAAATCAAGGCAGTTTTCAAGAGAATACTATGACTGGGTTTCCGCACACAAAAAAAATGAATCATGACAAAGTGCCTTAAATGGAAAAATTAGTAATATTATTATATTAAATATTATTCCCATAATTTAAATTATTATTAATCCTAACATATAGTTATTTAATCTGAATAGTTAAAAAAAATTAATTCCATTAAGATAACTTAACTAAGTTTTTAGGTTGTAAAAAGCTGCAGCGTCGCAAACGGAGCTACATTGTTTGGCAATTTGGCCGATGAAATCTCATTCTATTTTTCCAAATTTCAATGGGGGTAAACACAGGAAATGAGCAACTTATTTCTTTTTAATAGATGTATATTAGTTATAAAAATTTATAATCGTATAACATAGTACATTATAAGAATAGATACATCTCTGTTTATGATACATATGTATAATAAGGGTTGAAGATTACATGTATACTTGCATTGAATACAGTAATGAAATCAGTTCCTTTTCACTTACACTTTTCAAGTTACCCTCTATATTCTCTCAATGAAAAGCTGGACCTTTCGAAAATCCCGAAACTCTAATAGCATGAAGCTTCATGATGCTAGGCACTTGATTGAGACATCTTAATGGTGGTTGGACAATAAAAATTCTTCACTTAGCACGAGGATAGCAAAAGTAATCTTTAGCAAATCCGCCCTTTACCTAGAAATGTATATTATCTATAATAATGTAATTTCTGTCTTTCATTACATGAGATAATTTCTCTCATTTATTTTTTGAGTCATCGTTTAAAATTGACCAGTTTTCAGTTGGGCTTTGAAACACATATACAATGTGAGAAAAAATAAAAGACTAGGATTTGGGGTACAAGCATCTTCTAATAACCAATACTTTTGAATGAAAGACCAAACAGGAGCAAAGCCCTCTTGCCAGGATGGCATTCTCTGTTAGAGCAGATAAAAGATCTTCTGAAAAGAAAAAAAAAAACATAAATAGTTTTTTGTTAAAAAACACTGTGCATGGTTGCAGATAAAATTATTTTGTAACAACCATCAAACATTTAAAAAATTCAACATCAAAGAAAAGGAAAGGATACAGAAGACCAACATTTTCAACTAAATAAAATTAACAATGTGCTTAAGATCTTTTATTGCTAAAAATGCGGAAGAGAAAACTTTTGAAGAAGATGAAGTTATAGAATAAAACTTTAATTGGCATTTTACAATGATATTGGGCGCTCGATAAATCAAAGCTCTTTCATTCAAAAATCTCAATGGTAGAGAGGAGAAGTTAGTCCGCGAAGAAAAATCAGTGTAAATAAAGAAGAAATCAGGCTTAGTTTTGAAAATTTAAATTTAAATGAGAAATCAATTATTTGGCTATCAAAATATTTGGATTTTAGTCGGCCAGTGCTTCAGATCCATGATTCAAAAAGGCATGAAGATAACATTTAGTAAATTGACATCAGGACCAAGCACTCCATACTTTAAACTTGGCAGACTTAACTTAGACAAACTTAAACTGGCAGAACAGGATGCTCCATAATTTGGAAGGATTTTAAAAACTCTATTTAAATGCAGATTGGTGAAATTAGCAACAGGAATGACCGAACTTCTGTTTATAACCACACTAATCCACACAAACAGCGTAATCATGTAATACAGGTGGTGGCAATGCCTCTTTTGAGTTACGTAACAAATTGTGTGATTTAGAAATAGGAGCAGAGCGATTGGTCACCCTGTTTTAATTTGTAGGACCAATTTCAAAATCTGTCTAATTTGAATTTTCTTAAGAACCTATCTCAATGAATCAAAATTCTCCAAATTCACAACCTCTTTACTTCAAAGAAATCCTCAGTCCGTTCAGTCTTGAATTAATGAGTGCCCATTTAGGAGCAATTCATTTTGTTACAATTAAACTTGACATTTGGGATTTACCTTCCTCCTCTTATCACTCATTCTCTTGCACGTTTGAGCTGTAACTCAAAGGATAATGGTATGCATGCTTGGTATCCCCTCTTTTGATGTGAAGAATACGCAGTCGTCACACATTTCTTGACCAAAATTGCATACAAATTTACAAAATCTCTTGACACTGATTTTTGCACACTATCAAGCATTGCTCCTAGCGCATTTCTTTCTTGTATCATTGTGGTGCAAAACTCCCCCCCCCCCCCAAAGTTAGACACGATTTATGAACAGCCCCTCAAAACGTTCAGATAAATGAGACCTTTTGAGGCCAGCAAAATACAGCAGGGGGAAAAGTTATTTGTGACAGCCACGCCCCATTAGAGAAATTGTAGGATCCCACCTGACAACGTGACGGATTCAACATTTGAGAAAAACTCCCTGATTTTAATGAGCAATTAATAAGTTTTAAACTTAATTTGTTCTATCACTGAAAAGTCTTCTAATGATTTGAATCGTCATGGCAGAAAATTAGACTAAGGAATGAAGAAAACTGCCTATAAACAAGAAGCAACAGTGACTTCAACTATATTTTCTATTACACATTATCACTTGGTTAATTTTATGACAACTGGGAAAATTGAATTGAAATAAAATATTAGAAACCCATGTCTAAGAGTCAGATTAAAGCAGAGCTTTTGCATGAAATGAAAATCTATTTCCATTCATTCTAACATTGAAAGTAACACTATTATTAGGTTACAGTTCATGGACTCAGCTGTCATCAACTGCTGCAGCACTTGATGAATTGATTTGAAAAAATTCTAGGGTGCGTTTCCTTGGGAAAATACGCTGACAATGATGAATGAACTAAAAATGGCGGTGTAAAATTAAACAGTTATTAATTCTTCACTACTATTACATTGTAGAAAAAGAAAGAAAAACTGATGAACATTCAATACAGGGTAGGATTCTCAATTAAAAAAAAAAAAAAAAAAAAAGAGTTCATTGAAAAATTAGGAATTGTGCCACTGAACTCAAACATATTTATTAGAACTAAAACTTAAATTAATATAATATACACATTTTACAGTTTCTTGGATTTTTTCTGATCAATCACAATATTTATAATAAGATAGTTGTCTCAATTCAAGTTGCTAAAAGCACAGAGACTGTCCAAACAGAAAGTACCGATTTTGATGCATTATTTTAAATATATATAGTGGCCAAACACGATTGGTCGGGAGCCAGAATAAAGAGAGATGGATTGATATTCATAGGAAAAAACTGACCAGGTCATTAATCTAGATACAACGACCACAAATAATTTACTTTGGAGAATTAAAAAATTAGAGATATTAGAAAAAAAATCAGCATGATCAAAATTCCATTTCCACTTTAGCCTTTTAAAATTTATAGGCCGACAGTCAGTCATCAAAGCTGATTAATAGTTTATACTAGTAGAGAGTAACGAAATAGATAAGTTGAGCTAGATAATCACATCAATGAAATTGGATATCTTTTCTCGCACCACAGTAATTTTTTCTTCCTCTTTTTCCCTTTGTTCGTTTCATGCAATTAAGAAAAACATCAAAGAGAGGTGTAAGTTTTTCTCCTTTTTTTCATGAAAATTAAAACTGGAAAGTACGTTTATGAACCAATTAACCTAAAATATGCAGGTAGTAACATGCATAACTTAAAAAAAACTATGCATATCATGAAAAGTTAGGATACTTATTCCTCTTCAAGATAACTTTTGGTGTTGATCAAATGGAAGGCCAATGACGCCATTCATCAAATTACATTAAACCTATATTATATTATACATTTCACCTTGCCTGGAGACTGATTTCAGAATCATCCATCTCATGCATCTTCCTCTAGACAAAATGTTGAAAGGACTACTTATAATGTACATCACACAATGACTGAATATATGTCTATTGGCCTATCATATTGTCTCAGTATGTTTTATACTTACTACTGTATTGTTCATGAAATATGTAACGCTTTAGACAGTGCTCAAGGATAGCGTTACTCCATGATTTCCGTGTGATAAGGACTCGTGTCACAGAAGTGTAACGAAAAGGGAGGAAGGTAAAAAAAATATGAAATTTAGCGTTACTTGCACATTTTATGAACAGATCCTTTGGACAGTTGTTAGGGAAAAAGGGACATTTCTTCATTAAGAAATCAACAAATCAACTTTTATTTGGGGGCACTCTTGTTGAAATTTTACTCATCTTAGTGATGATTTTACTGAGTAGTCACTAACAATATCTAGTTACATCTTCCATGATCGAAATGGAAGCACATGTTTCATCTTGAAAAAAGAAAGAAACCAGAAAAAATTTTCAGAGGTTGTGGGAAAAAAAGCCAGGAGCGAGATTTAGATAGCGTTCAGATCTGTCATTGCACATCGATATTTCTCAGACAATTCTTTAATAACAGAGTTAAATATTAAAGCACATAAAGTCTGTTAACATTGAAACTAGAATATACATGATTTTCAATTAAATAAGGTGGCTCCATAATCTTAAGTCTGCATTGAAATGTTATATTTTCTTCAGTGCAAGGTCAAATCTCAAAAATGGGGAGAGAGGAAATGGAATGAAGAATATTCGTATAGAGGAAATTAGTGCATTTTGAAGATGATGACCCGTTACATCAAGGATTTTGGGAGAGCGCCAATCATTTTCCCTTGCAATGATTGGAATAAGCAGTAGCTGAGGGAACAATTTGTTAATTCCTAAACAAGGAGATTTTCTACAACTTTTCAAGGGACAAACCAGCATTTTTGTCTGCCATTGAAAAATGATTATGCCCCATCATGCAATCTTGCTTTTTCACAGAACCTCTGAGAGAAGAACATGAAAAATTAGAGATAAGCCTTGCTGGGAACTCACATATAATTAGCCTTCAAATGTCTTTATGGAGTAAATACTGTATGAAGGCCTTAATGTGGTGGATCGAACATATTCTTCACCAAAAAAGGCGCTATCCACAAAAGAAGACGTTGGAAAAACTAATTTCGTTCAAAGGATTTAAATTGGAGATTGAATCTTGTATGCAACTCTAAAATGGGTTTTGAACTCAAGTGTTGGCATACCTGTAACTGGACAGTATTAAATTTACTTCTCTCCACCTTCAGAGGCACTAAAAAAACAAGAGTTGGAAAAAAGTTTCTGAGCATTCTTATATTCTAATTTAGTCTTTCAAAATCATGAATTTTTTATGTATGTTTTGAGATAATAAAAATAAATAACAACTTTATGGCACAGAAATACAGATTTTCTTGGCTGGCCGAAGTTTTAATCAATGCCCCAATGGTAATTCGTTAACTGAAAACTATTCAGTGAAAAGAAAAACAAAGAAGGAACTAAGGGCAATAATTAAATTCAATGCATCAAAATTTCTCTGAAATCTGGCGACTTGTTTTCTGAGAATCAGAAGCAGTTTATTCTTGATTTTGATGAAAAAAAGTAAGGACAAGGAAAAAAGGGAAGCATAGAAGAATTTTTCCCGGTTTCTGCAATCAAACTTAAGAAAGGGATAAAAAATCAGAACTCGATAAAACAAATTTACATTGAAGGAAAAAGAATTACCTTGGGATAATAATTAAGGGATGAAATGGAAACTAGAAAAAGCTGTGTAAACCGAAAAACTATTCTAACATCAAAGTTAAGAGATTTTGTGTGATCTTCGTCCAAAAGAGGTAATATTTTCTGAGGAAACTTTCCTTTGTGAACCTGTCAAAATTGAGTATTTTCAATTAAAACTGGGCTGATACTGTAGAGAGCTTGGTTTCAACCTCAGATATTATGCAACTTTGATTCTTCAGAATTTTGAACTATATATTCAGTAAACAATGACTGAAAACAATTCTTGAGGAGGAACTCCGATCTATAAAAGATTTGATTTGGTATTGAAATTTAATGTTCTAAGAGATTTTATGCACAATTTCTTGATAAAAAGACTCTCAATATGCTTGGAATTGTGATAAAAAAATATTAAAAATATGAAAAAATATAAGGGTTGGCAAGAAAGTAAGTTTCATTATTTCCATTCTCAAAACGTATTGGAGCTATTCAGATTTTAGAATTGTAATTTTTGTTCTTTCCGCTTTTTAATGGTACGTTGATTTATGTCACCAGACCAACACGTCAATTGGAGTAGCATTTTGCAAAACAAATAAAACATGAAAAAAAAAAATTGATTTCTTCCATAGCTAGTGAATCTAAAAAAATTCTACCACTATCTTTAGAGAGCTAATAAAGCTTTTAAACAGGACACAGGTTTTTGTTATTTAACCATTAGTTGCTGAGGAACTGAATTTTTCTTGACTGCCTGAAAAATGTCTGTTTATTCACATACATTCATCACGAGTTAGTAAATTTCTTAAATTTTTCTCCGTAACTGTCAAAGGTATCAAATCATCTACTTCATTGCGAAGAGAATCTTTTCACTTTGAATAGAAAATCAATTTAAAATATTTGCCTTAGAAAAAATGATATTTCTTGGAAATCGTGGGTTGCACAACAAAAACCCATACTTTAAAAAAGCTGTGAAAAAACACTTTACAAGCTTCAAAAAAATTTTGAGACAGACGAAGAGGGAAACTTTCTTCCTAAACAATCCTTGAACTATTAATTCTAGAATTTAAATTTGGGAAATAGACAGATGAAATTCAAGAGGTTGTGGGAAAATTTGATGCATCTGCGATTAACTATTTATTGAAATTCCATGTCTACATGAATGACTCGAATCAAAGAAAATAGGTTGCGAAATAAAATAAAGAGGGATTAAATACTGGTAATCATGCAATTTTACATGATTACATAAGGTTTAATATGATTCTAGCACAATACACTTCAAAAACATGAATCAACAAACAAAATAACAAGAACAAAAAACTAATGATATCATGCTAATCAACTATCTTGCAATATTAATCCTTTCCAAAGACTTAATCAGATAAATTAGAAAATTTGCTGGTTTGATGAATCTTCTAAAATTCTCAACTGATTTAGGGGCTTAATATTGCTTCACAAAGATTCTGATTTCAGAGAAATACTATCTTCATTCCATGAATGAGTTTATCATCCTCTTTCCTCGTGGGGAGGAGGAAAATAGTAAGTCTTGAAAGGAACGAAAATTCCACATTCATGATTTTGTATTAAATTATTCAGTTACATAAGATTACAGACCTCATCATTCATCAGGAAAGATCTCTGGTGGTGAAGAAAGAGGTGGTGAATTGACCTCTCTTTTCATTTCTTCTACAGGCGGGTCAGAGGGTTCAGGCACCCTCTGCATGGGTTCGGAACCTTTGGGACCTCCTTCTTTTGATACTAAGTGAGATGGTTGATGATTGGTTGCTTGGCTATGGGCTTTTTCACCTTTCCTCCACAGTGTTATTTCCTGTGAAAAAAATAAAAGAAAAAAAGAAAGAATTAGAACTCTTCCTCAAAAACAAGGTAAAATTTGATCTTCTTGTGCCTTTCTGTCAGAACATTCCTTGATCAGCGCTTGAGTGGGAAATCTATATGGGCCACTAGACAAGGGATGATTTGAAGCATAAATTAACATTTTTCCTCTTCAAAATTTCACTATGAAAACGAATCACACAATGAGAAGTCTAGAAATCAACTTCTGAACAAGATATAGGTGTTCACAATTGAGGCACTGGATGCGAAAAGGGCACTTCTCGATTGCAGTGTTTCAGAATCTCTGTTGCTAATTAATCCCTTGGAGAAGAATTTAATGGGCGATTTTTCTAGAATTCTCTTCATAGAAAATTGTAAAATCATGAAGAATATTTAGTAAAATTCTTAGTGAAATGGATGCATTCACTTTACTTACAACAAATAAAATGTTTGAGGAGACTCTGAAACACTGCAACCGAGAAGTGCCTTTTTCTCATCCAGTGCCTCAATTATCATTGGTTGAATGGCAAATACACTAACAATAACATCATTTGTATAATATGACTTTCATTGGATCTGTGTTGAAAATACTTGTTCATATCTTGTTCAGGAGTTAGTTTCCAAACTTCCTGGTGTGTGAATCGTTTCGTACATAAGATTCTGAAGAGGAAGTGACGTTTGGTTCTGGCTCAGACCTTGTCTAGTTGTCCATTGAATAAAATCATGCAAATAAAATTGGATCAGATTGATCAATTTGACTCCATGAATATAATAAAACAAAAAATATTTAGAAGCTTTGAGGTTGCTTAACAGTTGGAGCAGTAATAATTCAGATATGCAACGTTCTGAATTTAATCAATATTGACTTTGGTAGCCAATACATTAATACAATCTGAATCTTAGTTCTGAAGAGTGTTGGGACAAGGATTCGAGTTCGGGATTCAGATTCAAAATGCTCAAACCCAAATCCGCAAAATCTCTGAAATTTCAAAATTCGTGCCATGAAACCGAATCCCTCAGATTCCCGAAGGTGCTTGAATCGCATTGAATATCGATATTGTCTCTCGATCTCAAATTTTGACTCATTCCAGAATGTTCTGGAACAGTAAATATCGGTGTAAATACTCGCCATGTCAAGATATCGCAAACAGTATTTGATTACCAGAAGACTAAAAATAAAATATAGTACTGAGTTTCTGAAAAATGAAGGATACGCGATGGATTCGGATTCGAGGATTCAAAAGTTAAAATTTGAGATTCAGATTTGGGTAAATGTAGGATTCGACCCAACACTATTTCTGCACCAGCAAGCAAAAAATTGAATTTAAAGATGTACAATAGTACTATACATACACGAACAGGTAATCTCAAAATTATTGATTTTTTATGCATGGAATTAAAATGGAATAAAAAATTCTGTAAAATCTAGTCAATCAGAGTCCAAACTTGCTTCCTGGGAAAATGTTTTTCACCAGAGCTGGCAAATGTTCCAGCAATGCTGGAAAAATGTCCAATCACACTCTTTAAGTGAGCATAAAGATATGGAAAGAGGCAAAATTCTTAAGAGGTTGAAAATTTTACACATTTTCATGTTGATCCATGTAAAGATCCAAGATAGAGTCCACGCCAACTAAGTTTATGCACTTTTAAAATGTGACAGAAGATTCACTGTGTTGATTTTTGCATTTACTTTTCATGCAAAAATGATGTCAGAAAATCTTCTGCCACAGTCTAAAAGTGCGTAAACTTATTTGGTGTGGACTCTACTTGCGCACAGTTAGGGAATTGTAGACTGTCCAAGAAACAGAATCTGATCATAATGGAGATGTTGCATGTGTGAGGAATTTGCGATTTGACTATTGATTCCTATGTAAAAGCTTGCAAGAAACACGATGGTGCTACTTGTTTTTCCTGAAATCAACTCCCAAGCTCAAAAAAAAGCTCTCAAGTTGAGGCCAAAATGGAGGGAATATCCCACGCTATCCTGAGAGTTCACCTCTACATCAAGACAAAATTTCCATGCAAAGATAGGGAGCAAATACATTGACAGGGCTGCCACTTTATTTGGGGACTCCACAACTGAAAACACAGCAACCCTGCTAATGTATTTGTCCTCTCCTATCTTGGCATGGAGAGTTTGTTTTGATGTAGAGGTGGACTCTCAGGATAACGTGGGATATCCCCTCCATTTTGGCCTTAACTTGAGAGCTTTTTTTGAGCTTGGGAGTTGATTTCAGAGAAAACCAGTGACACCCTCATGTTTCTGGCAAACTTTTACATAAGAATCAACAGTCAAATCGCAAATTCCTCACACATGCAACATCTCCATTGTGAAACATTTACTCTAAACAGAATCATCTTGATGGTAAAAGAAATACTAGGTAGAAGTGATTCTATTTAATAGTTTTTCCATAAAAAATCGGACAAGTTTGGGAAGAGTAGCAACATGGAGCCCAGCCTAAACGCATCTGGTGCTTATAATACTTTGGCCGGAAGATGACAATATTACACAGATACATTTAAACAATGACCATTAGGAATCAGCCGAAGATTTGAAAAGTCCAATGCTTGAATTTTAAAAGGTACAGGAGGTAAAAGAGGTTAATTTTTTGATGAGGAAATATTCCTCATGTTGCAACTGATCGGTAAGTTTTTATGAGCAAAATTTTCTCGTCATAAAAACATCAATCAATCTTTCAGGGGGAAAAGAATCAACAAAAATATAAAAAGCTCTTTTAAATATGTACCTGTTGTTTGAAATAGCGTCTATCTTCTTCATCCATTAAAACTAGATTTAAATAATATTTAACAGAGAATTTCTTATTTATATCCTTCATGGTTGGTGTGAGCTCATAACCTGCAAGAAATACTCTGATTGGAATACTTTCTCCGCGAACGGGAGCACCATCCATTATCTCATACTTGGCTATGGTGTCACTCTCAGTGAACATATTGGCTCCTGAAAGAATAAAGCAGGAAGTTAGGAACAAAGGAAATTCTGAAGTGAATGATTTTAATGATGCTGCAAAATTTTGGTAGTTGGGTCAACAAAGCTAAAAGTGGTTGCTGTAGGGTGAGTCCATTAAGGCTCTCTGTAGATGTGGCTTAAATTTTCGTTCTGATTTTAATGGATGACTAACCTTGCTCTGTAGTATCAATTTATCAAAAAAACCAGTTAACAACCATTGTAAGGCAGAATACATCAAAATATGCATTGCATCATTAGCAATTTAAATTTAAGAGAGAAAATACATTGTTAAAGTTTCGACAAACCTCTATAAAATATCAAATTAGTAATCAATTATTTATAGTCCAACTTATTGTCCTCAATCTAGAAATCAAATAAACTATCAAAAACTTTACATACTTTATTAGATAAGAGACTCGGATAGTCTATGATTGAAATATGAATCTAACAGCTTATATTAGCTTACACATATTTAGAAATAATCTTTAAATTACATAAGTTATTATATCATAATAACCCTTTTATTAGGCATCTTAAAATCAGGTTCTCCTCTCTTACTAATGATTACTATACATTTGTTGATAGTCACAGTTGATACTGTAAATGCATATCAACGTATCCCCAAAACAAAAAAAGCCTTCCAAGCTGAGTACAAACTAAACCTCTGGAGTGTTCTCCAGTTCTGAGAACAGGGAATCATTGTCTAATGCTGTAGGCTTTGTCGGAACGGATGCACTTGTTGGACAAACTCAACAAACCAAAACGGTCCCACAGTTTCTGCACACCCAGTTTTAACAATGAGTTACATATGATTCGTCGGTTTTTTTTTACTTTTCCTAGATTTTGGTTTTTTTTGGGGGGAGGGGGGAAAAAAATAAAATACTTGACTAATTTTTGAGAGGTAAACCTTTCGCTGCTGCATTCATAATACAAGACTAGAGACATATTGTTTCAGTGAATCTTGGCAATGATGATACATGACCAACCAGAGTGACCGCTTAATACAGGTTCCTCAGATACAAATGGAAAAATTCTCGGACTTTTCCAAGTTTTCCGGGAGATTTAACACCTTGACTTAAGAGACAGTATTAAGATGAAAAAGAAACAAGAATAACTTACCAGTACCAGTGGTCTCTTTTTTGATGATTGCTATTTCCATATGCTTTAGTTTGATTCTTACAAGAAGAAAATAAATTTTTCCAACAATGACATCTTTCAGATGATACCTAGAAAATAATGCATAATATACAGGGACCCGCATTTTCAAATAAATACATATTAATGAGAGTTTCTTGACAAGTGTTAAGCGGAACATGCCAGAGATAAGATGTCTTTGGTCATAATGGAGAGCTTCAAAATCTTCATGTGTACGAAAAAATGATGTACACCTCACTAGATTGTATGAAAAGATGAGGGACAGTATAAAACTTGATAAAAATCCAACTTTTCTAAAATAAAGAAATGATCAAATTGAGTAAGCAAACCTCAATCAATTACAGTTGAACCTTGATAACTCGAAGCTGAAGGAAAACAATGAAAAATCTGAGTTGTTGAGGTTGAGTAAACAAGGTTGGGAGATGAAAAATTTGAGTTATTGACGCTGATTCTGGGTAGGACAAGGGTTAATTACGAAAATATTTGTACAAGAAAAAGATAAGCCTTTAAAAAAATAAATTTGTCAATGCTACTTACTCTTTACTAAGATAAATTGCTTGCTATTTCAACTCTCTTAATTGCTGCTGTACAATAGAAACTGATTTTTAGCATGAACTTTTAACTGATTGCCTGTGCCCACTGCAAGTTCGATCTTCGCTTTGATATCAGAAAGAACCTTCAAGTTCTAGAGGTAATTTGCAGATTTCTTTGAGTCAATGAGATAAAAATGAGCTCATAATTTACTTATGACCTCATTTTTATCTCGTTCCTTATCATCTTTGAATTAATGGAACAATTTTATAGAATTTTCGAAATTATAGGCCTTCCGCAACAGGGAATGGTCAGGTTCTATGAGTTATAGAGGATTTGAAGTTATTGAGGTTTGACTGTAAAAACGATGCCTGCACCTGCACTGAAATATCACAATTACGCAGGGAAACTTATGAAACACTTGGAATGTTTTGGAGCATTTGGTCACTACAGAAGCAGGGTGGCTAAAGTAATTCATTTTCGAATTTTTCAACTTTTATGGCATTATCCCCAAAATTTTCAGACCTTCCTTGAGAAAATCTCCAGAGAAAATACACAAGCAGACTAAACCTAACCTAACAGGATTTCGTAAGAAAGACTGTCAAGCATGTCAGTCAATGATTTTGAGGGCCCAAAACAGACAGAGACAGGTTCCACCAGGCTCTTCCAGAATTTTTATATTTAATATATTAAAAGCAAGAAAAAAACTTTGTTGTATGTAATTACTTACTTGCACTTGTTATACTCAAATTCAATATGAAGGCAATCTTCAATTCCAACTTCCATTTTAATACTGTTGTTCATATCTGGATATGAGGAGAGAGTGTGAACAACTAAGTCTAATTCCTTGACTGTGTCTGAGATTCGCCGAACGATTGTAACTCTTAATAAATACCTGGAAAAAGCACAATCAAAGTCTCAGAGATGATAGAGATATGAATATTCTGCAAAAATTCAGAGATTAACAGTGAAAAATGCAACATACCTCTTTGTTAAGCCACTATGTTAGTCTCTTTCTTGTAAGTAAAATAAAAATGACCTGCCACAAAATCATCTTTTTTTCTACCAAAAAAATTTGCTATCTGTTTTCAGCTTGATTTAAAATGTAGATAAATGAATTCAGAGCAAATCTTAGATCGATGTGCCTAATTGAACAAAAAATATGCGAGACCTTAGTTTGGAAGTGCAGCTGCCATTCTTTGCTGACAGTACATCCGTCTTAGGATTATTCTTTTTTTGCCAAGTGCTCATGTTGCCAACATGTTGACTGATGGTTATGATTCAGTTTTATTTTGACTATTTTTGCAATTCATGTCCTAAAGCTTATTTTAAAATGCTGTCAACATACAGTTTATGTTGATAAATGCTATAACAACACAACTAAAGGGTATGAGCTTTACCTAAGGCGAACATTTGAACCAGTATATGATTCAAAAGGTTTCTCCACATTCAGGAACTCAAAAGGGTAACTCGTGTTTTGAGTCAGCTCTCCAGGGCGAGCTAGCTCTTTAGTCAATGATGTGAATTCATAATGATTCCCTCTATCGTAGTAAAGTTCAATTTGACCACTGAATTCGATCTTGATACCTTGATGTTCAAGCTTGTAACCAGGTTTTTTCAGAGTGATGTTAACCTGAAAGAAAAAAATGAAATTAATTTAAGTAAAATGACCAGTGACAATATAGCATTAGTGGGGGACGATACTGGTTTGCCCTTGCTAATGCATGCTAGGTATAGCAACTTTTGATTGTTCTAAAAGAATTGAAAGAAAAATTTTAATTTAGACTTACAGAGCAGTTTTAGAGCTGCCACTGAGAAAACTGTCAGATGATTACTTGCCATGCGCAAACAGAAGTATGACCACCATGGATATCAACCATCTGTTTAAACACAGTACCCCGCGCGATCCTTACGGGGAATACCCCCAGGTCAAATCTGATGAAATTTGGATGTGTTACTTATCTATCATTCTTCTCAAAAGCTGTCAGGGGCCGAAAGAGATTCAATGTGCGGTTTTCGTGACATACGACGCTTTGTGTGTGTGAACGGAGATCATGTTGGCCAGACTATTGTGCTGCTCTACTTGGGCCCTTCCCTTTCAGTCAACTCAAGCCCCTCTCCGCTTCCTCACCACTGGTACCTGAGGCTCACGGTGCTCATCACCAGGCTGTGTGATAAGGCGCAGCCTGGCGATGGTGAGCAAAGCCTCATTAGCATCGGAGTCTGAGCCTTTGGTACGGCAGAAGCACACGAGTAGTGTTGCACAATAGTTCGGACGGCAGGTCCTCCGTTCGCGCATAAGTATTAAACGGCAAATATCTCGAGAACCGTACATAGAATCTCTTTCGGAGAGCTTTCGATCAGAATGACTAGCTGAGCAACATTTCCAAGTTTCATCAGATTTGATCCGGGGGAATTCCCTGTAAGGATCTTGCGGGATTCCTGGTGCATCGCCTACTAGTTTAGCCTAGAATATTGCATACTCAAAAATCTTCAAGGTGTGGCGGCACGCCACGCGCACACCTTCATTTTCAGTCCCACACCGAGTTGAATTAGAATTCAAATCTAACATCTTCAAAATACAACTGACCTTTCCGCTGACACTTTCGCCATCATAATACACTAGATAACCTTCCTTCTTCCCATCTTCAGTCTTAACGCCAACACGCTGCCTGTTTTCTGTGCCATCCAGAACTATATCGATGTCAGCACTCTGACCAAATCCAAAGAAACTCTGAAAACAAGTAATCAAACATTTTGGTTGAATAATCTGGTCCACAGGTGAGACGATTGGAATATGGACAATTGTGGGACAGTCTAAAGTAGCCTCTGACCAACTAATACATTCAGCTTAACGAAGGTGATGGACTGGCCAAAAATTTCAGTGAGAGATGGTAAAGAAAAAGGGCCCGATAAGAAATTTCCCCTGTTCAAGCTTGAAAATCCACATCTGAGTGGACTAATATGATGATATCTTCGGACAGGTACCAACTAAGTCTGTCAGCGAAGGAAGTTTGGAGAGAAGTTAAGTAGAAATGGATTAGGAGAATACTTAAGATTGACCCTTAAATCGATTGTAATAGGGGAAAACCAATTATTTACCATGATATTAGATTAGAGGTGAGCTTGGATGATAAATCTGAGCTACAGGTTATGTGAGAAGATCAAGGAAACAAGTATCGGCTCCAAACGTTGGTTTATACCGGGAGAATTTCACAGACATGGAGAGACACACATGTATTAAACGAACAATAAAATAACACGAATAATAAACGAAAAGTTCACAAAATCACTTATTATAAGGTTTGATTTCCAAAATTTTCTTCCTCTCGGTTATCGTTCGGTTATCTACCGCAAGTAGTTACGTCACAAATCTAATCGAACCACCATTTTGGTTTTTGATCACACTTTTAAAACACAACATTGATGGCTTTTGACACTGTTGCGCAATCTAAAACTTTGTTTTTTTATTGGTAAGAAAGTTTTAAATTATTTTTAACGTGACGATCAGGCAACGTTATTGATTAGATTATCAGCTCGTTTCGTCTCTTCCAAACGAAAAGTTGTGCTTGTGTGTGTGTGAGACTTCGCAGTTCGCCAGCGTAATCTCATCGATGTTTTCAGTGATTATCACTAATTATTCAATTCATTTACAGGATATAAGTGTGCTAACATGACATGAGGTAACTGAATCGTTAAAAATTTCAGAAACATCGATTCTATCCAGATTCTATCATATCAGTTGATTTTGTTGGTTAGTCAAAATAATTCTCTCTCACGCAGGGAAGGGAGATCACCCAACTCACCGTATCATATGCTGCCGGAACTCACGTTCAATAGTAAATTATCCTTACAAGTTTGGAGCTGTCTAGACGCAAAACTTTAATGCCCTCCTTCTGATTTACTTGACGAGGCTGCTACATCCTTCTTACTATCTCTTCTTAAAGCGAGCATCTCCGCAGTCATGAACTCCAGTCCTGTCGCTAAAAGCCAGGTTTGTTTTTAATGAAACTACACTTCATTACCTTAAGTTAAGACAAGTTCTTGGCCCATAAATTATGCCACTGTGAAAGGAAGGTTGACTGACAACCCGAAGTCCACAACTTCTGTATTGATGGCTAAAGTGCAATACCGCATATATTCATTGCGGTGTTTCATAATCTCTAAGTACTCCAAGGTAAGTTTTTCGAAAAGGAACAAGTCAACACTATAGCTTGACATTTATCCAGAATATTATACTAACAGAAAAGAAAAATAAAAAGGAAGTTTTCCAAGGAGAGAATAAAGTATGACTGGAGGTTAAACGTTCCAAACGAAGATATATCGTCGTGCACTTTGGCCACGGATGTGTCACAGGTGAGATTCTACAAAATAATGCTGTATCAATAATGGGTGCCTCTTGTTCCAAAATGCTGTCTGCTTTGCCACTTAATGTTTCTGCCCAATGGAAAAATTTCTGCGTGGCCTCATTTTTTCAAAAGGAGCACCACTTCTTTTAATTGCAGTATAGCCATGCGGAGCCTTCCAAGACATTGAATCACGTAGACCGTGCGTCCAGCTCGGTTTAGTACAGGCGGAGCGAAGCTAGTCTCACAGAGCCCCATGATGGACGGGCGGGGAAAGGGAGAGAGCGAGTGTGCCAAGCACTCGAAGAGACTGCAGAGAGGCAATGGAGAATTCATTGCTACGCTCGGTTTTTCACGAATATTTCGTTTAGAGTCCATTTTCAGACAAAAGACTAAGATAAGAAGTTTTAAAACACATAACTTTACACCCGAATAGCATTGTTTCATTTTTCCGAACTAATTATTAACCAAGGAAAAAAGCCTCACAATCTGACAAAAATTCACTAGAGCCGCTACTGCGCATGCTCAGATGTGCGCAACTGGGACACATGAACTCATCGATTTGGGTCGGTGCCACCACTCATCAGCATGTGAATTTTCAAAAGTTATCTCGCCTTACGTAACACAGGATGCACGGTCTGCGTGATTCAATGTTTTTGGGAGCCTTACACTATCTGTGGCCCAACCTTTGTTTGCACTCCGTGTCCTTTTTGTTTCGCCTTGTAATTTCATGATCTGGCCCAACGATCGGCGCCACCTCAGTGTCAATCATTCTGACCTCTGAATTAAACTTTTTACTGCAGATCCTCTGGAGCTCATCTGTCCAAGTTTGATAAAGCCATCTGGAGTCTTAAAAATATACTTAGGACAAGCTGGTCAAATTTTTCATAGATTTCTTTTGTTTGTCAAATTTAATAGCATCCACGATGCTCTGCTTTTGAGGCTGACAAGCTAGCACATGAGGCCCATGTTCGCCGTGGACAAGATAACTTTGAACGAAATATTCATAGTATTAGACGAATCTAAACTCTGTTTCCTTTTGCAATCAGAAAATGAGGAATGAAATTCTGCAGAATTCTGCCTCAAATATGAATATGAATTTGAAGTTTGATAAGCAGCTTAGGAATGAAAGTTCTAAACTCTTTAATCAAGCCTCCCTCCCTCCTCCCTTTGTCACTAAAGTTCACTTTCCTCGTTACAGTAGCAAGGAAATTGCAAAACAGTCTGCCATCTACTTTGAGCAATAAAAAAAACTGCACGTGTCTCTGAAAGAGTACTGATAAGTCTCGACTTTTTGTGGAAGTAATGCGAAAAAAGTAAAAATCTCTGAGAAAAAATGGTAATTAGTCTCCCTAATCAGTCATACTCCCTCGCGAGTTCTGACAAAGCTCTGTAAGAAAATTTAAGTTGCCTTGGACGATGTTCATTTCATAAAAAAGTGAATGAAAAAAGCGGAAAAGGCGCAGGATTAATAAACTTGAGAATCAGCGATTTTTAGTGTGCATTCAGTTCCTGAACAGGCAAAAAAAAAGTTTTTGATTGATCTGCAGAACAATCCTAACCAAAAAAAAAAAAGAAACAAATAGACCTGAATCTCAGATCTAATATTTGATTCTTAATTTATTTAAAATTTATTTGAAATTTTTCAGTTCATAATTTCTTCTTTTTTTTTTCAGACGGCCTCGCCTGGTCCACCAGCTCAAGAGTATTCAATAATTGTCCCAAAGTGAGTTATCGCCAATGTATACAGAAATCTAATACCGAAAGTTTTTGTCCCTTCAGTTCTCAAAAACTGTACGGCTTTGCTATAATTTTTTTAAATTGAAGTTCTTCAAGTGCAAACGTGCTAACCGTTGTCGCTTTTTTTTTATTTTCTTAATTAATGTTCATAATTTTCCATCAAGACACCAGGGGAGCTTTTTCCTTGGGAGAAACTTCTCGACCACAAGACTGGCGGGTCGTAATCAGTCGCGAGCAAGAGTGGGATAGCTGACATGGCTGTAATACTTTGTCCTACAAACTGCGCTTATTTCAAATTCATTTTACCCACAATTGAGTATCTTTACAGGGGTAAGGTCCATAATAGTTGGGCCGTGCTTATTTCTCCGAGCATACCCTAACTGTTGACAACAGCATACTTGAGGCTGTTGCTTTTTTGCTTAAACAGGCAAGGAAGATGAGGGAAATAGATTCACTCTTTTTTCATGCTGCTATTTCGAGTAAGAATGCTATGTGAGCATTCGAATGTTGCGAAAGTTTCTCTGTTGGAATCACATTTACCTTAAATTTTCAAAAAAATTTCATTGCAATTTAATTCAGCATACGCATTTGAAAGAATTAAGAGAGAATATGTATGATTTTTCTTGAAACTATTTTTTTTTTGGAGAAATTTAGCAACAGCAAAATTTTTGTGTGATGTTTTTCCCCAGTGTGGCACTATGGATCCCTCATCTAATAACATCCTCCATTTTCACACAGGAAAAATAATACCTGCATTTAGGGTGAGGAAGTAACAATAAATGTCTTCTGCTATTTTGCATAAGTTGTGGAGCTTTTAGTTTACCCTGAAAATTATAAGAATGAATTTCCCTCAATTTTCCAACTATATTCTCTCCGACAGCAATTTTTTCACAATTCATCGTTCAATTTCTTGTTTGTCGCCTTGAACTTTCCTCTCAAAATCAAGGAAAGCACTGCAAGATAAACGCTCCACGATAAAGGAAGTTTTGTGATCATCTTTAAAACTGTTCTATTTTTTTCCAACAGGAATCCAAATAAACAATATCATGTGATGCGCTACAATTCATCATTCAATGTAGATTTTTTGAAATGGACTCAGGTGAAAATGGAGCGGGAGAATAATCAAAGACAAACAAATGCTGATGAAGAAATGCCGAAGTAAGTTCTTTTTTTGACACTTTTTTGTATTACCATTCTTAATAATAAGCATTGGAAGTTCCTAAGAATAATTATAAAAGACTGGCGAAAATTGCAGCTTGTTAAGGTACAGCTATCAGCAGCACTTTGATAGTTTAGCAGCCAAGAGTATTGCGCTCTGGTCGACTGATCCAGGATTCAATCGTAAACATTTCACCATAATATGTATTCCTTCCTGTGTTTGTTTTGTTTTGGTTTCTTCTTACAATCTACCCAATGACTGTGAATATGAAAAAGTAGTGATTCATGTTGTAATCAGCGCAACCAATACTCTGACAAAAAGTATCACCAAGGAAATAGGGTAAATACCGGGAGAGCACAACCTACCATCTCTGCTGAAAACAGTGATGTCACAGATGGCCCACACATTTAAGAAAAGTCACATATTGAAACGATGGCTCTAGAAGCATAGTTTACCCCCGGCAATAGGCTTGAATAGTCACTGTCTCTTTAAGACGAGAAGATAACTAGTACAGTAGTACCTAATAATACTAACTCTTTTCAACAATTATTTTTTACTTCTAGATTTTTAGCGATGATTTTGGAAATTACCTCTGGTATGCTGGATCAGTTTGGTTTTCCCTTGAGAAATCAAAAATTTCCCTAAAAATTGAGCTTTTTCCAGAATCCAGACAGGATATGCAGGTGCTGGGATAATCAAGACAATTTTTTTAAAAATACATGGGGAATCATGTATTGCATGCCTATTAAATTTTTCTCTATCTCCTTTGTTTCTAATGTTAAAGCTTTTCTACTCAAATTCCCCCTTCCATCCACATACCACCATGTATTGGAAAGGATGGGAAAAAAGTTTCTTCGGGTGTCTAATAGGATATTTCGTCTTGATTATTGCAGCTGAAGTCAAAACAGTTTTTTTACAGCACCCATCAGAGTTCTGAAAAATCGAATTTCACAAATAAGGCATTGTTATAGCTGGAAAAAACACCTTGATTTTGGAAACTTGATTTTCGAAGATTTTAGTAAAACTAAGGTAATTTTAGCTTCAGCAGCAAAAATTAGATAGTTTTAATCCGTTTAGACCCCCGAGAACATTTTTTCCGTCTTTTCCGATGTAAAACAATTGGATGAGCTTTACATGGTACCTGATAAATGGGCGGAAAGGGCATATAACTGTGAAAACCTCAATATTAGGTACAAAGAGGGAAAGTTTATTGGCTTGTAATACATGATTTTTTATGTATATTTGACTGCTGGATCCAAAAGCAACCTTGACTTTTCTCTATCCTGCTTAGACTTTCCTGAAAATCAATCTGATCACTTCTGGCAAGTCAAGTCTCATTAGCTCATCCTCTGCTTGTTTTAAATATCTCCAACCATGACGGAACTTATCACGATGACAAAGTGATAAGTTCAACCTGATTTCCTGCTTCATGCTCTGAGTATCTGCATTTTTTGCTCTTGAAAGGTATAATCCTGCTAGCAAAATAACCTGTGCTTTAGAAATGATGTCAGTGAGGTAGCATGTGAACATGTTCAAATTTGTATTTTAGGTTTGGAGCAGGCAGTGAATTTGGTCGGGAGGCTAAAGAGGAAGCTCGCAAGAAGAAATTTGGCTACGTCAGCCACAAGTATCGAGCAGAGGACCAACCATGGATCTTGAAGTGTGGTGGCAAAAATGGAAAAAAGTAAGAATGTGATGCATAAATAAGAATCTTTGTCCAACTCCTGACATTGATGTGCCCTCAAAGCTTCGTTTTTTCTAAAAGGGTCATTAATAACCCCAGAGAGTTTCTGTCTTGGCTATAGTGTTTTTTTGCGATTTTCTTCCAGAACCCTCCAAACCTATCCCCAGAATATCTATTCTAAATTATTTAATTTAAGAAATCTCTTTGAATTTTTATTTGAGCCCAAGTCAAAGCTGCCCAAGTAATTTCGTTTGGGCTGTTATCTTGGAATGGACCATTTGACAAGGTACGAAATTAAGCATTCTGATACTTGTCTCTTTACCAAAATTTCACGTAGAACACGATTTACATAATGAAAATTACTGAAATTAACTCTTAGCCAAGATATTTCATGTTTCTTGACGCGGGAATTCAAACCTCCCGCTCATGAAAACACCATGGTCTACATGAGTCAATTTGCTCCCTAAACGTAACCATAACAGTCTTTACGGAAAATCTGGCAACCTCAATCTTGATGCTTTGACTCAGCAATATACTAAGCTGTATGTATTTTAAACAACACAGGGTGGGAAATGAAAAGTACTCAATTGAAAAGCCTGCCAAAACCGTTGTAGTACGCGATTGGACTCGCATAGACTATTGAGTTTTTTGTGACCGGGCAATTCAAAGTTCTGGTGACCAACGTAAAATAAAAACATTAATATTTTTGTTAGGAGTTGATTTGAGTAATTTTTGATGCAAGAGTCACGTTTTATGTGAAATTCTGGTTAAGAAAACTGTATCAGAATACGCAAATTGTCAAATGTCAGTGATCCATTGTCCACATTTTCAAGTCATTTGGGGTCATATAAGCCTTATTATTTCCCTCCACATATTTTCCTGTCCCTAAAAATATTTTTTCCTCATTTTTGCTGTGATGTTTCGATGACTTTGAAGAGAGGTACTGAGCTAATCACTCTTATCAACGCAATATGGCAAATTTTTTAAACTTGTATACCTTAGAATCATCAAATCCCCTGAGAGACTTATATTTAGAGTTGATCAATCAAAGGAAGTGGCTCTGTTTGAGATTACTCTAACTTAATAACAAGAAACCGCCAGAAATTGTCGTGAAAAGTAGGAAATATTCTGGAAGCAACAGATAATTTATGTCAATAGGGCAGGGGGCGCTTAAAGGAGGCAATGCCACATCTAAAATAGGTGGAAATAACTGGAAAATGTCGAAATCATCTGTAATTACTCAAAAATAGCTAGAAATATTTGACAGAAGCGAAAAATAGGGGAAACTATTTGAAACAGCTGAAATATTTGTAAAATTCAAAAATTGTCATCCCATTTACTGTCATCAGTGGGAAGGAAGGGAGATCGAATTTTGCAGAAAGGAGAAGGAAATTAAAGTTCCCATCAATTAATTCATTGAGGTTGGCGTCTCAGTGTCTTGTATGCCGATGCAAGATGTAAAAATTAAATTTTGAAACCAAGGAGGAGTCAACCTTGACAACTGTAAAAAGTCGTGCTTCGGAGAGACATCCTCTCCAATTATTAAAAGTTATGATAATAATTTTACCAGCCAAAAACCTATTAAATATGAAATTTCTGGATTTATTTGAAGGAATTAGCTTGTTTAAAACTCTCCCTTTTTTCTCCCTCGAATTTTAAATATCATTGTGGAGGATAGTTATTCCTTTAGCTGATTTCCCTGCAGGATCATTACTGTATCCACAAATTAAGAAATTGAAAATTATTTGTCAACAGATTCAAAGGTGTTAGAGAAGGTGGAGTTGGTGAAAATGCTGCATACTATGTATTCTCTCACAATAATGATGGTAAAATAGAAGCATGTCCTATTCAAGAGTGGTATAATTTTCAGCCTATCCAGAGGTATAAAGCACTGTCAGTCGAGGAAGCAGAGCAAGAATTTGGACGGTAATTTTTCATCGGCACAATGCATGACTTTAGAATATGATGGCTTTAGCTAATAAATAATGGTGAGGTCTACCTCTGACATGAGGGCAAAAATAATCATAATTAATACAGGGTGTCTAGTATCAGGATTTTCCCGATTCTATCAGGATTTTAGGAAAAATCGGTCGTAAAATCAGGATTTGAGGAAATTCAGCCGTCCGCTTATTTTCCATTAATTATCCGTCATTTGTCCTCCGCAAAAAATCATGATTTGGAAAAATTATGAAAGCAGGATTTAGCAGTCAAAAATCAGGATTTCCCAAAATGAAGGAAAAACCGGACACCCTGTAATAGGTGACGATGAGCAACCTTTACTTGATGAAGTGCTATCAGTTCTTTTACAAAAGTATTGAATTTCAGCAGTCCTTAAACCTTTGATATTTATGACCTTAATGTAATATTTGAAGTATGTTTTATTCACAAAAGAGCCTTTTTATCCCTCACAATAAACTGCACAAAAAAGTTTTTTGACAACTTTGCACGTTTGTACAGTAGGTATTCAGGTTTTTTTTTTTTTTTTTATTTTTTTTTATTTATACATTTTTGGTCAGGTTTTCCAGGTTTATAAATATTGATCATGCAGATTATTAAGGGAAAATTTTGCCTCTCTTTTTCAGACGAAATAAAGTTATTAATTATTTCTCCTTGATGTTGCGAAAAAGACTGCGGAATGAAGAAGATGGAGATTTGGAAGAGGAAGAAGAAAAAAAGAAAACTGGCAAATCCAAGAAGAAAGAAAAAGGTATGTTTTTTCTTCAATAGATTCAGTTACAGATGCGGGAGTGGACATTTTTTTTTTTTTTCCGTGAAAAATTTAACAAATTAGTCGTATCTTGCGTGTAAAAGGTTGCAAACCTCATTGCCAGTGTTACCATATGTGTCCTCACAGAAAACAGTCGGAGAGTGAAAAATGACTCGAAAATTCCGGAGGGTTTTTTTACATGTTGCTAATCAATGTGAATGATGAATGTTTGTTGTAATCACACAGGGAGGTGCATTGTTCTTGAAATTCATATAATTCTGATCATAGATCTTGAACAGTGGCGTGGCGTCCATAGGTTCGCAGTGTTCGCCGAACACCCTAAAATATTTTGAAACAATCAATAAATTATGGCTAAGAATGTGGGAAGCAATACAGAATACAGAATAGTAGATCGCAAATAAGTATCGGGCGATTGGCTTCCGACAGAGGCATGTGGCGCGGCAGAGAGAGAAAATCCTGTGACGCGTGGTCAGCACCGGCTACCGAACCTGGATGATCTGCGTACGGTGAGGAGAGAGAACCTGGGTGCAATGATGAAGGGGCAAAGGGTACACGAGAGAGGAGAAGCACCGGCGCGCCGCGCAGAGCGGAGCGTGAGCATTGGGTTCGGAAACGAGTGCGGACCGCCCTCGCGGAGAGAACACAGCAGAGAGAAAAGGGAGGGGAAAAGAACGAGAGAGGAGAGCCGCTCATCAGTCCAGCTGTTTCCTATAGCAGTGGTCCGCGGGGGTTTGCGAACCGCCGAATTTCCTCTATGCTGCGATTCGCCCTCCGCTTCCCCCCCTGCGCCTGCGGGCCGCATCTCCCAGTTTCCTTCTCCCACCTCTCTCTGCAGGTGCGTGTTGCGAAAATACGTTATCATTTAACAAAATAAATTACAGGAAAACGATCGGTAAAAAGAACAAAATTTCAATGACAATTTACCGGCACAATTTTCACCAAAAAGGGTTAAAATCGTGTTCTTGCGGCTTCATTTTTTAAAAAGTTTCTGGGGGGGGGCCCCCCGAACCCCCCTTTAAGGAAGGGGAGGGAACCTTTCTGACCCCCCCCCCTAAAGTTAACACTCCTACCGGATATAGTCACGCCACGCCACTGATCTTGAAAATCTAAACAGAAAAAGTTGAATACGACTATTTTAAAATCCTGCAACTTTGTGTTGGTTAGTCTAACCTCATTTAAAAATGTATACCTGAAGACAGAACATCCCATTCAGTGTTGTCTTGCCTTTTCTCTTTTATTTGTATCATCTGCAATGATTTGATCTCATATTGTCAATGATTGTCAAACTTACTTAAAGCATGTTTTTTTTTTTTTTTGTTTAAATCGGACTTCTCTTCAGATCTAAAAATTTCTGAAATGGATGAATGGATGGACTCCGATGAAGATGACTCCGAATCAGATAATGAGAAAAGCGAGGATGAAGAAGGAAATGTGGCAAAGAAGAAAAAGAAAAAAAGTATGTAGTAACTTTTTATCTCTATTTTATGCACTTATATGTATACTTTACCTTATTCAAGTCATACCCTAAGGGAATGAATTATCTACCATGTTAGCTGTAACGTGAAGTTGATAAAATTTTCAATCAGCAGTTTTCGGGAAAGGTTGTCAACCGTATGAGGGTAGTGTCTCAGATAACAGCCATTTTCAGGAGCAAAACTTGGTGATGTTTTGCGAGAAGCATTTTTTTCGAGCTCGTGCAAATAATCTTGCTCTTCCTTGCTACTCAATTTCGAAATTAAATTTGTTACACCACATGTTTTACCCAAGAATGTTACTAATAGCCTATTTTGAAATACTTTCTTTTCCTACACGTGACATTCCTTACGTACCTACTTGATCATACAAGTGCAGAACGCCAAAACGACCTCAACTCTCTCCTATGCTCTCAGATACAAGTGCTTTGCCGGAAAGACTCACAGAATGGAAATTTTTACCATCTATCATACAATACCTAATTTCACCTGAGCCGCTGCCTTGCTCTTGGATGTTTAAATTGCAGGTAGACTTTTTAATGCCGGAAAATCATTTTGTTTATTCACCATTTTCACTGTTATTCATTATAAAAAAATTTGTGATTATGTCTAGCTACTCTTTTAATTTATCTATACTCTGTGTTTACTTTAAAGATGATGCTAAAAAGAAACAAGCTGCAAAGAAGAAGAAGAAAAAAGGCTCTGATGAATCTGCCGTAGAAGAAAGTGATGATGGTGATGAGGAAGGAAGGGAATTAGATTATATCTCTGATTCATCGGATAGGTATGAATTAATTCCCTAAATCTAAATTTACGGTTGGTGCCAAAAACTTTCGAAAAATATAAATTAAAAAGATGATAAAGGTTGCCAAGGTCCAGCATTAAGGTGGCTGTGAGTTTTTGTGGATCATACTTCACTCTAGAAACCAGTACCACTACGACAGTGGTCAGTTTTTTCTATTTGACAAATTATTTATGATAAATGAATGATTTCAAAATTTGATTGATGTATCTTTAAGAGTTCTAAAGAATACTGTTGAATGAATTAGTCATTCTTGTATGTATTCTTATACATGTCATCAAGATTTATCCACAATGGTCAGTCATTGTGCGTCTTTTTTAGATCTTTTTTCCGGCGCAGATGTAGCCTTTATGATGCAGAATTAGCTCATCTTAATATGATTTTGTGAGAGATGCATTGTATCTAAACTTCCTGCCATTGCTGCGCAGTATGATTTGGAAGCTCAACCACAGAAATGAGCAGCCTGAGTGAACTGGTTCTGCACACCATTACAATATTTCATTATAAATAGCTTTTTTTTTTTTTTTTTTTTTTTTTTTTAGCGAATCAGATCATGAGGCTAAAGTTGACAAAGAGATGAAAGGAGTTGCAGAAGAAAGTGCCTTGCGAAAGCTTTTAACATCAGATGAAGATGAATCAGAGGAAGAAGAGGGAAGTGATAAAGTGAAGAGCGAACCGGAAGAAAATCCACCTTCAGAAGATGATGCTAACACTCCTGGCTCTAGTTTGAAAAAGAAAAAGAAGAAATTGAAGAAGAAAAGCAGTTTAAACAATGCTAGCAGCAGCAAGAAATTAGATGGCACTGTCAAAGAAGAAGGTAAGCGGTGTTCTTTTAACAAGTACAATTTGTGATTTGATGCTTGAAAGGACAAATAAAGCTGGAACAAAGCTTTATGTGTCAAGATTTAGTAATCAATGGAAAGAATTAAAATGAAACTACTTTTTTTTTTTGAATGGCTTCGTGTTTCCCATGAAATTCTGCAGAAGATAATGCTAAGTCCAGGAGTGGATTACAAACATTTCTGGTATGCTTAACAAGATTTTTCGGTGATTTCACCTGTATTAGGTTTTCGCAGTTTGCTGTATCTCTAGCGTGCAACTGACCCAACCCAAGGAGAAACGCTCCTTGCCGGAAAATTGGAGCCCTCCATGCCGTTGACAAGGAATTCATTTGTTATAATTTCATCATAATTTTATTTATTGCGTCATAATCATGAAAAGATATTTGTGTTTTGCCAAGAAAAATTGACAGGATTATTTTGGAAGAGGGGCTTTTTTACGTAGCAAATGGGGGTGAATTTTCAAACTGTGATTTTGGTTTAGTGCACAGTTCTTTTCGTACGAAGGTTCTTTTAGAGTTCAGACAAATTTTTTGGCCCCTGCAGCCAGAAAAAAAGAAGGAAGAAGAGGGGATAAAAAAGTATGGATTCTTTCGTATTGGACTTTTTAATATCTACATATTTTATCTCTCACTATCAATATACTTTATGCGTTGTTTTTCAGAGTCTTCTAGTGATTTTAGTCCAGATAGTTCCGACTCAGAATTAGAGGCTAAAAGCAAGCTCTTAATCAAAGAAACAAACAGGTAAGCCTTTTTTTCTTTTTTTTGTATGTGTGACCAGCTTCTCTTAACTTTAGTATTTACATCCCATTCTTCATTACTGTAATAGGGTGAATGGTACATTAATTTTGTTTCAGACATCACTGTTATACTCATTAAAATGCGATAAAAATTAAATGAAGTTGAACCAAGAATGTCTCTAAATAGAATTTAGTATTAGGTCTCCTTTGTCATCGAAGACATTTTCTCAAAAAAGTCTTAAATTTTATTTATTATCATCAACTTAATTTCATGTGAAATTAGCTGTGAGATTGTTCGAATCGTAGCAATAAATGCGTAATTTGAATTTTGAGTCCTTTAAAGTTATGATTCCGTTTGATCCAATTGCATTTTTTACCCCTGAAACATTTAGTTACCAGATGTTATGAAATTTACGATTCATACACTTTTTTTGTAATCTTAGTCTTAATTGATTGCCTGTATTCATAATTTTATTTTTGGGTATCACATAATTTCATGTGGATCAATTGCATTGTTATCAGCTAAAAGCTGATGGTCTCCTCTGTTCATGAGATATGAACCTCCAAGTTTGAACTTTGACCCTCCCCCTCCTCCTCTAATTATTCAATATCAGAAATTCTACATGGTTTAGATTCAAGAAATGATCCTCTATCAATCCTTAAAAATATTATAAAGATCTGCCCAAGGTTGGAAATGGCTAATTTTTGGCAAGCTTCCTAACATGAGCAATCCAAGCAACAATGATAAAGGGAAGAAAAGGCAGCATTGCAGGGGGTTTGGAATTAGGATCTGCAAGAGCAGAAAGGGAAAGTGAGGGTTGCAAGTATAAGCACATGGCGGAACGGGAGGGAAGAAGTTTCACTTTTTAATTAAGTGACGTAGAATCGACCACAGAATGAAAGGAGTCCCGCACTGGGGTTTGTATCACATTTAATGCTTTTAATTTAATATTAGCATTTAGTGAGAGTCTATTTTGTTTTATTTTAGTGGAAGCAATTCAAGATCAGGAAGTCCGTCCCAGCTGAGCCCAGATTCTAAACGCCTTTCTAATGAGCCTCTCGCTAAGAAACCAAGATTAGACAATTTTGCCAGGTAAAGTTTTGACATCATTTTAATCATTCAAAGTGGACACGGAATCATGATAGTAAATTAAAGGTTGAACTAATTTAAATAAAATAAATTTATTGTCAGAGTTGAGGAAAATGCTTGATCTTACTATCTGTTACAAGAAGAACTCTATTTCAGAGAAACTGGAACTTCAAAGAAAAAGTATAAATTTGAGGAAAAGATATGTAAGATTTTAATGTAAAATGCAACCCTGTGCGGAAAAAGCAGCACAAAATCTAGGACTGCGAGAAGAAGACGCCTGATGGTAAGAAAAGATCAGTGCTTAGGAACATTCTGCACCCCAATATCCATCTCTTGTCTGAGATGAAATTAATCAAATTGATTAACAAACAGAGCTTAGAAAAAGCTCTTTGATGAGACCAAGATTTGCAATTAAGATTTAGCTCTAAATCGAAGTAAAGTTGTTGTATGTAGTTTTTGGGACAATTTTACCAGGCCTAGGGAGTCTGTTGCAGAAAACGTGTCTTTTAATTTTCTGTCAACTTGTTAAACAACAGTATTGTCTAAAATAAAGAACAGATCAGACAATCTTTCCCCTCTGAGTCACCTACTATCATCACTATTTTGACAGATTTGGTTTTCAAACTCTGATTTATGTTGCTGTGCTGTTCGATAACCTGTTTTTTTTTTCTTTTTTCAAAAATGTAATATAGTTTTTCTAATTTGCAGCGAAAGTGGAATCACAGAGGAAGCTGTGAGACGTTACTTAAGTCGGAAACCTATGACAGCCACTGAACTCTTGCAGAAATTCAAAAAACCGAAGAACAATTTAACTTCTCAGCAACTAGTAAATTGTATGACTCAGATATTAAAGCGAATCAATCCAATCAAACAAACTATAAAAAACAAAATGTATCTGTCCTTGAAACCATCTTAAACACCTGTGTTGAATGCTATTAGGTTGAATTTTCTTCATATATAAGAATAAATTTTCTGAACTCCTAAGTTTTTAAAGTTTATTTTTTTTGTACATCTTGTAAGCCCTTAAGCTGAATAGTCTTCTCCAACAGTGAGGCTCAGAGGCTAAAATTAACTAAAGTTTTGAACAGTAAATTCACGCTCTTATATCTGGATTGCATTTTGCAAAAAGGAACCACTAGCATTGCAATGTTGCTAAGATTGTGCAACTTCTTTTGTCTTGGAGGAAAAACCCGATTATCCATTAATAGTTTCTATTTTACTCGCTAAAAACTGTAAATTTAAGACAAAAACTACCATCTAAATTTCATAGTTTTTCACGATTTCCGCAATTTTATTGCGAAAGATGAAGTCGCACAATCTTAGCATCATTGCAATGCTATAGTGGTTCCTTTTTGCAAAATGCAATCCATCTGTTCACTGTCAGGGCAGTTTTATTTTTAATATTCTCCAGAGCAAGAAAAACTATCGAAAATCTCTATTCTGGCAGTTCTTTGCTGTATCCAGCATTTTTCAACATTTAAATATAAGAAAATCAAAACAATAGTGTATTATCCCTTCGGAAAATACACTAAAAAATCAATGATTTATGTGGTAACTGTTGATAACTGCAATTGCCATTAGTGTGTGGCAATGTTTGGTTTGTAATCAGCAGTTTTTCAGGGGGTTTTTGTTAATTTTTCCGTTTGTTTACCATGATTGGTATTTTCCTCGGATGGAGTCATCTCGTGATAATGTTATCTTCTCAACTCAATTTTCAATGTCCATAAAAAATCAGATTGGATCTCTCTTGTAATTTCTTCCTGACACATTATGTATCAAATTGTTTTCCAATTAAAAATGAAAAATTTGGGAGATTTGAAACTGATTCTACTGATCCAATTCAGAATAAAATTAATCAATCTTGGCAAAATATTAGCCAGTCTGAATCAATTGGATGTTATCAATCTTTAGGACTTGAAGAATTGATCTAAGGATCGTCATCACTAACGCTTGGCAGGATAAGAATTGAAGCGCCACAGGGCATGTTTCCTCACCAAAATTTGATGCTGAATACGTTAAGCGCACTAAAATACTCGAATTATTAACATAAAATAGAAAGAGAGATTATCGTTGATTTTTGACATTAGAGTTAGAGGTTTCAAACTTCCCTCTCGTAGGAAAACCAGACAACGCAAAGCAACAAAGCAAGTCAAATCGATTGTTGAAAACAAAGGTATCATCTACCAAAGAATTGAACTTTGGTTTTTCTATACTTTTATTCTCCTTTGAAGAAATTTACATAGCTGTAAACTTGTCAAAAAAGACAGAGAATAAAAAAAGAACTCTTTCATTTTAAAACTGGAGTGAGTTGAGTGTCCAATATCAGTCCTAGAGACTTTGATTTTCAGGATTAGCCAGAGGATTGAAATGATTGAACAGAAAGCGCTGATTTCTTACTTATAGGACAAGATTGGAAATTGATGTGTCTACCATGTTGTACACATCAGTATCCAAGAGCCAGAAGGTACCTCACATCATTGGAAATATCGAGTTGTTGGCATTTAGGAAAACTCCAGTGTGTGTGGAAAATTTAGTCGTCGCACCTTAAGCCAATCATAAGAAACGGAATTTAAAAATTTGCGATTTACATGGGAATTGATGGGGTCAACACGCAATTCTCTATCTTGAAATTACTCAAATGGACTTACGTACCTTTTGACTCTGGGGTACTGATATGTAATTTTGGTGAGAAAACATACCTGTGCTTAAACATAGCAGTGCTTAATTTCTGACCCATTCTTCCCCTTCAGTCTTCTAGCACTGTCAAGGCATCTCTGTTTGATTGAGAATGGGAGAATAAATTATTATCCTAGAAAAGAATTTTGAAGATAAAATTCAAAAACAATGAGGACGAATGTAAGAAAAGAGAACATAAATATGGTGAAAATAGCACATTTATGATAAAAAAAAAACAAAAATAAAGAGGTTTTTTCTTTGATACCATATCTTAAAATAATAAGTGCTCTTAAAAGACAGTTCATGACGTGATCGTGAGAGGATCACAATCCTTTTCGGAGACATATGTTTCAGCATGTAGTTCTTTGGCATGTAGTGCATCGGCTAATTTTGCAGAGAAAATGTCCAGGAAGCCTCGTTCGGAATTACTATGATGGGTTAAAATTACTGAGACGTTGTTATGGCTGGCCTCTAAAACATCATGATGAGACATCTCCCCTGTCAAGTATACATCTGCTGGTATGCCGTTGAGGACAGATGACCCAGATCCAGCACAGGCTGCAATTTTAGTCACTTTGGAATCTAGAATAAACATATTTACAAACTAATAATGGAATTGAAAATACAAATACCTTGGTGACAAAACTAGACAAGTTTCAAAATAGTAATAATTTAATTAACATTTGAGGTTGTTTGGTGCAATTTTCAAAAGTAAACTTACTTCAAAGGACCCCGCACACGCCGTATGGAAATAAGTGCCTGATTCGATTTCCAATGTTTTCATTACATCAAACTCTTCTATGGATGCTGATCAGAAGTCATCAGTGCACCAACTTTCTACGAGCCACCGTTTTTGCACAATCCGCAGTTGAAGTTTCGATAATTAATTGGATAAAATGAAGGTAGTGCGGCAAAATAGTCACTGTGCATTTCGGCACATGGTGATCAGCCTCCGAGTGGCAGTCTTATCTCGGATTCTGCGCACCTTTTCTTTTCACCGACCAGATCAGTTCCTTCCCCTCTCTTTCTCTCATCCAGGGTTTCTACTTCATTCCAACTTTCAAATTCCCTGGGTTTACCCTGTATTTTCCCTGAGTGATGGCATCCTAAAGTAATTCTCTATGACAACTCATCCGACACAGAGGTGAAAAACAATCACTAACCCGAGGCTCTGATAGCTGACAACTTATAGAGGCTACTCCTGCCTCCTAAATTTCTCGTTCAACTTCACTACCCCACAGTCCTATTCTAAAAATATTGGATTGTATTAATGTGTGGATAAATACACTTTCAAAAACCATGCCTCACAGACGTTTCATAATAATTTTTGACTGCTTTATGTAATCTGATAAATAGTGATTTTTCGTCATCTGAACAACTGTCAAAAAACTGTGATTGAGTCAGGCAAAATGGGACTAAAAGCGAAAAAAAGAAAAAAGTGAGATAACTCTACCGCAGCTCAGAGGGATTAAGTCTGCAGAATTTGGCATAAAGAACTTTAAAAAATTGACTGTACGAGAGTATTTCAAAGTTGGGGACCAATAATACGCAAACTTGAGAAATAAAGAGTTCAAGTTTGCTGGCACTGTTGCTAGCCTTCGAAGTTATCCATTTCAAACGCTCGTAACATTATTCATAATGCAACTTTTGACCCAATATTCATGAGAGTAAGTATTAGAAAGCTTTTAGCACCGAAAATTGAAAAATCAACATTTTAAGTCCCATTTAGCTAGACTCGAACACAATTTTTTTTTATGTTTATTAATCTAAGAAATCAGTGTGCGCTGGTAATTGTGGATAGAAATTTCAACTAAGAGATCACTCATTCTTTTTCTTCAAAATTTTTGGGAACACTCGACTCCAGACCACGCCATTAATGCAAAAAAGCTTTGGACGCACTCCGTAAGAGAGCACTGCTGCAGTATTTCTATTGGATTGATTATGCGCGAATTGACGACACCCACGGATTTTGAAAAAGCGAAAATTCCAGAATAGCCGTCGAATTCCCTGTGTTTTCCTTCAAAATTCTATTCCCTGGGTTTTCCCTGTTTTCCCGGATTTTCCAACAAGTAGAAGCCCTGCTCATCCTAACCAGGCAGACACACTCTGCGTTTATCCTTAATTACAGCCAGCCTTTCCGGAATTTTGGAAACTTCAATTGCAGATTGTGCGAAAACGGTGGCTTGTAGAGAGTTGGCGCAATGATGACTTTTGATCAGCATCCATACACGGATTTAATGCAATAAAAAATTGGAAAACAGGGCACACATTCTCATAAGGAGTGTGCAAGATCCTTTATAGGAGGACAATCCTATCCAAATCAGCGATCCAGCTAACTGTTCCATGATTCAATTATGAAACATTGGCATAAAGCCAACTGTAAAATAAAAACTAATCTTTTCATCTATTGTCATATCTGCCTAAGAAAGGACAGGACTTGCAATTAATGCACCAAGGAAAAATCCTTTCTGGTACCATCTGCTAATCATTTGAGCTTTCCACCGAGTTGAAAAATATCTTGATACAATACTATGTACATAAAAACAAGATTTCGCCTGTCCATTCTATTCTCTTTCAATTTTTGCATGAGCTATTGGCCCACCGGTTATGGGAGATATCAAAATAAAAATACATACAATATTTCCTGGGTGGAACTGAGGAAACTGATTAATGACATTTTACAGGTTATTGTATCAGCCATTCATTAGTAACCAGGGGTACAGAATCTTCCATGCTTCCACATTTTCACGCGCCTGCTAGCAGGGCGATTATTGAAATGACATCGACTCTGTCGCCGCTTTGTCGTGTCACGCAATAGACTGAGTGTCAAAAATCGCCCTGCTGAAGTCTTTCCACATTTTTCTCATCAGTTTTCAACAAAATTTCCCACCGATCTTAAAAAAGATGATGTTTTTCTTCTGTTTTCCTTTGATTTTCGACTTTTGGCCCCCCAAAATATTCTTTCCTTCCACATTTTTGGGCATTTTCTGCACCCCTGTTGGTAACACCTCTTTACCTACTAATTAAGTGGATAAAAAAACAAAAAAATAAACACTAGAAATGATGTATGAATACCTAGAGAGTGATTTACTCCAAGTCCAACTTGTATACCCTCATGCAAACCACAATGGTCCTTTACACGGTCGACAATTTCTTGAATAGTGATAGGCTTAGACAACTGAAGAATTCTTCCAGTGCCTCCATCAGAGCTTAACTCCTGAATTAAAAAAAAATTGAACAAAATGAGAAAAATCAATATTTTCATTCGCACCAAACTTTATTTGAGGGCTCAAATTTTCCAGATGAGTTTTTCCACTTTTTCAGGAAGGAATACATATAACATTTACGCCAACTATCAAATTCAATGATTCAAACAAGCTGCCCTTCTCGGCTTCTAAAAAAGCTGCTGTATCTATTGTTGTATTCTTCGCGGATGAATTCCCTGTGGTTATCTTCCGCAGTACAAAACTTAAACCTCCAAGAAAGTAGGTTCACGGAAACTTGCCTACAGACATTTATTACAGGACGTTCGCCCATTTAGCCATATGCCAGTGCCTGTGAGTTATTCGGTTACGAATGCTTGCAACTTTTGTAATAGAGGTAATACTCAATTTTTTTGCTTCTACAAAGAGATTTAGTAGCTCATAAAAGTAGAGTTGCAGGGTTGCCATAGAATTTAGAAAATGAAATTTTATGACCAACTTCCTAGTTGGCCCTGTGGCCATTCATGAGCTATGACACAGAGTAGACTTATTCATGTTGGAGAGAGAGTGATTGAATGAAACAGAAGGCTGCTCAATGCATTAAGTCTTTAGATATTCATTCTAGCACGATTAAAAAAAAATTTAAAAAGTAAAAAACTTTAACCGAATGTCATGACTCTTACCCTCTAACGAAAATCTTCCTACTTTTAGCACTAACTCAAAAACTCATGGTGAGCTGCACTGACTCTAATAGTGCAATTGTAATCAACGAAACATAGCTGTGACGTCCTATGCGCAGAGAAAAAGTTGCATTTTGTGCTACAGAAAATACACCTTAAACACACAGCTTGATATAGCTGAGAATAAGCTTAGCTTAACATAACTATGGCTCAAACTTCAGCTGAGATTCTTAAGCTTTTTGGCAATAAAAGAAAAGGGTAAAAAACGCACAAAACATTTACAAGCACATTCTAAACACACCAAAAATGCAATTCAAAAGTTTTTGAGCTGTGTTTTGAAGATAAAAGAAGAAAAAAGGTGCGACAGAATTATCTAACCTTCGGTGCTGTTGAACTCGTATAACTGGGATAGTTAGTTTCCTCTTCAAACCTCTCAAGTAGTGCATCGGATATGAGAACTGACTCTAACTTCCCCTCAGCATCAAAAATTAACCTGGAAAAAGGAGGAGGAAAGGAAGATGGTTAGCCCTTTTTCATATTAATTGAATTACAAATACACATTATTTTGGCTGCTTGGGATTCAATTACTGAATACGCAAAATTCAGAATTAGATTATTTCAATCCAGTTTGCAGTTTTTATTGGCGATGCAGAGATCATTATCGTTTTATTATTGATATTGCAAGAGGGTCTAATTCCCATCTAATTTTTTCCTTCTTTTATTGAATTGATGATATCATAGGGTTATTATTGCTGTTTGAACGTAATAAGCATACCTATAAGCCTGTTGCAAACTTCAGCTAAAGCAAAAAGAAGAGTTCCTTCCTACAGAAAATGGCTCAGAAATCACGATGAGCTTATCGGAAAAGTCTGGAATGCACTCCTAACTTCACAATCTGCTTGGGTAATACACGTTTTTTAAAGCTTCTCGCCTCAAAAACGATACTACAGCACAGGTGAACATTCCAGAAGAAGAGTTGTTCCATCAAACCCTTTTGCACTGGGATGCTACACAATATTCACCATGGCTAATGCTTCCGAGTGCCAATATGAGGAAGCGCCATGGTCTTTATCAATGCAAGAAAAAGGTGGAGAGATATAAACATACCAGTTGATAAAATCCCGTCTTGGCACTTGTGTTTTGCCAGGATGGTGTCGACCATGTTGAATATTGCCTAGCATTCTAGCCCACGAGGGTTAGATAGAACGACTCCTCTTACAAAATGTTCACCTGTAATATGGTTTGAGTGGCGGGAGGCTTAAAATCCCCATATTACTTATGCACATTATGAAGTTAGAGGTGTATTTCAGACTTTCCAGATGTGCTCATTGTGATTATTGAGCCACTTTCTGTAGGAAACGATTCTTCTTTTAGCTCTAGCTCAAGTTTGCAACAGGCCCATTCCTTTGAATTTTTGCAAGTAGAACAAAACTTTATGGTAGACAAGCCAATAAGTAAAGGTGCATTGATTTTTGGCAATTGTGAATGGAAAATCTGAGGTTTCTGGAACATGAATAAGTCATTGCCAATTTGCAGCTTGCAATAAGAAATTGCCAGCTTGACTAGAGCATGTTGGTATTGTTGATTCTCAAGTAGTTTTACTCAAAGAATCAATTTTAACGATGAACAAAGCAATTAGTTTGTTGAAGTGATTTTTTTTACTTTACAGAGAAAGCCAATGCCCAAGGAATGCATTAATTTCTTCACAAATTGAAAATAACCTACTTCAATCCAAATAAAAAATCATTGATTTTCCATATAAAATTACAAAAAATCAATAAAATAAAACAATTTAATAAATTTTCAACCTTTAAAATTGATTTTATTAGTAAAATTACATGCGTGTCAACCAGTTCCTGATGTGTCAGGTTCATTCATTCATTTAATAGTGAGTCAAATATACCTAATTATAAATCCATAGATTCCCCATATGAAATGGGAAATATGGAATTGTCAACCTTAAAAATCAATTCTTAAATTGGTACAGGTGGTGAGGCAGGCTGACGAGCAGAGGCACCTCTTAACCACTGACCGCTGGCGATGTCTGCTTAATAATTATGAAATTAATGTGAGATACCATACCTACTAGATCCTGGATGATTGGTAACGAATTTTTTAATGGCTAAATAATTGACATCGTCCTGAAGTGAGGTGTTCAGTTCCAGCTGAAGCTGAAAGTCACTGGAGCTATGAGTTTTGTTGGGGATAATGGGTGTAGAAATCCCTGCAGCTGAAAAAAATAAAATACAGTAAATAAATCATCCTGAGCGCTTTTTATTGAAAATTAAAGACCAAATCACCCTGAAAAATTAACAAAAACTTGAATATAATATTATATTTCAGAACGGTCCATGATGTTTCCCTTGCTTACAATATTACACTGATTCAATTTTTACAAGTATGTTGAGTCTGTGCCTATTTTTACCTGAATAATAAAGAGATTTTGTTTTTAAACAGCAAAGAAGAGAATCGTAGATCATAAAGCAGCAACCGCACGCACAGTCCGACTGTACAATCAATAAGATTCACGGGCTAAATGGACAGTCGGCAGTGGCCCAATGCTAATGGTACATTCTCTACGCATGCACACACTGTCAACTGTATACAGTCCAGGACTATACGTGTGATAGCTACTTAAGAATAGATGTCTCACGAACAAGTGGTCCTATCCAAAAAAAAAAAAACAGTCAAGTAAAAGGATGGTTACAGTTTAGAATTGAAATTCCCTGACTTTCCCAGTTCTTCTCTGACCAATTACAAGAAAATGTCCTGACTTTTAAGAAAACACACATCTTTTCCATTCATGGTGACCCTAAAATATCTACGAACAGTTAATACCACATTAAAATAACTGAAGACTGAAACAGCTTTAGAAGTGTCAAAAAATCAGAATTATATTCATGTCTAATGGGTAAATCTGCCCTATTGCGAAGAGACTATGAGTAATATTTTGTATACCAAGTATCTGAAGAAATTGTGGGGCTAAGAAGACAGAGAAACAATTCAGGAGAAAAAGAAATTCTTGATTTGCCATACTTAAAACAACATTATATAATCTACCTTACAAAAATTTAAAGGCTGTAACTCTCATTATTTCTTCATTCTGTGGAATTTTAGAATTGTGTGGAGAAATGTAAGAAGCATATTCCTAATAGACGAATTTTTGAAAAATTAGAGGATGCTTTGGCACATCAATTTTGAAAGCTCAATTCAGAGGAACTTTCATTATTTTTCAAAACTGAAAGAATCAAGATTTTTTTCTTTTTTTTCTTCCTTGTCATTTGAATAGGGGCTGAGAAATATATTAGAGAGAGAAAAAGGATAAGTTGAATGGAATACCACTAACAGAACTATTGTAAAAACCATTCGAATATTTTTATGAAAAGAGAATCAGAAAGAGAGTCAATGAAAATAAAATTAACTTACGTAGTCCTGATAAAAGCCAATCATTCACTCCTCCATAGACTGTGTCCCAGCAGGTGTGAGGAGAGTAAACAGCTATTCCCTCCTTCAGACATTTTGAAACTATTCTTTCCTATGAAAAATGAAATGCATAAGGGGAATAAAAAAAGCAACTTCCACTGTTCCGTGATTCTGATTTCACCAAAAATTTCCATGAACATGCAATTTGAACTGAGGAAAAAATTAAAATTTTTAAGTTCCTGACCTTAACCTGCACACTCCAAAAGACATCTTGCGATACAATTAAAAAAATTGAACAATGATAAAAAGCCAAACTCACATTGTTTTAAATTCGCTTTCAGAAGAATTGAGAGATGGCATGAGGAAATAAAATATTGAGGCTTTTTCATTTCATTTTCTTTTCATTTAATGTATGCCAACAGCACTCTGCTTTTGACCTAATAAAATTGCCCCTCTCAACATATTATTACACTTCAAAGGTATAAAAGCTCTAAGTTATGGAGATCTTTTGACAGCATTCAACTCTGAAATGACCATAGTCTAAATAAAGTAAATTTTACAGTAATTAAAAGATCTAGACTCAGGGTAAGCTATGGTTAGGTGTTTGGATTCACGCCTTTCTTCAGAGGTGTGGGCACCGAAACATCATAAAAATCTAATCACTAATAGTATTTCTAAGAGTTACAATTTTTCCACTGAAAGGAGGGATTTGCTATTTGCAAGTTGATAAGAGAAACTTTCTGTTAATTTCTATCAGTTGTGGCCTATGTCAACAGTGTATCTTTTGGGTTTTTAAGTAAACAAAAGTGAGAAAAAAAAGGAACTTTTCAAAATGGAGTGATACTTACTTTCCAAGTCTTCTGAGTTATTCTTTTGAGAGCTTTGAAAAGAGGTGGATGGTAAGATATAATCAAATCTGCAGACTGCTCTATCGCTTCTTCTAAAACAAGTTCAGTCAGATCATTTGTAAAAAAAATCGTTTCGATTGGTTTGAGCTCAGCAGGCTCCAGTAAAAGTCCCACATTATCCCAGGGTTCAGCCAGTGACAAAGGTGCAAATTCTTCTAATTGCTTGACCACTTCCGATAAAGTTGGTGCACGGTACATGTTATCACAATGAGTGCTTAAAGCGCCCTTGATTCCAGTTGAGGAAGAATAATTAAAAGTTTGTGGTTTGTTGAAAACTGTAAATTTTTTAACTCTACCTTTGACTTGTTCTTTGATCAAACAGGTGCTGGAAACAAAACCAAAATACCAACGGGAGGGTAACAGGAGTCCTCTCATTACGTCTAACAACTTGGGCCGCACAAGGAGAGAAAAAAAAATTAAATTAGACAAATATGAAATAACCTATGAAAAATGCGAAAAAACAACACTTAAGAATAATTAAGTTCGAATGCTAACATCATTTCCACAAAAGATCAGAAAGCACTGAAATGGCTGAGTACTTTTGGCTTAAAAATAAAAAAATAAAAAAAAAACCAATCAATTATCTGGAATATAAGAATAGTTTTTTTTTTTTTCACCACTTCACATCAAATTTCATTGAATTGCCATAGTTTGACTGCACCATCATCACTAGCGGAGGCAAGTAATCCGGGAACGACTGGATTCCAAGCTACGGAATTCACATCCTGCGAATGAGCTCGATCACAGGTTGCAACTAGGCTAAAAGATGGTTCATTAATGTTTGAATCTCTATCTTCTTTGAACACTCTAATTACATCATCTCCACAAGCAGTGGCAATCAGATCAGTTGTATGACACCAAGATATATCATAAATTGTGCGTGTATGATACCCTGACAGAGTACATACACATTTCCAGACAGGTTCATTAGTGGATGTGGCTATTCCCACTGAATTTCCAGGCAAGTATTCTTGCCAGATTTTCACTGTGCAGTCATCGCTGCAGGTAGCTAGTCTTTTTCCAGTTTTATCAAAAGCAGCACTCCATACGGTGGATGTGTGAGATGAGAGAGTGGCAACACAAATCCAGTCGTTGTCTACAGGGTCTTCTTTAAAAATTTTTACACTGTTATCATAACTAGTTGAAACTAGAATATCTTCGAGAGGATGCCACAATACTTTTTTAACATCTTGTGTATGTGCATTTATAACAGCTGAACATTCGTATTCATCATCATCTGCTTTATCCCAGACCCACACAGTTTTATCTCTACTACAAGTGGATAAGAGCTGCCCAGATTTGGACCAGGCAACAGATTTCACCTCATTTTCATGACCTTCCAAAGTAGCATTGCATTCGAATTCACCCGATTTTTTATCCCAAATGGCAGTTGTGGCGTCAAAGCTCGCTGATGCTAAATAATTTCCGCATGGTGACCATGAGACTTGTCTAATTGTACGTTGATGTCCATCTGTAAGCATTGTTTTTGCTACCCATTTTTTTCCGAAAGTCTCTTTGCCCCACAGTCTAATAATTTTGTCTTCTCCACAGGAAGCGAGTAAGTTGCCCTGGGGATGCCAGCTAACATTCCACACTCGTCCTATGTGACCACATAATGCTTGTACAAACTCCAACCCTTCCATGAACTGAAAAAAAAAATAAAAAAATAAATAAATTGAAACAAAAGAAAATTAAGAGAAGCAGTGAGTTCAAAGCAATCATTTGTACAAGAGATAGTTGAGGTGTCTTGGTATACATTAAGTCTTTGATCTTCTAGATACACAAGCGTCTCTTCCACAGCATTTTACAGCACTATCCAGTACCTTACTACCATAGCCCCCCTTCCAAAACCCTTCAGAGGACTACCAAATCTTCATCTCTTGCTCCACCCCAGACTCCAGTCTTGCACTTAGGGTCCCTGTCAAGATCCATCCATATAGGTCAGTCATTTCCGAAACCGAAATGAGAATCTTCTGCGCATGACGTCAGCATTACTGCCGCGAAAACCAGAAATGTCGGAAACAATGCTTTTCTTATGGGAGAGAGCAAATTTTTCTTAATGAATCGTTTAAATTTCTTACTTTTAAATCCTTTGAAACTTTCTGAGTGTCGAAAAGAACATTCAGACATTAGCGTCCAGGGTTTAAATTCAGCTGAATTTGCGTTTTTATATTTTTAAATGATTTTTGAAGTCAGCGATGTGACAGGCCATCTAGTGGTATCGATTCGCAAGTAAAAATGGCTGATGCAGAGTAAACTGTAAAAATGAAAGAACACAAATTCGGCAAAATCGAAACCCTGGATGCTAATATCTAAACGTTTCTTTCAACACTCAAAAAGTTTCAAAGGATTTAAAAGTAAGAAATTTAAATGACTCGTGAAGAAAAAGTTGCTCTCTCCCGTAAGAAAAGCATTGTTTCCGACTTTTCTGGTTTTCGCGGCAGTAATGCTGACGTCACGAGCCAATGGAAAGGGGCTTACCCCGAGCGGGGAAATCTGCGCAATGACTGACCTATATGGATGGATCTTGGTCCCTGTCACTAGAAACCTCTTGGATACTGATGAATCGGATAAGAGCCACAGCCCAATAACAGATACTTGAGATACAGCGAGCCAATTATTGAAAGTTTAAAGCAACCCCATAAGATATCAAAATGCAATATATTTCATGGTTAAGATAGGACTATGTCTTGCCTTGCCAGACTGTCATAGTTTAATTAATCGGGGTGCAGATACAGATTGCTGGATGACTGCCAGGTGAGAGGAACATGACGGTAGCAGATGTTGAATGTGGTGGATCCATTTTTATTCTTTTACTTTCCAATCTTCTTATGCTGCAAAGTAAAATTGAACTAAGGGCTAGCTAAAGGGCCCTTGGATGAAGACTCATAATTGTGGGGTAAAATGAAAACACCGATTATGAAAAATATTGATGCTCAGTTTGTTTGCGATACGGAACACATTCCAAGACGCTCAAGAACATTGGATACAAACTTGCATTAATGAAAAAGGTCAGAATTGAATTATGTTGAAGGCTGGCAACAGCGCCACCTAACTTGGACAGCATTCTACTCCAATTCCCCGTTGCTACGCTTCAAGCTTTGAACTGCTGCCTCGGTGTCATTTGGAATTTTACAGTATACAATGAATGATAGGCTGTAGACCTAACCACTCTAAGCTGTGTTAAAATTATCTAACTTTCACTATTTTTTATCTTGGCTACACTGCTGAAGTAAACTTGAACCTCTTGAGAGGCCATGTGCCTGAATCCAAGCTATCTTCTTGCGATACCCCTGCATAGCTGAGTGTTCTTATAAATTAGTCCACACTCCAGAGCTAATTTAATACAGGTGTCCAAAATATACTTGAAAAAATTACTACTTATAGGAGATTAGTACTTACATACTCAGCAAGGAAGGTGAAAATGAAGCTGATGAATCACTTATCAAGTAACAAGTACAGACAAACAGATCAATGGAGACAGAATACCGGATATACGAAAGGAAAAATTGTACATGCGAATTGGATTCGTTGCACAATTCTCTTGATTTGACTTGACTGTGAAGAAGAGATTACAATCTTCTTTTACCTCCAAATTAGAATTTCGCCAATCACTCCTTCATTATATCTCTATCACTTCCACTCACGTGAACTCATGAGTAATTCATAACATAACCTACAAAAAGCTTTTAATACAAAATTAAAAACAAACCCGCTGAAGGGCTGAAACCTGGCTGAAACGCTGAAGCCGGAAGCGCAGTGAAGCACTGAAGCCAAGCCAGCCGGCCAGCCCACGACGTCGACTCTTGCTTGACTGAACTGACCATCAGTGTTTTTTCATTTCGAAACTGCAGACTGCACGATTTACTTGATTTGCTTGAAAAAAGCTTGTAAAATTTGTTGGTAAGTCCTTTAAGAAATTCTGTATTAATTGTTCTTCATGATTGCAGTAAAATATGCATTTTGTCGTCGCGCAAAACGTCATGACTCCACTTTTTCTGCTCATCTAAATTGTGCGTTACTACACCTAATTTTGCATGAACCGTCGTGAAAGAGAGAAATTAGGGAAGAAGCCAAACATCAGGGATGACTATATTTTTAGTCGTGCCTCACTTTCAGAAATGAGCCATCATAGTCAGACAAAGGTCTTCCATTTTAAGACCCTCTGGCAACTCGACCTTTATCAAGAATGTGATTTGTCCCAGGTTCTTGGCGTGGTCGAACTGGCGTGCATTATGTTGCCTACACTAGGTCCCAAATCTTGGCAGATTTTTACTTATTAGCCCAAAAAAGGATCCCCTGCCCAAGTAGCATTTCTCAATGGTAAAATCACTTTATATCGTGATTTTATCGGTGATTAAATGTGCCCGGATCATCAACATCTGAGCAATTATCCGCAATCTTATCGCGATAAAATCGCGCTTTTATCGCCCCACAATTTATCGCGATATTTTCGAAATAAAAATGGCGATCAATGGCGATTTAATCTCAATTTTATCGACAAAAATTGATCAAAATTTTATCGAACCAAAAATTCCGATTTAATCGCCATATATTGCGATTTTTAATGCGAAAATATCTCGATATATTGCCATTGATGTAATACCGATAACCAACCGATAAAATTGCTCATTATCACAATCACTGCTACTTGGGTGCTAGGGATTTTATTGGCATCATGAGTCGAGCCCTCAGAGACTTGGACTGAGGACTCAGAGAGTGAAAGTGGCAGTTAGGTTAGTCCATGGGCAGACTGGAGTTTGAATGGCTAGCCTGCCAAATTTATTTTTAACCATCTCAAACCTCTAGTCTAACATCCGCTCGCAGCTGACGGAGAGTACACCCAAACCTGCCGGTGTGTAGCTCCTGGACTTCAGATTGCTCAAGCCCTTGAGTACGCCCAATAACTGGACCCCCAATCCCTGGCACCTGTGTGTGAGCTTAAGAAATCAATCCGGACTGAAAAAATTCAAAATTCCGACTAAGTAACAAAAGTAAGACTCTTCTTGGAATAAATTGTCACATTAGATGCAAAGGTCAATAACTGCGTTTACAGAAAGCCGAGAGAAGAAGTCAATGAGCTACCTACTCTTTTAAATGTTGCATCAACAAGAATGGGAATTTTGCATTAGTTACAAGATTGCGTTTTGATAGTTTTAGCTTATAGATTACCTAGCAAAATAAAATATCTGTCCCCACGCCTAGTTTCTGTGTCCAATGTTGACGGGGATATCCCTTCAAAAAGTCTGGTGCATGGCATTATCCATCGCGGTAGTACATGCCTTGGTTTGTTCCACCTTGGATCCATCGATTAGTACTTAATATGTTCTTATTCTTCATACAATTAGTAACATGTTCACAACTGGTTGCTCCACTTAAAATAAGGATGAAACTGTGGTATGCACCTCTGTAGTAGATGATGTTATATGCAGTGGTCTTTGAAGGGCATTACCTTTTACATTATTGGTTGTGGAAACTTGGTGTTTGGCAAGATCTCATTATTTTTCGCTGATCTATAATCTGAAATCATCTAAACTTGATCCTGTGATGAGTGCAACTGGCCCATTTGTAAGATTTGAAATGAAAGACACTCTTAAAGCAGCTTAAAATCTGCACCCTCATCCTGAAGCACCAAAAGTAATTTAGGAATATCTTTCTTAAGAACATGCTTTGATTTTTATGTAAAGAAAAGTATTCGTGTTCTTTACAAGATGTGAATTTTGAAATTTTGTCATAATTCTCCTGAATGATGATTGCTAACACTTAAATTATTTCCTCTTGTCCACAGAAATGGGCGACAGATACAATATTCACAGTCAGTTGGAGCATTTGCAATCTAAATATATTGGGACTGGACATGCAGACACAACCAAATTTGAATGGCTTGTCAATCAGCATCGGGACTCGTTTTCCTCTTATCTAGGTCACTATGATTTGCTCAATTATTTTGCTATTTGTGAAAATGAAACCAAAGCCAGAGTTCGATTCAATCTAATGGAGAAAATGTTACAACCATGTGGACCTCCTCCAGAAAAATTGGAAGAATAATCTATATTATTCACAAAGCTAAATTGTATGTATTGTAAATAATTTTTTTTTACTGTCATCAGTGTAAATGAAAATTACCTTTTCTCTCAGTCTACAAGGAGCAAAAAAGAAAGCTTTCTCTACAAGATTCTGTCTTTCCTTTGATTTCAAATAAATTTCCAGCAGTAAGTTCTTATGTAATATTCACAACCCCACCAACTCTTGCTGAATCAGTAATCATTAATAGTTTAACATTTTTCACTGAGAACAAAGTAAAAATCATAAAAATATATATTTTACACTGAAAGCAATTTGTGATAATTTCTTCCTCGATCATTTTTTTCCATTGTGAAATCTTTGCCCATGAAGTTAAGATGGACCTACCTATGCGTTGGTTGTCAATTGATGGGTACATTACAGCAGCATTAATACTGGCTGTTTCCTGAAAATAAGACCATTAGTTCATAAGCTTAACTCTCTACTGTGTCTTGGTACAAAAAATGAAGTTGTTCTACCATTATTTATGGATTACATACCCATGAAAAGGAGATTGATGATCGATGTCATTTCCGAGAGATTGATATGGCTCCTGCATATGCAAACTTTTACTACAATTTTAAATATGGCATAACAACTTTATTTTTTATAAAAAGTCACAGCAAAATATCTGGCTTACTATAAGGCTCCAATTTTTTAAGAAATAGCCAAAATAAATTTTGATCACTGCCAACAAAAGGGTGTTCCCAACTCAAGATATATTTCTCCACAACATGCTACATTTCTCAGTCAAAAGCAATCAAGTCCTGCTACAGCGAACTTGTCTTTCTTGGCTGGAGAGAAATTGCTCTCCTGTTCATGCCCAAGAATGTTCTCCAAAACATAAGCGTCAAGCGTGTAGTTTTAGCCGCTTTATGTAGTGCACATACATTTGCTACCATTACATTCTATAACCAATGCCTCTCTTGCCGTCCAAAGCAAACATTTTCCATAATTAAGTCTAGGTATTTGGAGTCTTTCAATTTTTCTGGACAAAACTGTGTTAAAGTACACAAGGAAACCAAACTATCATATTTTCAGAATAAGAGGGTGATAACATTGAGAACCAGAACTGAAATTGTGAGGTCACAGACATCAGGTTTTCTTGGGGTGGAGCATTTTACCAGAAAAAATATGGACAATATCTTTTGCAAAGATTTATAAACTGGAGGAAGCGAATAATCATTGTTTTGAGCTAATGATACATTTGGATTATTACATTTCATTCTGTTCAATTATAGAGAAAAATATTGGAGAATGATCAACAATTAATTTATTCTTTTCATAATGGCATGATTTGATCATTTACTGTTACTTTGTAATCATTACAATAACTATGATTATCATGGGATGAAGAAAGTCCAACAGAGATAATGATAAAAATTTGCATTGTATTTCAAATCAGGTTATCACAAATCTTTAATATATACACATTATAAAATTCCAAAAACTTCTGTTTTTACTCAATTTTTTTTGTTTGATTTAAAGCATTGACCAATCACTAGAATATTAACAACTAAAGTAAAATTATGAGATTAGAAACAAATAATTTTTCAGATAAGTTTTACCGCGGCTGAAAGATGAAAAAGTAGCAGGGTATACAATCAAATGTGAGTTGTAGGAAAAGATTTTTCAAGAAGTAGAAGAATGATATTCCTTCGACTTGACATATTTCATACACGCAGGCTCTAGTTTTTCGTTCTTTTAACATCCACTTGAACCGGTGGTTTCACTATTCCTTGCATGATGCCTGTATTTTAAAGAACGTTTCTCTTTTTTCATGCTGCCTCATGTTAAAACGACGATTTTCGCAAGCTGCATGCAAAAGCTTCTTCATCCAAGTGTTATGATTTTCCAGCTAGACTTTTCAGAAAACATTTTCCTCCTTGACTAAAGATGCCCCTCATATTAATTGTTTTTTTGCTTTGATTTGGTTTTCACAATGGTTTAGAAGAAAAAATAAAAATGACGGTGAGTAATTTTAGTACATTTCTGAGCTCAGTCCTCTGAGTAAAGAAGTATCCTGAGTATGCACTCAAAGACATGAATGAGGAGGTAAATTTTTTTGTGAGGGATTGTCTTTGCGCAAATAATCGGTGTTGGTACGCTGATAGTAAATCATATGAATCTAGTGTCTGTAAAAGGATCTGTGCTAGGGCGAAATCTCATTCTGTAATCATATCAGATTCATTGCCACCCTTGCAATTCCGTTCTACCATTCAGATTTGGTCTTAATTTTTTTTACTCAGATTGTAGTATTGAGAACAAAATAGAAGATATTTGGACTGCATTATGCAAAAAGGAACTAGAAGCATTGAAATGATGCTAAGATTGTGCAACTTTATCCTTCGCAGTTAAATTACAGAAATAATGAAAGAATATGAGATTTACATGGTAATTTTTGTCTTAAATTTCCAGTTTTTAGCGAGTAAAATAGAATCTGCTAATGGATAATCAGGTTTTTTTTTCCAAGACAAAAGAAGTTCCACAATTTTAGCAACATTGCAATGCTCCTGATTCCTTTTTGCAAAATGCAATCCATTTGGCGGACAGGTAAATCAGTCAAAACAATGAATGACTGTAGTCGTAACAATGTTTTCCCCACTTAAAGACCTATCATAGAGATTTAATGATTTTTGCATCTCAATAAGTTTGGCAATCCTCAGATACAACCTCTTATGGCAAATGTTTAAAGACATGGTGCTGATGCTTTTGCTACTTAAAAATTCTTGTGGTTTCATAGAATAATTTAATTAGTTTGTGTTTACAAGTTAAATTATTCCAATTTCGTGTACGATTAATCGTAACAAATGCATTTATCAAGGAAAATAAGACCTCCTCTCCCTGTCCGATTATCTTTTCACGCAGAACACTTTTTCTTTTTCACAAGTCCTGATATTTTAAATTAACTCAAGGACATAAAAGATTCAGGATATTTGAGTCCATGCCAATTGAGTTAAAGCACCTCCAGACTGAGACAGAAGATAGCCACCTATCCTCAGTATGACATTGAAAGTAAATCAAGATGTAATAGTAAGGTGGCAGAACTTCTGTCGCACTCTAAAAGTTGGTGAACTTAATTAGCGTAGATTCAAAGCCCAATGTAAAGTTCACTAGATCAGAAATATAGCTTGTCATAATGGCTGAAATCCATTGAGGTGTTCAGTTACTCATTCAATGCTAAGGGTATCCACTCTTCACAGTTCGAGAGCTCCATGAAAACCAAAGAGGAATTGCAGTGGAGAGTTTTAAATGAGTAGCTAGAACTCTGCAGGACCAGAATATTCTTTTCAGAGGTGGAAATTATTTAAAATTTGATCCTTTTTTTAAAACGCAAATGGGCTAATCAACCTCTATAAAATGCCACAGAGATTATGTTAACGGTGGGGACAAACTTATAATAAATGTTAATATTTATGTTGCAAGAGGTAACCATTTATCTGATAAAAAGCTGCCGGTGAGTTGGTCCATGTGCGAAGTGAAGCAGCATCTGTGCAGTGTTGTCTTTGTTTCATTGGCTGGCACCAGTTAATACATTTCAACAATAGAAGTAATTTCTAGGGTATAGATCTTATGTACCTGATCATCTTGCTACAAATCTAGCACAAAACTGGGTACAGAACTTAGCAAAAAAACAAAAGGTGGCTGTTTTCTGTTCGTCCCTCTCTTCGTTACAAACCCTGACCCCTCTTCCCCTCTTACAGAAGCCTTACTCCCCTGCTCACTCCTCACTCTCTCACAACCTTTCTTCCACTGGCTTTATCCTTCTATGTCATTGAGGTGGCCACCAAAACTAAAACAGCTCCCGTCTTCTTTTTTTCTCGATCAAGGTTAAAAAGGGCAAGACTCAGATTTTCGTGTCTATCTATGCTCATGTTTTACTTTTTATGAGGAAAATTAACCAACAGTTTTAAATTCCCGACAGCCAAAGATCTTCATTCATTCATACGTTACTACAGAGAATTTCATCAAGAAAATACTTTTGCTGTAGTCTCCCTTTTTAACATGTATATAAAAAAAGTGATCGGAGATTTTAGAACGTTGTAATGGAAAGACGCATTCGTTGACTTGAGCCATGGATATTCTCTTTTAAAGATAGTAAGAATATCCAGTTTTCACACTGAATTCGACTCAGGGTGACTATATACACCATCTTCTTGTCTTCACAAAACATGTGTTTTACTGCATGCTCATCATAATTCCTCAGCTGTCTGCCTGACAACCTCCTCTGTATCCTTTACGGTAACATGCACTCTGGCAACAATAAGGTCGAAGGGTGAAGTTTCTGCTAAGTCTCATAAAGGTATGGTGCATAAAGGTAAGAGTGTCTTAGTCCATGATGCATGATTCCAAGATATACATTGTTAGTTATCTTGACAATAGGCTCACTCTAAAACCTATTTTCCCTTGTGCTCAAAGAACATCCATCAATTAGTTGAGATAATGCCTATCCTTGACAAGCATCAAATTTGATGACAAGACCAACACAGGTTCTTACAAACTGTTTTAGACTGTCATGGCTTAGATGTTTGTAAAGTAAGAATTTTCTCACTTCATTAACAACAAAAATACACTTCATAACTTTTGTGCCATACTTTCTCAACACCTTCATCACCGATTAAATTCATACCTACTAAGATAAACAAACTAAGGTAGTTTCGAACCCTTTACAAGAATGAAATTTTGAAGTGATCACCTTGATGCGTTATTAAAACATTTGTTAGACACAAAGAATTTCTTAATGAACAGAGATAGATTTGAAGAAACTGGTGGGGAAAGAAATCTAAATTTATAGCAAGGCTTGAAATAGAACAAAACATAGTTTTTCAAAGGAAAAAAAAACATATTTACTCTGTAAAATTCTCGGAGAACAATGCGGTTGGAATAACATTGTGACGATTTTAACAGAAAATAAAATACACAAGAGAAAAAATATTAATCTCTAAAGCTGGTTATGCGTTGATAAACTATAAACAGGAGTTCCTGGGTAACATATTAAAACTGTATTTTGAGCAGTCAAAACAAATTAAAAATTTTCACCATCACTTGAGATAATTGACTCTTGTTAAAAGATAGCATAGAATTTACAGTCTGATAAAGAATGGGCAACATCAAATGATTGGAAATTAATAGAAGCTATATCACATTTTATCAGACAAGGAGTTGGTAAAAATAGAAGAGTAAAAGTCCTCTGAAGTAAAGCTAATGACCTCTTTCAATTGTTAAAGTCGAAATTAATCCCATCTGTTCAGAAAGCTATTGCAAAGTAAGAATAGTGCAACTTCCGTATCTCGGCAAAACAAAATCATCAATAAGCTTGCCATTCTATACTCTTCTTCCTATCAGCACATTACTGTTCTTTCAACTGTCCTGAAAGTAGTACAATTATGTTTGGAAAATAAAAGAAATTACAGGGTAGGATAAAGTGTTTTAAAAAATATAACAAGAAAGCAAATACTTAAGAGGATTAATTAAAAAAGAGTTCAACGGTTGAAACCATTTAAGTGACCAACAACTGTCATTAGCTAAACCAAGTTTGTGAATAAAGGGACAGTTTTTTTATCAACAAACAACGATAGAGCTAAGATTTCATCCGTGTCCGAGTTGTGCCTGATAAAAAAGAAGTGCATAACAGTTTTTTAGCAGAGGAAATAATTGTTTAACAATTTTAAGTTAATTTGGCTAACAAAAAGTCAAATCCTCAGATGATGAGAGAAGTTTGCAGGTGCCTCAGGAAAGTTTAATAATTTTAGATAGGAAACTGGCCATAGGTAGCTCTCCACGCTTTAAATTAATTCTGCACAGACTTAAACTATGTATTTGCTGCAGATTATATGAGACTCATGGATATGATACTCATTGATATCATAAGATCAAAGTTCACTCAATGAAAAGTTGAGGATATGAAGGCGAAAACATTATCAAGGAAGACGTTTTTGACCTTTTTTAGAGGGGACCAATCAACTGAAAAGATAGTCACGAATACAAAAAATCCGATATCACAATTTGATCTGCTCTAGACTAGAACGTTCAATTCAAGATTGATGTGCTTGGTTTTAATAATATCACATTCAATGCCAGGCTTCAGAAATTAACATTTTTTTTCGTGTTGCAGAGAAAAAATGGGGAGAGCAGAAAAAGTTGGCCTTACAAGTGTATTTGTAAGATTAGTTAACAAACTGATTCATAGTAAAATTAATAAATGCAGTACGCATCACTATGCATGGCTTCACGAATTAGGAGAAGTAATTTCCCAACTCAAAGAGGATCAAAGGGAAAAGGAATTAAAAACATTCTTAAAATTACCTACAGTTTCTTGCACAGAATGTTATTGATAAATATACATTTGAGATCACAAAAACTTTGCGCAAAACTTTAAGTGAGTTCTTACTAGTAGGTATTTTAGGAGAAATATGTTACAGGCAATCCATTCGAAACCAAATTCAGGAGCCTTTAGCTAAGGAGATAATTTCATACACTCTTCAACATTTCCAAAGCTGCATTGTTTGGTCTTTTAAATTTTCCTACCTTACAAAGTCTCGGGCGGTGTTTTCAGTGCAAGTGCTAATATAAATAAAATACATCTTTAACTGCAATGCTTGTTTTAGCTGGTCCTAACTTTAATAGTGAACTGGGCTGCATGTCAAATTGAGCTACCATCATCAAAAATTCCTGTCAATATACATCTAGGTTGGTACGATCTAAACATACATAAATGATGAACTTCAGTTGTGATTGAGTTGAAGTGACACATGCTTCCAAGGCAACATAAAAACTGCTGCTAAAAAGTTAATTAAAAATTGTACTTCCTTACAGGAGAATAAAGAACTCTTAGCTTCCCCATAAAAGACTGAGGGTGAAAAAAACCAAGAGGCACGTTCCTCACTCTGAATATGTACCTCAATATTTTTGAGAGAGTAAATTGAGAAATGATATTTATGAAATAACAAAAATTCTTCAATTTATGAAATAACAAAAATTCTTCATATTATGAACTGAACGATGATTATGCATTTTCCATGGATAATGAGGACAGCTTTTATTGATTTTTTAGGTAACTGGGATCAAAGAAGTATTGAAAACAGAGAAATAATATTTGATTGTATCTGCTTTTAAAAAATGCAAGCTCCTGAAAAAAAAGGGAGCAAAAATATATCTAAAAGCTGATTTTTGAGGAAATGTGAAATTTCTGATTGGTATATACAACAATAAAATCACAATCGATGTGACTAATACAAATAAAGAAGAGTGTATGAAAGTTAGCTGGATTTAATTTGAAAAAATTCAGAGAAAACTCAGTAGCAGTCAATTTTTTGTGGTCTCTCTTCTGAAGATTCTGTTGTGGGGTGGATGAGTCTTCGAGAATAGGAACATGTTTAAACCTACAGCCACAAAAAGAAGAAAAATGCATTGAATAGGGACTGAGCTGGGAGGGAAAATAACAGAATGGATGAAAATAAAAAGTTTTTCTTCCTAAATCAAGTTTTGAACTGGATTAACAACGGAGACTTTCATTCATAAAATTTTATTCATAAAAAAAAGAGAGAAAAAAAAGAAAAGATTAACACAATAAACAGAAAAATTAGCAAAATCACAACAGTCTTTGAGCTCACTTACTTCAAATAAACCGAGTTTCCTAGATAATGATTCATTAACAGATGAAGAAAAAACTCAATACCTTTTCTTGAAAAAAAAAAAAAATTTAAATAAATAATAAAAGAGAAAACATGATAAGAATATTTACACCAAAGAATCAACAAAGATGTATGATCTGTCACTTAAAACCTAACAACAGGTTTGATGGATAGTAGGTTTGAGTTCAATACTCAAAAAACAACAAGAGACACTTCACTGCTTCCACAGAATGAAATTTTTGACAGGTAACGATGTTTTGCCCATAACATATTCTAAATGATGTACATAAAAGAAAAGATAACCTGCTTCAAATTTACAAATTTAAAATCAATTCAATTTTTTAAAGGACATTCTAAATTTTATTTTTTCAGAAATTATTTCCGACTACATTTATGTACGATAACATGAAAAAACGAAGATTAGAAAAAATGAAATTACTGATAATATGTTTTGGAAGAAAAAGAAACGAGACTTTGGTTTGCCTTTTTCTGTTCTGATACTTCATTCTTTCTCCACAATCTATTTTTTTTTTTTTTTTTTATTCCGATTCAATTTTCAATTTTTTTAAATTTTTTTCTTAAGGTTTTTTTTTTTAAAAAAGTTAATATATTAATCTGTACATTATCACTTATCCGACATGGGTTTTGTACCAGACAGAGGTTTCAATGAATGACCTTCATTTAATTCAGATCCCTGTCTTCTAAGTACTTATACTCGAAAATAAAACCTTCTTTCTTCCGTTGGCTCCACTTTTCGTAATCAAAATAGATGTAAGTTCCCTGTTAAAACACACAGATAAAATCATATCAGGATTAGTTCCATTACAGTAAAAAAAAATGATAGTGATAAAGTAGCACTTCTTAACTGCCAGGTGTTTTGATAATAATTTCAACAAATAGCGAGCTTAATACATTACTTGTACCCTAACACCCCTTCTGACAGGATAAAAAAATTAAACTGTTCGACACCATTCAGTATTTCTGCTTGCAATACAATGGCTGACCAAACATAATGCAATGGATTGTTTCTCGAGATACAAACATATAAAGACTATTTTGGAATTTCTAGGGAATAAATCCTTTCATAAATAACATGGCATTTTACTAAAACTTATATCACTACTTTTTTCTGGATGATGGGCCTGTTGCAAACTTATGCTAGAGCAAAAATAAGAGTTGTTCCTTATGGATAATGTCTAAAAAATCTTGATGAGCGCATCAGCAAACTCTGAAATGCACTCCTAACTTCACAATTTGCGTAAGAAATTTGCGTTTTTTTAAGCTTCCCGCTTCAAAAAGGATACTACAGCGTAAGTGAACTTTTCGTAAGAGGAGTCGTTCCATTCAATCCCTGCTCAACATGGCCGACGCTTCCGCGCACAAGTTAAAGAGAGCACGAGGTCAATCAAGGCAGATATCTATCAATGAGAGAAAAATGTGAATGTAAACACGCCGATTGTTATCAGAAGATTAGAATCATCGTCCCGTTACATGTGTTTTGGTGGATTGGTGTCGGATATGTTGAATATTGCGTAATATCTTCGTGAGCAGGGGTTGAATAGAATGACTCCTCTAAGGAAATGTTCACCTGTGCTATGGTATCGTTTTTGAAGCGGGAAGCTCGAAAAAATGCAAATTTCTTTTGCAAATTGTGAAGTAAGGAGTGCATTTTAGACTTTGCCGATGAGCTCATCAATATTTTTGAGACATTTTCTGAGTAACAACTCTTATTTTTGCTCTAGCAAAAGCTTGCAACAGGCCCATTTATCATTCGTACTTTAAACTTGGCAGCATAATCTTGCATGAAAATGTTTTTGAAAGAATTGACATTTACCAAGTTCGGCTCATCAGTAAAAAAGTAGCTTTATTCATATTCTTGAATTCAAACTTCCTGATCTCAAAAAAATTTTGTGCCATCCCAATAAAGTTCCTCTAACTGAAAATCACTTGAAATTAAAGCATTTCAATTACACCACAAAAAGCCCGATCAGAAATTCAAATGAATCTTTCATGAGAAATGGACTGCTACTAGGCAAAAATTGGTATTGGGATCTGTGGGACATCAAAAATTCTTTGTTCAGAATTGACACATATTGATGAACAAAATAAATAAAGCGGTCTACCAGGTTAGTGTCATCCACAATAGCTTATTTTTACCTTCATCTTGGTGGTGATAAGGGAAATCAGTGCAAATGAGTGAATCATTGGTGAATGGAGCCGAGGCGGAAAAAAAAATGAGATGAAAAGATGGATAAAATCATTCACCATCGTTTTTAAAAGACAACATTATCTCTGTTGATGACTTTGGAATTAAGATACAAATCATACTACATACTTTTTGTTAGTCTGAACATATAGTTTGATCATAGGAACACAACTTTGTAACAAGCAATTCGCTCACTTTATCCAATTTGTCGAATGATAAAAGGTATTGTATTTAAAATTGCAATAACAGACAAAATTTTGCAATGAAACAAAAAAAAAAAGCCTTCAGATGTTACATTTTCGTCACACAATGCATGACACCAATATGAGATTATAGCCAACAGCAGGCCAATTATTGAAAGTTTAAGGCAGCTAGATAAGACATCGAATTGCGATATATTGCATGGTTAAGATAGGGTTATGTCTTGTCAGGTTGGGCCGACATAGTTTCAATCGGTCGGCAGATATGGATTACATTGGCTATACTTCAGAATGGCAGTCGCTACAGATACGATGCCAAGATGCAAATGCAGGTCAATAGGCCAGCATCAGCTAATTTTTTACACATGTTTGCCAGAAGTGGCACAACGTGCAATTGACAAATAGATGGAATCGAGAGATGCGCATTGATTCAAAGTTTTTCTTCTCCTAGCCTTCCTTTTTTCTTTGCAAATGCTGAATGCTGTTGGAGAATTGAACTTCAGAAATATGAATGTTTCAAACAACTTATTAAAAAGGAAGAAATGAAATTATTTTAGAGATAAAACTATTCTAGAAATAAAACTATTTTAAAAGGATGAAAAATTATTTTAAGTAGACAAATTCTGGTACCCATTGAAGGTTGTATTTCATAGAATCACAAGCAAAGCAAGCGCATCAATCTCCTCTGTAAATCTACGACCCGAGGCAATGCATGTAAATCAGGTGACAAGACAGCATCTGAACTTATCGTAGTGAGTAGATTTGTAACCTGCTTGTCTACCTATCAATTGTTAAAGATATGCCTTGGTAGCAGACGTTATTCTTAACCCCTTCAGCATTTCAGTTATGCAACTGCTCTTCCTTCACCAACTTTAAAATTCATCGATCTCGCAATTGTGTCATATAGAGCAGCATATGATATTCTTGGCAGCCCTTTAAGTAAATTGCTGTAGCAGTCCTTAATGAGAACTGCTGTTTTCGCAGCAGCCACTATTTTGAACTATTTCCGATTATATTTCTAGCGTTAGAAAAGGAACCAAATTGCAATAATCAACACTCAATTGCATAACTAATTTTGTCCATTCCGTTGATGAAAATAACAAGACTTCTAGTAATGCTGACAATCAGGAGTTAGCACTGCTTATCCTTTTAATGATACTGATGTATGGTGTAGGTTGCAAGTTTAATCAAATTTCAAAATTCCCTGACTTTTTGGAAAAATTTCCTGCCGACTGGTGCTTAAGTTCCCTGACTTTTTCCTGCCACCTTACAAAGCAGAAGAAAAAGGTTAATTCAAAAACAGGGATGCAAACTTTGAAGCACAGAAATTGTAGATATTAAATGAACTTGAAACTTGTGCAAAACCCAAAAACGATCATTTACAAGCTGCCTTGAAATATTGTAAATAATTCCATACCTGAAAAAGAAAATTAGAATAAAAGGAAGATAAAAATGAGAATTTCCCTTTATCAGAGCAGAATTCCTTGACTTCCCAGCTTTTTTTCAAATTCCCTGCTTTATCCAGTTTTTTCTGACCCCTGCAATCCTGGTGACCCAGGACTAAAATAGGACACCAAATATTTAAAAATAATTAAGGCACGATGGTGCACTTGATTTATGAACTCACCTGTTCGTACTCTTCATTGATGAGTTTTGGTTCCTCGTGCCTTTGAAACCACATCATGTACTTCGTGTGGAACCTCCAACTTTGTTTTTTTAATGCTTTGGCGGCTAAGTACTGCGCTTTTGTACCTTCCATGTAGTAAAATATAAAAAACAGACTTTCCGTTGACAACCTTTGGAAGAATTCTAGAGTATCTGAGTGCGGTAGAGGGGTCTGCAACATGATCGAGAGGAGAATTGTTTTATTGTGAATGATTGAAAGTTAAATTCATATGATACGGTATTGCTCAGTTGGTTTGTTAGATCACCGATTCATGAAACGAAGGCCATGACAGGAGGAGGGAACAGTTAACAAAAATATTATTTGATTCTTGTACCTATCAATTTTTTTGTTGTGGATTATTTTCACACTGTTTTTCACATTTCGGGTCTAACTGCTCTTGCAGTTTTAAAATTACAAAGAAAAATAAATTCATTGGAGTACTTTAAGGTGCTAGTTTTGACATAAGATATAGCATGATCTACAAAGGAATTTGGTGCTGACTAAATTTTGCTACTGCCATTTCTACTTTTTGAGACACTGAATCAATAGGTAGGGTTGCTCTGGAATTTAGAAAATGAAATTCCCTGACATTTGAGGAAATGCCAGATGGTTGAAAAGATAAAATTTGGAATAGTTTTCATGCAAATGTGTCGTTCGAAACATGAAACTCAGACTAGGACGCAAATAAAGTTTATTTAACAATTTTGCACATGCACTTTCATCACTGTCCCTGACATTTCCAGGTTTTCCCTGACTTTTTAAAACTCTCCAACATTTCCCAGTTTTCCTGGTATTCCCTGCCTGTAACAACCTTGCATTGGTCTAATGGCCGTTTCAGGACAATATCATTAGGATAAAATCTTTTATGTACTACCATTGTAAAAAATGCCACTAATTAGGTAAAGAAAGAAAGTTAAAAGGGACATTTTTCTGCCAGGAAATGTTCAAAACCATCAGGTTAAAGTGTAACTAGATAAACGAGCATTAATTAGAATCAAGGCAAAGAATAGAGCGACTATGATAAACTTCATCCTGGAAAATATCGATAAGAAATAATTTGATACAAAGGCAACTAATGTTAGCAAAAACATTACAAGCAAAACACACAGCAAGCAGTTGAGCTTCTAGTTAATAGCTGGAGAAGTGTTACCACCGAAACAATCTAATTGCGCAGGATTTGTGTTGGACCTCTAGCAGTGTTGGTTTCGACGCTTTTGGGGAAATTCCTCTGTATTGAAACAGCTGACTTATCAGAACAACATTTTTTTGGACAGATGTGTCCCAATTGAGCAGAACCAACAACACTTGTTAGTATGATGCTCATGACTATTGTCTTGGAGTGATACATTTTAAACTGAAAATTTTTATCTTTCTATGGACCACTAGATAAAATGCAAATTCAAGCATTGTGATACAGTAAAACTTCGACATAACGAATTTCTGGGGGCCGGCAAGAAAATTCGTTAAATCGAAAACCTCGGAAAACCCGATTTTAGGCCACAAATTTTTTTGAAATGTTCGGTTTTTTCCAGTTTCGTGTACCCCCCCCCCCCTCCCTCTTAAACTATGAGGATATTTTGCAGAAAATTTGCAGGGAACCCCCCCCCCCCCTCCCGTCTTAAACTATGACGACATGTTACAGAAAATCGGCGGTGAACACCCGGTTAGCACTTGATCAGTATAACTGCCCAGCGGTAGTGAGGAGCCCACGGCAGGGGTTGAAATCGTACTGATGACACTATTCATGTAGCTCCTTAATCACCCCGTTTAATCGAGGAAACATGTGCGCCTCGGAAATTCCCAATCCAGCCGTATCGGAAAATGACCTTTGCACCGACACCGACGTACAATACGCGGGTAAAAACAAGCATGCTGGGCGCGCGGAAATTCCCGTGCATTCGTTAAATTGAGTTCAATTTACATGGTAAAGTTCGTACTCGGACCGAAGATTTCCTTCGTAAAAGCGAATATTCCTTATACCGAAATTCGTTATAAATAATTTATTTTACATTGAAAAGATAGGGATTTTTTCGGGACCGCAAAAAAAATTCATTATATTGAAGTTTTACTGTATATGTTTTCTGACCAAAGTATCACATACAACCCAATTTGTGCAACGAAATAGATCAGTTGCACTGATCTCAGAATCGTGTTTTGATGCATGATTCTTGTTGATCAGCTGATATATTAAGATCTGTCCAAACAGGAACTTTCTACGTTCAACAACTAACGGAGATAATGGGCTTTGAAAAATTTGGTTTATGATGTCATCCACCATAGTAGTGATACCTTTGCTTTCTTCCAGCTTACTTTCATCTGTCAAGGAAACACGCATTTGCACTGATTAATTGACGAGAAACTCGGATGAAAGCAAGGTGGAAGAAACCAAGGGTGTCACTACCCAACGTGTGTTCACTTTCAGTTTCTGCATATTTTTCAAAATAATCAAAATTGATTCGTTATTTTTTGTTAGCAAAGACAGGAAATTCCCTCTTGTTCATCATGGCATGCCCTGAGGTCTTAGACTATGTCTAGGATGTTAAGACATTTCTGTCTGTATTTCTGAACGATAAATTCTCTGTTTTTCCCTCCCATTTGCCACTTTTTGCGCTCTTTTCAGCAGGAAAATCACGCTGTATTAGATACACAGAAAAATGAATCTCAAAAATCATGGTTTCAACAATTATGCATTTAAACTGCTCTCTTATCTCTCCATCTTACCACCTATTCTGACTTGGAAATCGTTGCATTGTAGTTATTTGAATCAGTGAGTTCGAAAACACACCAACTCTGGTTTTTTCGATTTTCACTTTTTTACGGTTTAGTAACACTTATGGATAGAGGCATTTGCATGCAAAAGGAAATTTCAACATTGCAATCTGAAGTGCTTGAAACAGCGACAGGAAAAGGGAAGAATCGAAGTATTTCATTGGAAATACCAATTTTTGGCCATTTCAAGGGAAACGGGTGACCATCCGATTTTGCGGTTTTCTTTTTCCCGTTCAGTATACCTTGTACCAACAAGTTATATAAATATTCAAGCGTTATTCAGATCGAAAAATATAAATTTTTCAGGGCAGACTATGAAAAATCAGTATCTGAAAGTCGGTGAGAATGAAAACACACCAACTCGGAAATTTTTAAACGCTTAATTCTCTGTCATCAAATATGGTATATCGATTTCAATTTGGTGCTTTACAAAGTCTCTGAGTACTTGTCATGTGGCACCATAAAGGTTTTTCCCGCTGCGCAGTTTTAGGTGTTTCCTGAACAATTTTTTTGTTCCAGAGTTGGTGTGTTTTCGAACTCACTGATTCATTTGCACCTTTGGTTTCACCAACTATATAAATAAATTCGTTTTTTTTCATACCTGAATATAATAAGAAGGTGTTGCGAATGGATTTCGAGGCAAATACGGTCTAATTTTTTCTGAGTCCGATGGAACAGGCATGTGATAGTAGGCAGCTTCCATCATTTGAAATTGCATTTGGTGTTCCTTTTGTAATGGGACTGGACCTAATGGTGCTACACCTAATAATGGAGGAATTAAAGCTTCGCAGGTTCCACTTTCGCTTACACTGGATTTATTTTCAAATAAACCTGCAAACAGAATCATTTGAGGCACTTAGTCATTAAAACATTGAGAATGAGCTGGAAGTTCATCTCGAAAAGATCAAAATCTGCCAATTTCTTTACCATGATATAATGCTGTGTTTGAAAATAAATAAAATTACTTCAATTTTTAAGAGCAGAGGCGTTTTACAGTAAAAGATGATAATGGCATTCAAAACTTTACAAGGGAAGATTGAAGATTTTCCTAGCAAATTAGACTTTCTTGGTTAAAGAAGAACAAATATAGCTTCTCTGGAAAAATTGTCTCCTCATTTGGCTTCAGTGTAACCAAGACGTAGCTATAAGGCCAGTGGAGTAGGGTGATGACCTGCGGCACAGTTACTCCTTCCACAATTTAGCTAGGCTGAACAAATTTACAGAAAGAGGTAGGGAAAATTCAAATAAGAAACCGAAGGAAAAACATACGCCTCAGAAGAACTTGCGTAAGACTTTTTTTCAAGTTTAGAACTAACAAATCTTACGACTTAGCGGGTTTTCTGAGTTAGCCAATTTCATATTATGCGGACTTTCTTGGCGATGCTTAAAGGAGCAAAAGAACAGGACCATACCATTTATACAAGTAAGCTCTGTCTCAGACTTAATAATGTTTGACTGTACTCAAGAGTGTACAATACACAGAAAAATAAATTATCCTCAGAGTTCTTAGGTAACTTACCTCTATTTGCATCTGACTGTGGCATTTCTAGTCCAGCACGATCAATCACTTGTTGGGCCATGGTTTTCAGAGAGGACAATGAAGCATGAGGATCATTTGGAGGAGGTGTCGAAGGAGGTAGGGGAGAAGGAGCTGTCGAAATGGACGAAAGCGGAGAGGAGGAACCACCAATATTGTTTTCTTGAGGATGAGCAGAGGCCGGTGGGGCTGTGCTATGATTTAGATTCGGTTGTTGTGATTGTTTTTCCCTCATTGATGTTGTCGTTGTTGATGATGTGACAGTTGTTACACTATTAGAAATTGTTGCAGAGGACGTTAGAATAGAACCATTTTCATTCACATGAGCTGCAAATCAAGAATAAAAACTATTAGCACAACATTGTCATTGATATCGTGGTGCAAACAAAAGCATATTTTCAACATTTTCTGTGCTATTTTGACTGCTCAAGAGGAAAGTATAATCAGCACTTGAACCTCTTTGAGAATGAACGAATAATAGTTGTAATTTCCCTCCTGTAGAAGGCCTTCTTTCTTTAAAAACCAAAATAGGTACTCTATGAAATTATTCTCTACGTGTATTGCACACACTGTCATAATGATAAATATTTTATTTATGTATATAAAGTCTCTCTGGAAAGGAATAATCATCTCTAAAGTGCTCAACTGCTCACAAATGAGGTATTGAGTGCAAAAAAGGCATTTCTGGGTTGCGGTGTCTCAAACTTATCACTGCTACTTTTTATTTTAGAGAGAAAACTTTTTGATGACTTTTCTAAAAATTTTCGTTTTCAGCATTGTGAAATCATGGAGAAAATTCAAAAAAGGTTTAAAGAACTCCATACAATCTACTTTAATTATAATCGATGAAAAGTTAGTGGAAATTCTGAGACACCGCAACCAAGAAATGCCCTTCCAGCACCCAGCGCTTCAATTGGTTCAGGCTCACCGGCTAAAATTTGAACTGTACCTAGCTATGAGCCCCTTAATTCACCAAAAATAATCAATAAACTGTCACCTTCCGGCCAAAGTATCACAAACGCCATGCGACGTTTGACAATTTCCGCCGCCATATTATCTTTTTTCAGAGAAATTGTTGATTGAATCTGTTTAAAAAATTCACTGAATTTTATTAGAAGCACAAAGAAAATTCAGTGGCATTTTCGGACAACTTTGTAGAACAATTTTTCTGTAAAAAAATGAAATGGCAGTGGAAATTTTTAAACGTCACATGGCGCTTGTGATACTTTGGCCAGAAGGTGATGATACATCCTCAGTCAGCACCCTGCTTGTGACTGAGGAAGTTGCAAAAATACGTTACTTGGTATTACAACATGGTACATGGTATTACAAGTTCCGTGGGTTATGTCTAAGGCAAAAATTCTTATTTTCATACTTTGCAGAAATGTGTTAATTCTTTCAAGTGAAAATGGGGCCAGATTTCTTGGAGTTGAAGGAATAGCTACTCCAAATATTGAGGTTTTTGGCCTTCAGCAAAACGGAATGACCGCTTCCTTGGAGTTATTAAGGTTCTAAGAGATTGGAAGTTCTACTATAGGACATGAGACTTACAAGAAACTTTAGAAGTTGGATGATGATGAGATGAAGTATTAGCAGCAGCAACCGCAGCAAAATTACCGACAACCGGCGGCAGTGAATTAGTTTGATGGTGATTGACGGCTGCTCCCGAACTGGGTGAGCTGTTGCTATTTGTTTGTTTATGACTTGTGTTGTTCATATGTTGCTGTTGTTTCCCTTGAGGTGTGGTTGCTGTGCTTGTGTTATTAATTTGTACAGAGTTACTTGACGCTCTAACCGGTGTTGGTTTTACCATAGGCTGTAAATCATTGAAAGATTACATTAAAATTGTGGGAGAAAATACTCATGTCATCATATTTCAGTTTACTGGTATAGCTCATGGAAGGTTTTTTAGAATCTTAACACACATTTTAAAAAAACATATTACCAATGAGACTTGCTTCAGATTTCTAACAGCGAACCGATAGTGTTTTGAAAATTTCTTTTGTCTCTGAGGCAGGATATGACTATGCTGAAATAAAACTAATAAGATTGATAGGTTGTGCCGCTAAATTTTTGATAGGAGGTCTCATGAAATATCAGCACCATCCCCATTGATCTGACATCCAATAAAGATACAACAAAGAAACAAGAGATGCAATCCATCAATTCTATAACCACATTGCACTTAAAGTCTTTATTGTGTTCCAATGGATTGAGAAAAAATGTCAACGTCTTAAGGAGTAATTAAGAGGTTCAATCCCAGTTGCTTTCGGCTATATGTTCAGGCTAAAAACAGGTCAATTATTCTAGATGCTATCATTACTGGTAAAATTCTAATCCTTCAAGAGCTCACTTTTTGAAAGTGAGAATAGCCCCATAGCTCTACTGTGGACCAATAAGTAATGTTTTTACTCTTGAATAACTTAATGAGATGGTCACTATAGACTTTTGATCCATGATGGACACCAGACCATGACTAGGCTGGCACGGAACATGCTAAGCGAGAATCTAGAAAAAGTGCTGGACAACCCATTTATCCTCATTAATGTTTCTTACAAGAGGAACTTCCAAAGTTGCTGCTTCCAGTCGGGTTGAAAAAATTCGTACGGACTCTTTGGATGAATCCATAAGACTTGTGTTTTTTTTTTTTTCCAATGCGCCCTGAAACACCCCAAAAAATTCTGAAGTCTAGTTTTGAGCGCGCGTCGGACACCTAGTGACGCCACGCCACTAAACTGCGTGTATTGACTTGGGCGCTCTTTCGCCTTACATAACCCTTCCGGCGCAGCATCACTGGGTGTCTGACGTGCGCTCTAAAGAGGGCTTTTCCGAATTTTATTGGGGTATTTCCAGGGCGCATTGGAAAAAAAAAAAAATCACAGATCTAATGGATTCATCCAAAGAATTTGTGCAAATATTTTCAGCCCGATCAGAGGCGGCAACTTGGGAAGTTCCCCTTGTTAGTCTGGTTAAATACTGAGTCATTAAAGGCTTTGGTGGTAAATTCACAAGTGTTCTTGATTCCACAGCAATTTTAAAGCTTGGAACTGAGAAACTTGCTGCAAAAGCACCTTTCTTTGAGACATAGATAAATTATATTCAATCAATAAATAACACTCATGCAGCAAAGATCTTACTTTTGATACTTCTTCTTTCTTCTTTTTTTCACTAGTGGTCGAAGTAGTTGTTGTTGTAGTTGTGTCAATGGCTGGTTCTGCGGAATGATTGTTGTGAAGAGCAGATGAGGTGGAAATCGGTGGTGGCGTGGGTGAAGGTGGAGGTGAGGAGGCTAAGCTGGTTGGAGTTCCATTACTGTCAGTTGCTTGTGGACCAACTCCAGATAACTCTATCTCATCCAATCCGATGATATCATCATAAATGTATTCATTCTCTTCAAAGTCAGGATCTTGAGATGATTCTATATAGTATTCTACATCCTCTTTTATACTCCTTATCTGCAATTGGAAAAAAAGGAAAGGCAAATGAAACCCTTTTCATACATTCCAGTTTTGCTAGTGACTAAAAAACGAAATTATAACGAATTATGAAAATGTATTATTTGCACCTAGTAAAAAGTGCTACTACTGTCAGTTTCTCTCTCCTCAAAACAGCCCAGAGAGAAAGAACAATATGAAACTACCAATCAGGGTAAAATTTCAACTTCTGCAAGACATGTTATCTTGTCAACATTTCACAACACCACATTTTGCAGAAATTTCACTCAGAAATATATGTTGAGTTGCTTAGTATCCAGCCATGTCTGGTGGTCTATTGGGATTCACAAAACCATTTAAAATCATGGTGTCTAAATTTCAAGATCGGTGTTGAATTAGGTCAGCACCAAGCTTAGGCAACGTTAAGTTTTCCCAACTCAAAAATTAGGTGAGGAGCAAATCAAATATGAAAAGAAAAGAAGTTTGCTTACTCACCTGGCTTACTTCAACCGACATGTTATCTAGCATTCTCAGAAGGGTTTCCAGTTTTTTAATGTGGTACCTGTGCCTTTCTAGTTTCACCTTCAGCTCATCCATTCTTTCTTGTTTGTCTTTTTCTAGTTTTTTCTTCTTTCCAACAAGGAGGGACTCAATTTCAGACTCAAATTGATCAAGCTGCAAAAAGTTTAGGTTCATAAAAACAACAGGTAGTTACATTAAGTAAATCAAAGAAACATAAAAGCTAACAAATACCATTATTGACCCAATGCTCTCCTTTAATCGAAAATAAGAATGAAGAACAGTGGGCTCCCAACAAATTATGTATGAAGGATTTTACTCAATCTCTTCAGCTCAGTTGAAATAAAGTAGAGTAGACAACGGATTATCCAAACTAATGTGGCAGACAGGTGGGTCAGATGGTCAAAAGTTTAGATAGTCCGGATGTTACTTAGAACAGTGTCAAACTGCATGAATTAAATAGAATGTCAATATAAATGCATTAAAAACATAAAAATAACATTTACCGAAGTTTTGATAAATATACACAGCAGTATTCACAACATTTAGATAGCTTAAGAAAACACGTCATAATGATGGAGGGTATTCAGGGTAATATTCCGAAAGACCACAGAGTAAAAATTGGTTGACATAATAAATAGTTCCGATAATCCAGTGCATTTTGTATGGAGAAAAGGTGTTTCCCAGTGTTACGTTATTGAGGTTATTACGGAAGCATACTGAGTGGAATCTTGTCTTACACACGGAGGTTCCACTTATGCCCCTTAGGTTAATCTGTGTCAATTCATTCAGTGAAAACCAGTGAAACCTACCATCTCGGATCTTTTTGAAATATTTACTATTTATTGCTTATAATGAAATATGAACTTTGCAAAATTTTTAGTTCTCCAGGCTGAATTATTTTCAAGTAATCAATTATTGAAATTTTGCCATTTTTCACTAAAATCGAGCCCAACAGCACTATTTTGGAACAAGCAATTTCAGGAAAAAATTCATATTGCGGATACTTATCATCCAATTATGATGAAATTCTGTACACAGACCATTTAGAGTATGCTGAATTAAAAAAAAAAAAAAAAATTACATCAACACCCCTTCTGCTACTTTAAAAGCACAAGGAAACAATTTCTCTTTCCAGGAAAGCAAGCCACTGTATTTGACCATTCCTTTACGCTGACTTGTCGCTGGTTGCATAGATGTGGTTAATGATTTCAGATTATAAATCAGGAAAAAAAGTAGGTAAGATCTGTCCAGACAAAAATGTTTACATCTATTTTTGTGTCCAATGTTAACCAAGATAATGCCCTTCAAAAAACTTTGTGTATGATGCCACCCTGCTTCCTTCCATCTTGGCTCCATCAAGGTTGCCATAATTTTTTCATCTTCAAATTCCCTGACTATTTTTGCTTTTTCCTGACTCCAAAATTTTCCGATTCCCTGACTTTCCCTGACATTCGAGTAAAACTTCCACTTTGATTTTTTCCCCTTCAAATTGCTCTCACTACTGCTGGCAACCTGCAGTTAGCTGATGGTTTCTACTAGTTCTTAAGCTTATTTAGAGTAGGATCATTTCAAATTAGCTGCAACTACCGTGTCTCTGACATGAACTTTAAAAATAGATACCTGTAGATTGAGAGCATCAATGGATGACACAAGCCATGCACTAACTTCTTCCTTCTCTTTAGTGGCAGGATCTAACTTTTGGGCAGCTCCAAGGCCTTCTTTAGAGTAGGCTTTAGTCTTGGTTTCCCTTTCAACGACCTTAAATCTTTCCATTTGCTGAGGAAAAAGAGAAAAACAGAGGTTAAGATCTTGGAATTAAAACTTGCATTTTATAAAAAAAGAATACATTTATTGACCGGTAATTATCAACTTGAACTGATCACTTTAGAGAGTCACTCATTCCAGAATTTCTTTAAGATGTTGGGGTTAGGATAACTAATTGCGTCCACTTTCCTACCGTTTAGTTAGGAAGAATTCACTTGCGCAAATACATCCTTGTATTCAGAACATTGGTCATGGAATAAAACATCAGAATTTCTTTTGGCACTACTATTCACATTTGGCAAAAATGCCGAGAGTTTAGAAAAAGGTACAGGATTGCTAACCTTACAGGTGCATTGTTGCAACAGCCACTTACAAGGATGTCCCTTCCATTGGCTCTACATAATGAACCTGTGCTGATAGATCATTACTGCAGCCAACTCATAACAAAAATTGAGATATATTGTTTGGTAATTTTGCCATCAGGATACATTAGGCTGCTTTCAAATGCAGTATGGTTTTGGCGTAAGTGCCTACAACAACTGTGCAAAATAGCATACAAATACTTACCCCCATTTTTTTCTAATTAACACTATAGTGATAGCTATCAGAATGTGGCGACTACTGGTAAAAATAAATATGAAGATAGAAAAGCAAAAAAGAAAATGATGAATTACAGTTTCAATAAGTTTCCTATAATCCAGGAGGGAGCTCTTGTCTTTGATCTCTCCGCAGGCAATCCAACTTTTAATCTGATCGCGAAGTCTTTGCAGCTTCTTAATCTCTTTCTTGAGATCTGCTTCATATTTTTCTTTTTGATTGCTGTTCGTCGCATTGTGCACTTTCTGCCAGATGTCCTCAAAAGTTTCAACTCCTTCTGTAACCTTTTTCAGACACCTATCGATTTCACCTGCACAGAAATATAATTATTGCTTAACATTCGTTATCATGAGCATAAATTCCCTATTCTCTGCATCTCACAATGAGAAACTTGATTTTGTGGTAAGTGGTGTCCATGATCATGCCACTATGTTAATTTAAAAACTGTCATAGCGTTGCGATTCTTGACTCAGAGTCATTACTTCAGTCAGAATTTAGAAAAATAAGGTTACATGAAAGTTTGATGTGAGGAACAAAGTACAAATAGGAATTACAAAATTATCGCACAGAGAGAAATCAGCTTCTGCTTCGATTGTTTACATGTCAAGTCACTGAAATGCTAGCTATGCTCCAGTGAAGTACACCGGCAGAGGTTCATTACCTACATACTTGGCATCCAAAAAAATTGACCTCGTTCATGAAGAAACTTTAGGATGCACCTGATCATGAAATCCATACCTACTAATAATTTTGACATAATCCAGCGATGCAATACGCTGCGGTAAGCATAATGATTAATTTGAGGGGGAATTATTCGCTCAGCTGATTTCTTGTATGACAGTAATTGTGATGGACTATCTGAAGGACTGACTTACAATCTTCTCAATGAATGAGAAAAACTCGTGCTTCTATGGGCAAGAATCGCCAATTAGAGCGATGAGTGCAAAATCACACATCCGAGAAAGGACAAAAAATTGATTGCGTAGAAAAGTACTCTATTGAGGCAATTTTCATTTAGACAGACTTAGTATTAGAGGTTCCGTCATTCTAACAGCAGAGTAAACTGCTTACGCATATCAATTTCCGGATTTCAGGAAGTAAAAAACATCGAGTTCTGCTGCCTGAGATTGAGATAAGTGTACACCAGATACAATAACCCCCAAATTGAAGGCTAAGCTCCTAACCAAATATTGATCTCTAAATAACAGTCCATTGTGAGAGGAATAAAGTTTAATCAAAATCACACCTGCCAAAGAGGGAAAGTGGCAAAATGAAATTCTGAGGACAGAATCTGATTTGAAAATACGGGAAGCTTGAAGGAGGAAATCAATTTTAGGAGAATTTTTGGGCAAGATGAGAGGGAATAGGTCAATTAAAAATATTTTTCTTTCAGTAGTATCTGACCTTGCAGCTTCCTTGTTGCAGCCATGGCTAAGTATATAAGTAATGAAATAGCTCGAGCATAGTCCGAAGATGGAAAATAATTACACAGATCGAATAAAAACAAATAAGTTTCACAAATTCTTTGTCCACAGATCATGTACACAGATCAAGATGGCAACCAAAACGGAGCCGACAAACGGAGAATCAGTGATGCAACCATTCAGAGTGAAATCTCATCCAAAATCCCTCGGTTGATTGCATTTACGAAACCAGGAGAGTTAGAATGTTAGAATGTTCACGAAAAACTTACGGAAAGAAACATCTTCCGCAACCAAAAAAAACGAGGAGAGAAGCTAAATATTTGAATTCCTAAATCCTGAAAATAAATCCTTCCTCCCCTCTTTCAAAATTTGATGAATGGTCGTACCCTCGTAGCATTCGCTAGGGGAAAATTTACGCCTGGGCATTTGAATGGGATAATAATTTGCAGAAAAAAAATTGTTGGATAATTTCATTTTAACGTCTCAAAATCTTCTCTGATGATCAAATGTCTATCCTGTTCACGATGCAGTCACTGCAACCGTTCCCCAGATGTTCCAGCAATTTGCCAGCACAATATGCTAAAATTCGCTGAAATTTTCGCACGAGGGAACCGCACGATGGCTACCCAGTAATTAAGGGAATACCGGTGGCAATTTGGAAACGTTGCAATTAAATTGCACTATTTCCATCTTTCAGAGGCACTTCAATGGAGGGGCATAGTGGGGATTGGGGAAAGCAGATAATCAATGTCCAGCTCCTTTAGATGGGAATTTCGAATGGCCAAAGACAGAAAATTTCCGCTAAGAGTAGAAAAAAATCCAAGAAAATAAGAATAACCCCATGAACAACCTTAGCTGTGGGGCACTCTCTGATGGAGCTTGCACTTATACCCATACCTACTTTGTACACTTTCAAGGAATAATATAGCTGGTTCTGTATTGATTACAAACCAGAATTTTGATAACCACGTCCACGTATTTAACTCTTTTGTATATTTCAAAACTGCTGTCCCACATTGATACAACAGCAGGTACTTACCTCCTCGAAGAACAAAGTCATGTCAACTCTGGATCAATCAACTTGAGTGCTAGCCTTCCGATTAGTGCATTTAAGACTGCAGCAGAATAGCAATCAACAAGGTTGGGAATGCATTGGGTGTCACTGCACCCAACGGCACATCTAAACAACAGGAAGGACTTCAGAATTTTGTGAGCATAGTATGCAAAAATGGCATACAATAATACGTACACCCTTTCCTTCTACGCAAATAATGAAGTTGTGGATACCATGGTATGAGACCCTTATATAACAGTATGTCACTCTTTGCCTACCATTGCTGACATACAGATCTGTCTAAGATTTTATTTAAAATTAAATACAATGATTAGACAATTTCACTTTGTCTGTCGGCATAGGTGCTTGGTATTCTATGTCCTACTCATTATTCATAAATCCCCTATTTAGAAGAAAATTTCAAGGATTATTTCAATTAACTTTCTATTAAAAAATAAAACATGATTTGAGATTTTAAAACATGCCATTAGAGATATTCAATTATTCAATTTATCCATAGATTTGCAGAGACATAAAATCCTTTGCCCTGAAAATAGAATAATTACTAAGATCAGATAAGATTATGAAAAGTAGAAATTATTTGCTCCAAGAGGCAATTATTCGCAATAATTTGAGCCATGAAGCATAAAAGAGAGAGAAAAGTTTCAACATCACTGAAATGAGACCTTAAGAAGCAAAACTTGCAAATATTATGGCCTAATTTCAAAACTTTTTAAGTAATCTACGAACAAATTTACTAACTTCCTACTTTTGCAAATTTATTTCTTTTTTCTTCTTCCATTTGGTACTATGCAGAAAATAATTGAGAATTATTTCATTGGGAAAGAAAGATCATTATGAATTTTGAGGGCTTGACCCTTGGGGCTTCGAGTTTTAAACCACATACCACTATTGCACTGTTTCCAAGACCTATTACAATAATTAAAATTTTTTCATAAGATACTCAAGCATCAAAAAATAATCTTGGAAGACTAATTATTCAGATACTAAAATGACTGAAAAAATAGTTCATTCAACCTCCTACTTTAAGATATTCTACATAAGTTAAAAATAGGGATGAAACATTTGTCAATAAGCAAGGGAAAAAATTTCATAAGATTAGACACAAAATACGTACTGACAGATGTTTGTATTTAAAAGAACTTTTAATTCACATATATAATTACAAAGAAGTGTTGGGAGTGAAAAACTTTGATTCCACTGAGAAAAAAACAGCTACATTAGAAACTGTTGATTGCCTCAGAATCTAACGACACTCAATAAAATAGAAAATCTGAGCCTTTGAGTCAACTTTGCATAAAAATGGAAACAGTTTAGAGTTTTAAATAGTATTTACAAAAAACATTTTTACAATATTATTGATGACTCAGCTTCACGTATAAAATGAGAATTGAGCTCGCTACGCTCATTTGGTGGCTGCCCTGAGGAGGCTTACAAGCAGTCTTCATTAAAAGTGTGGTAAAAAGTGGCAACTTGTTTTTGATTGCAGGAGAGGAAAATAGATGAGGCTGATATGCAAGAAGACAAGTAAAAAGAAGTATCTTTGCCTTGGTGTTTTTCTTGTCAAGTCATATTGAAGATGGAAAAACAGATACATATTAACACTCGACCAGTTGGATTTTTCATACTTAGAGAAATTTCTACAGCATTAATTTCATGTATCCGTAAACCTCTGTTTGCATGTTGTTGGAGACAATGTGGAATAGTTACTTCTGCTTCGACAGTTACTTCTTTAGTAGGGTAATTTTTCAATGTATGCTTAGACCAGTCCCCTTACTGTTTGTTCGGTGAATTTGGTTTTATGGGAGAAAATTATTTTCTCAACATCAATATAACTTGAGAAAAAATGATAAAAAATACTTTCTTTATTTGGCTCTTCTGTTTCTTCAATGTTGTCTGTTCGGTGTCAATAATAAAGTGAAAAAGAAATCAGTCGAGTTAGCGGAGGGAGACCAATTTACTTCAAAATTTGAATAACAACGCATCTTTGTTTCGAAAGTCTTCACTAATTATCTATACTGCGCAGTTATAATTCCTCTGCGTATTCTTTGATTGGAAAAACAGAATCGACTGGAAATTTATACATTAAAAAAAAAAAAAGCTCTTCCACAAAAAGAAGAATTTAGCAATGTTAATGGCCAGACTAATGCGATGGAAAAGGAACAAAAAAATTTGCACGTTAGTCTAATGAAACACAATTAGAAGATAACAAGACTGATTACAAAAATATTCAGTCATGAAAATATTACTTCAAATGTACAAAACTTAAGCTTCGTGAGTAGCTCACTCTAAGTACTATAAAACCTTGTTTTATAAGAAACGTGGTTCCCAATAAAGGGTTAAGAGAAGCACAAAGTACAAAATATCTGGTGAGAGAAACAAAACAAAACCTTAAAATTTAATCTTCCAAAAAGTTTACACAGCCCACTTAGGATCGAAAAAAATGAGCTAGTCCAGCTGAAATGCACACACTTTTATCTTTCAGATCAAATGCTGAACACCTGAAAAAAAGGGGGAAAAAAGGACATAAGATTAACTGATGAAAATGATACAGAATAGACCAGCCATATTTTTAAACATTGCTAAAAATTTTAAGAGGATATTCAAATGTGGATTAGCTAAAACTGAATGGGCCAAGAATAAGAAAAAAGGAGAGCAAACCTACTGCAAATTTGACAGGAGGAACTCATACTTTTTGGAGGGAAAGGTTCCATTTCTTTGCAAGTGGTGAACGAAATTGGACCTCAGTTTAGTGTGATGCTGAACTATTGAGTGCATTTCTTTGTTAACACGCACACAAAACAAGCAGCTGTCCTTCAAATGTTTTTAGGGTTGTACCCCTTTGCATTTTAAATTTAGCTAAAACGATTGATCAAGAATTTTTAAAATGGTGAAAATCCTCTTTTCTCTCTTTCTCTCACTCTCTCTAGAGGTGCAGCAACTTCCTAGTTGCCCGTTGCTTGGAATGGGGTAGCCCCTGCAAGAATAGGAAAAAAGCAGTGAGGCCTCCATGGAAATGGGATGGAACAGGGAAGCCCCGAGCAAAATACAGCGTATCTGTGGTGGCTCTTCTGAAAATGTTATTCTGGAGAAATAATACTTCATCAGTGTGGGGATTTTGAAGAGACCAACAATACTCATTAATAACAAAAAAATAGGTAGAGAGGTTGCTTATCAAAGTTCTATTGTACCTGCCTTGGTGCCTATCATGAATTCATTTTATTCCTCCATTTTATTGACATAAGCATCTAACTCGGCATCCAGTTGCTCAGCAGTAGCAGGCGGGTCTTTCTTCCTGTTACCACCTCGACCACCTCCCCCTCCTCCACGTCGGAAACCTTCAACAAGAAAAACAGAAACTTATTCGTTACAAAATTAGCAAATGACAGAATACCGTCATCAATTTTGCCTCTGCCAGACATTGACTTATATGAAAGTCTTGACAGAACTTGGGGGTGCCGATTAAAGTTTCTCCGAAATTTCACATAGGATATGTTTCAGAGCCCTTTATCATATATAGCTATAGATACTTGGAAAAAACCCAAAAATTAGTGATTGAACATCCTTGTTGTTAAAAATTTGTACAGGATGCATGAAGCAGCTAATTTTGCCTCCTAAGAATGCTAAATTAACATCCCACCCAGTTACTTATGCATCTGGGGATGAAAGGCAGGTAGTATGATGGGTCTATTGGAGACAGAAGATACAGCCTGCTGAGAAAAGTTTCTACAGGTAAAATGGAGTGAGAATCCTATAAGGCTCATCAAAAATGTGCGAAATTTATGAGCCATGATGGCTATCGTGAAAAATATTCTACTTTATTATGGTGAAGTGTGGCCTTTGACAGAGAGAATGGAGTTTTCTCCAAAATTGAGACTTGAATCAAAACATACCTGCTGAGCCACGCCTTACATTAGGCCTGCCTCTTTGTATGTTACCGCCTCGGCTTGCTGGCCTTGAGCTGACAGTCGGCCTCCTGACAGGTGATACTAAGGAAAGATCGGATGTTGCTAACTGAATGGACATTGGGCGACCTGAAAAGTAAAGTATAAATGAATCACTCTCTCAGGAAGAAAAAATTCAAAAATCTTCAGCAAAGCTATAAAAAAAAGAAGCAGATCACTTTCAGACATTAAGAATTGATACCACCTAACTATTTCCTAAAGACAAATTGCTGCGTTGGTTAAATATTGTGCTCAATGACTTAGGAACAACTTCATATATGAGAGCACACTCCTTTGGAGGAGGGTTTCCTGATCTTTGAAGCTTATGGGCATGAAATCTGTAAGAATAATAATAAAATTCTAAAAATGTAATTCCATGAATAGGTGTATCTTGGTGTTCAGTAACCTGGGGGTATGAGGTAAAACCATTCTTATTTGGGCAAGTTTAATAGAAATGCACCTAGCCACAAGTGGGGAAAAAATTTGATGGGAGTAGTTTTGAAGTTATCTACTCATAAATTTACTCCTGTCAAATACTCTAAGTCAAGAAAAATATATTTGAATGTGAATAGTCATTAACTTTATCCTCAACATTGAGCAAACAGATTTGAAGTTCTAGAATTGTTGCCATTCCTTGAAGACTTTTCACACCACAACAGTTCTCAAAATAATTTCTTGAAACTTTCTTTTTTCATGCAAAGAAATTGTCACCTGAAATTCCTCGATTTTTTAAATTTCTCACGTCACTTGCAACACCATCATTGTAAATCTTTGGATTTATCCAAAGATTTAAGATACGATTATTCAGTTTTAAGGCATGCACAGTACGCAAATGCAGACATTACTTGAGAGAAAACACTCACCATCCAAAGGAACTCCATTGTACTGTTTCATGGCTTTGACAGCATCTGCCTTCCTTTCGAATACTATATCGGCAGTTCCAAGTGAACGCCCTGATTTATCATAATGCACTTTTGCAGACTTTAGATTTCCATATTCAGCAAATAGTTCCTAGAGATAGATAAATTCAAATAAGTTTGGCGTTTTTAATACAAGCTCATGATTTAGTAACACATGAAGATTAATTAACAAACCAGCACCAGTTCTGATGAAAGGAACTTCAATCTAAGAAAATAAAGCTCCTTGATCCATGGATCATGTTTTCTTTTTGAAAATATAAATAAACAAAATGGAACAAGAGATTGTTTGATGTCATGGTGTTCACAATTAAAGAAAAATCTGATCAATATTTGGCAGCATTTGAACACTCGCATAAGTCTTCCCTTGGAAATTTCCAGTACCTAGTCACCTTCTGGCCAAAGTATCACAAACGCCATTAGTGCATTGACACTAAGTGGCCAAGTTGTCGAATCTGTTCAATTTTTTATGGAAAAACTAATAAACAGTATCACTTGAGGATTTTACCTGATACTTCTTTTGCCATCAAAATTGATCCCTGTAATTTTCATGAAAATAGTGCAAAATTTTTGATGAAAAAATTATAGCCAGTATTGTGATGTGCAGCAGCAGCGCCTCAGCATAATTGTGATACTTGCGCCAGAAGGAGGCGACGTAATGCTTTGTAAAATCAAAGCAGAGGCGTCGTTAGGGCAAAAGGTACAAATTACAACTTAAAGACCAAAGAACAAAATAACTTGTTTGATAGATAAAGATATCAATGATCAAAATATAGTTCTTTGATGCTGCACTCATCGTCTCTTGGAAAATGCATGTTAGGTAAGTGCTCCTTCAAAGTTGAAATCAAGTCCTCCTGATTACATTTTCTCTTCTTTCAGGCATTATGTATAAAGAACAGAATAATACCGCAATGCTTCACCTCCACTCACTTGCTTTAACTCGCTTATCAATTGGTGTCTAATATATACACATTGGGCTGAGGACAAAAATTTTAAAATCATACAGTTTTTAAGGACTATCCAAGGCACCATGAGCCAAGAAAATCAAACATTCATAGCAAACAGTGACTGAAATTAGAAAATAAAATAATAACATACCTCAATATCAGCGTTCGAGACAGCAAAATCTAAATTTGAAATCAACAATTTGCCAGGCTGCATTGCATTAGAGATGGCTGAAGCAGATATTCTGTTGCGGTTGCCCATTCTGCCACCATCATACAAGTCGTGTTTCCATTGATTATTTACGTCTCCCTATGGAAGTTAATGAAATGGTTGGATAATCTTACATTATAGAATAGAAAAAGAGAAACATTATTTACAACAGGATAAAATAACACAAAAAGAATGAAAACATCATGTATACATTTCTCTCTTAAAATGCATATATTTCTCTACAAAATGTATGTATATCTCTCTTTCTTAACTGTAAAAACTGTTGAAATGTATTTTTTTTAACACTTATTTCAGATAGCAACAATACTACTTAAATGGTCAGCCACCACAAAAGCCTTTGATTTATGTTGGCTGGCTATGTAGTTATAAAATCAAAATGTGATATTTGTAATGTAAGTATGAAATAAATAAATTAATAATACCTAAGTAAATAAACATTCCGGCAAGAAATATTCAAATTAAACGTAAATACAAATAAGCTTATGCAGATGTAGACTACGACAGAAGATCTCCTGTCTTCATTTTAAAATTAAGAGTAAATAAAAGAAACAAGATGTCAGATCTTCTGCTTCACTATAAGAGTGCGTAGAGTTACTCGGTGCTGACTATTTAAATATCTTCACTCCTCTGACATAAGAAGGGGAACTGCGTTTAGAAATGAGCCCTAACGTCCATATAACTCATCGCTTTCTGCGGCTTATATGGAAATGACAACACCCCCTTACATTAGAGCTACATTATGAGAAATTTATAGGAAAAAGGTAAATTTGTATTCAGCATTAGAGTTTCAAGAAAACGATATGTATATTACAGTTTAAAATTGTCCAAGCGTGCACATTTAAATAAAATATTTGTCTTCAGGGTGTCCACTAAATCTGATTAGCAAAATATCAGTATTTTAACAATTCTTTTTCAGTACCCCATCAGTGAATAATTCAGTACTGTCTCAGTGCTATAATGCAACAAAATTAAAAAAATTCCGAAATTCACGCGCAAAACACCACAAAAATGACATTTCTAGGAAATTAAAAGTTCAGTAATAGCCTGAGGATCAGCTGGCTGCAAATCCTGATCAAGCAAAAAGGTAAGTAGTGCACCAAGAATCAATGCGCAAGGGATTGTGAACTTCCCAGGCTATTTTAAAACACACGTGCGGCATGAAGCAAAAAAATTCTGGACCTTCATGCAAAATTTCCGTACTTTCTTAGTACTTTCGGACTACCTTACACAATCATGACTATATCCAAATTTACCCTAACAGTAGACACTAGACACCCTAGCCTTACAACCCTTGTTACCCTTTGTTGTTTTGCTACCCTTGCAGAATCTGCTTAAACAAACGCCTACAGTTGCCTTGACCTCATTGTCAATGGCCAGACAAGGTGAAGTGGGGAGGCTTACGCACAGCAGTATACAGATCACAAGCAATACATAATACGTTGAATTCCTAGTGTACCACAGTTGCTGCGTCGAAGTGTGAGCATGATAGAAAGCTAGGATAAGGGATTTTATTGATCAACAGCATCCAAGACCTTCCCGACGTGCTCCTATGTTTAGAAAATTTAGAGCTTGACTCTCCCGTCAGGGCGACGGATCACCGTTATGCGCCATGAATGCAGTCTCACAGGCTTTGACCAGTCCACCTCTACGTATAGAGGTTCCAGACGAACCGTCAGGATCAGAATATCTACGAGGTACCTGATTGAATATGTCTCGAGATTTCCCGCAGAAGGCAAAAATAAATTCGCCCCTGAGCATTGCAATGAAGTTAGGTTAGGTTACTGGTTCGAAGGATGGTAACGTGATAATGAAAGAACAGAATTAATATGGATCTTACCCTCGAGTAGGGGCTTCTGCCAAGACCCCTGGCACTGCCTCTTCTGCTTTTCAAGAGGCCGCGACCACCGGATCCGACTGGTCTATCAATTGATCGCTTGTTCACCCTACCTCTGGGGCTGCCTCTGCCTCGACGATTTCCACCGACTCCTCGCCTTCCTCGTCCGCCTCTCCAGTTTTTGAGAGATTTGTTCTGATTGATTATATCATCTAAACTTAAATCAATTTTGTCAACCATTTTAAAACTATATTATCACTTGAAGAAAAGAAAAGTCGAGCCAGGTGCGGTTGAAGAACAACTTGATGAAACAGAAATGGCGGCTACGTTGCTTGCTTGGTTGCCATATTAATGGAAGTTTTAGAAAAACATGAAGAGTAGATAGCGTTTACTATGTTAAATAATAAGCTTATCGGCAACCCTGTAAAAGAAAAACGTTGAGATTTTGTTGAGGTCTCATCACTCATCACTTTTCCGCATGAAAAAGTTAGGTTATGTATGTCGCAGTTATCTGTGGTCCGTGGCCCGGTCTCTTAGAGTCGAAACTCTTTTTATTACCCCAGAAAAGTCACTATATTCAGGATATTTATTTTAAAGTCCGATCCCAGTGAGTACATCTTCATTTAGGAAGTTTTACTCTTCGCTATATTCTTGTCAAGCACAAACTGAACAGTATGATTGAGTATAGATAGTACGCATGCCAACAATGGTTCGCTATAATCTTCGTAAATACATTGATAATGAGTAAAAAAGTTCATGCTTTGGATCTGATTTCTCAGTACTCGAGTGGAGAAAGTGTATGTGAAGAAGACTCCAACGAATTCCAAGAAGTTTCTGCCACGTGAGTTCTTCATAACTATTATACCTTCTCTCCAACCGTGCATGCTGTGCCCACCGACTTAAAATACTCCAAGGCTATAGGTGTATCGTTAAACTCTTCGGAGAGCTCTTCAGAGTTACCCGGAGATGTAAACTACTTTTGTTGGACTTCGGAGGAATTACCTAGAGACCTGCTCTGTCAATCTCTGAACAGCTCTCCAACTCTCCGATCTCTCGAGGTCGGAGACTACCGGAGAGTGACGCAGCAGTAAGGTTAGCCTTATTTCTCTTCACTTTGCGTCTTTTTCCGGTATTTTTTAGGCAACATGATCAGATCTCAGACCTGCTGTTCACTTATTGTATTGCGAGTTTTGATAATTGAGAAATGTGGAAGATTTTGTCGACTTTATGTAGTCGACATAAAATGTAAACAAATCTGGCAGACGACAACGCGGATAGCTGACATCAGGTCACCGGGTAATCCTCCAAGCTCTCGGCTGATGATCCTCCGGAGGGTTTAATATCATTATGGCTGTGTTGCTACAATCTAGAGATGTCATCATCCGTACTCAATTCACTTACTGTGACTATTGAAGATAACTTTAATTTGCATTACGTCCATGAAAATTATTCATACCGAGGTCTAAATACTGCATCAATTGGCGCATTGTGTAATTTAATTTAAAAACAACAGCCAACAGCCGATCAATTTTGTATTGCTGTATGGAGATATACTCAATGCTGCAAAATCTCTCTAATACCTTTTGCTTTAAGTATAAAATGTGTGTTTCAGCTTCAAGAAAATGTTCTTTAGGGCATCTTGAGTCCATGCCAAATAATTTTATGCACTTTCAGGCTACGCTAGAAGGTTCACCATGTTAATTTTGGCATTTATTTTCAATACTTATCTTCGGGCGCTAACCCACTGAATAATTTATTCAGAAGTAACTAATGGGGGCCTCGGATTTTTGCCAGAGGGGGCTAGGGCCTTTTTCACTAAAGTTTCAGGGGTTATTTCCTCCCAGCTTCTCAGGCCGGATCACCCTTACTGATTGTTTTCATAAACAAGCACTCCAGCATCTATTCTCTTCACATCAGCATCCTCTGCTCTCACAGTAATTTGCTCCAAAACAAATTCAAAAAATATAAGCACCAGGAGCTACTTTCACAATTACAAATGTAATTTTTCTGTATTAAGTATTTACAATGTTTTCATATCCTCAATTTTCTCCTGGGTTTTCAAAAAGATCTCTTTTGTGGGCAACTTCCCTGCCCTCATGAAAGAATTGATCAAAATAAAAATTGTGTTGGTATCTAAGTTCAATATTGTAATTTTGGAGCCTCTCAATGCAATGAACTGTAAGTAATTTTCTTTTTCACCATATGAACATCATTTTTTATTGACAGGCTACCAGTCCCTGAAGCTGTATCAAAATTATTCAGTAAAGACATCAATGAAAGCTCCTACAAAGATGATCCAAAATTACATGGTGGTCGAGTCCGAAGTTTTCCCCATGTAAGAGGCAATTGGTCCACCTTTGTCTACGTACCTTGTAAGTTATAATTGTATATTATAAATTGTATTTAATATTGTATATTATAATTGTATAATTGTATCCAATCACAGGCTAAATTACTGTCTCAGCTTGGGCCTGCTTTGAAATTAAATTCTAGTGAATTGAGTTGATTGTCCAATAATGTGGGTGTCCAATTACTTGCAGGGGGGTACCCTTCAACATCGATGTGCCACCAACTTTTTCCTGCAGAATTTTCTGTAGCAATCAATTACTCTAAAGCAGATATTTATCACCTATTATCTTTTCGGCAAAGAGGTAATTTTGGGTTGAAAAGTCACTATTTTTTTTCTATCTGCAAATTATACATTTTCCAAACATTTCCTCTAATTATATTTTTCTCCTCCTTTTTTTCATAACTCAGATGAGTACAATGAAGGTTTGCGTTCAATTTTGAGTGATGCAATTGAAATTTGTGGAACAGAAATTGACTTGAAGCCAATTGAGAAGCCCCATATTAGTCTCACAAGAACAGTTGTGCTCCAACATCATTGGATTGACACTCTCGTCGAAGATATCAAGAAATCCATCAGCAAAGTTAACAGGTTAGTATGCAGAATAGAGTGTTAGAGATGAGGTAAGGAGCACACTAGTGCAAAAGCTCCTAACACCAGTCAGCAAAAGTCAAGATGTCAAACAATTCAGAATTGACTCTCGGGGATTTTTATTACTGATTTGGGAAATAATCTCCACTTCTATTGGTCAGTTCAATTTCAATTAATGTACGTAAAATTGAAATTTTCCCTAAAATTCGGATTTTCACAAAAAATTGTGCTTGGTAGAGAAAAATTAAGATCATATTCGGATTCTAAAGCCAAGAATACAGCAAGTTGCAACATGCTTAAGAATTTTCCCAGCTGTTTCTGATAATAGTTTTTCCTGTCAAATGGCTTTTTTGCCTTGTACCAATATGTGAAACCTATCCTATTATTTTACGCCGGAAAAAATGGGAAATAGGTTTTCCCTTGTATCGAATCAGATTGCTCTGATCTAGTTTTTGCTGCGAAAGCCAAAAATAACTCAATTTTTTTCCAACACTCACCATATTATCGAAGTTTGCCTGAGAGGTACATTTAAATTGGTGTAATGATTTCCTGAATAAGACATATTTATCATAGGTTAATTTGTTCTTCTATCAGAATAAAATCGAGGAGTTGCTAAAATTACAAACTGAAAAACCTCTACCGAGGGAAGAAAAATTAAAAAATTTGGTTCACCTTCTGAACGCAATAATTATAACCATAAACATGTACATCTGAATCTCTCGCATTTTCATATATTTTTTATTTCTACCAGAGAACTGCAAAAATCCTAACTGAGGTCAGCCATAATTTAGGTATTTTTAAACAGATTTGTTGGGATTATAATAATCGAATCAATCAACCAAGCCCAATTGCCCTCCCCCATCCTCTTTGTAACAAGAGTAGGTGCCTCATGGGTGTCCAAAGCTGTTGTGAGACAAATCATAAGCCGATCTGCTTTTAAATTATTTTAGTCCTTATTTAGATATTTTGAAACAGCTTTTTGGAATTGGATAGCTAAAATGTGCATCGTAATTTAGTGAGATGAAGTATTTTCTGAATACAAACAACAAAACGAGTTAGTTGGTAAAAAAATTGGCCTCCGGCCAATTTATGCGCGGCGCAAGCGCCGGCATGTGGGGGGGCTTCGCCCCCATCATGGTGCGAGAATCGCACAACACTTTCTCGCTTTTGCCGGAGCTCCGCGCCGGCATAGACACTTTTACTGGAATGTTTAGAAAAATACTGCCAATTTTACAAAATCATTTTGATTGGAATTTTGATCGCAGGATAATAGTTATGAAATTTTTATTCAAACCACTGAACTTTATTGTAAATGTCTTCGCGATATGTGATGAATTCATATATTCGGACTCGACTTGTTGATTTTATGAGGCATCTTCAATTAAATATGTAATTGATTAACAAAGTCTCCTGTCAAGGACGGCGATCCGTAAAAATCTTAGCTTTTCTACGATTCATTAGGATCCATTAGATTCATTGACATCATACTTCAGATACAATTTTATATTATAATCTCTCCTTAAGCACGGTCAAAAGCCATCAAATATCTACTTTAATGGGTAGAATGACTATTCGATGTTTAAATAGTCTTAAAACTAAACGGTTTTTGCTTAGCATCTCCCAAATTTTAAATTTGGCGGGCGAATCTACCTGCTGGAAGGTTCACCACACGCCCGCCAAGAGCGCCATCTCCTTACCGCGTATCCCCGTAATTCAAAGCGAAAACAATAGAGAGCGCCAACTCCTTGCTGCTGTCGACAAACGTCAACAAACCTCAGGTTATAACAATATTTATAACCTCCTTTATTAACAAGCATTAAATCAGTCATATTTGTGCCGAATTTTTATATTATATTTGTGCTTAGTACCTCGTAAAAAGGAAACGCGAAAGATGGAATCTGCCGGGATTCTAAATTCATTAACAACAAACATATTAGTTTTTAATAAAGATCTAAGTGTCAGTTCTTGGCGTGAGCTTGATGATTCATAGTACCTTTGTAATGTGAGTATGTACCTAATTAGTTGTCTAATTTTCCTTTGTGTATACCTACGGAGTAATTTTGGAAATAGTATATGATGCATTATATAATGCATTTGAATTCCTAGGTTTCACCTGACTCAAAGCGTTTGCTGCTATTATCTAGAAGCGTTCCGACTCATTTATTAGAGAATTGAGCGTCTCCTATCGGCCCCTCTGCAATTATGAGATTAGTCCAAGAATCCTTTAGGAACTTAAATTAATGTCTCAGATGGTGCTTTTGAGCCAACTTTCAAAGAATTAAAGGCATTTTTTTTCAAAATCTACAGTCCATGAGCTCTCTGTGTGACCGAAGTGCTCTCCTCGCTATATGACGCGTAACCCTTCAATTTTTAGTTTAGTCCATAGACCTCATAGGAACTTACATTATTGAACCAGGTAGTGCTCTTATGCCAACTTTCGAAGAAATGAAAGGCATTTTTTTTCAAATTTACGGTCTTTGAAAATGAGTTGTTTGTGTAATGTCGCGGAGCAAAGTGCCCTACTTTTGGGCCTCGTAATCCCTTGAATTTTGAGTTTAGTCCAAAGATCTTTTAGGATCTTAAATTAATGACCCAGGTGATGTGTTTGATGCCCAATTTTAAAGAATTAAAGGCATTTTTTAAAATTTACAGTCCCTCAAAATGAGCTTTCCGTGTGATTTTGCTAAAAATGGACAATTGAGCGTAGCCCCCCCAAATTTTAGCGTACCTCAAAATCGTTGGACGTGCATAAGGAGACCATAGATATGGTGTCCTGTGCCAATTTTGAATGAAATCGAACAGATAGATTCTGAGATATCGCTGTGGACAGATTTGGGGGACGCCACACGGACGGACACACATTTTTTCAAGTATGGTTATTTTTACTCCTTGGACCTTAAAACGTCTAGAAATGATGAAATTTCAACTTTTTTTTTTTTTTTTTTTCTTGGAGGATGACAATACTTCCTCTCTACTCTATGGGAGCGAGAAAGTAAAAATTTCAAACTCCGAATGATTGTTTATTTTCAATGAAGATTTACTTCACAACTTTAGTACTCAAAACCATTCTGGAGGATATTATGTATTTGAGAAGCCTAAGCTTGTAAATCTCTTTCCTTTTTTGAAGGTTCATAGTCTCATTTTCCTCGGTTGGAGTCTACTGCAATGATGATAGAAGAAGGACATTTTTGAGTCTCCAGTTGTCAGGAGGTAAAACCCAGCTAGCAGAGTGTGTTGAACTTCTGAATTCATGTTTGTCAGCATTCAAACTGCCTCCATTTTATGAGGTAAAATAACTGCTGTTTTTCATCTCTTTCCATTCTTTTTTAGCATGAAAAATTGTAGAATCAATGTTGTACATGGAATGCGTAAGAGCAATTATTTCTATTCAGGACATGATGTTTTACTTTTTGAACTGTAATTTTTTGTCGAACATGATCGAAAAATCATAAAATGGTTTGAAACAACAGGTAATTCCAATTCCTAGCTTCAGTTACTGAAAGTCAGTTCTCAAAAGCTTTCCTTTTAAATTATATGAAAAATAGAAGCATTACAGCATACACAAGGTTTTCATGAAGAATATTTTTTTTAGTAGGCCCAAGGCTGAAGGTAGAACCATTTAATTTTAGTTAAGTATTTGCTGACTTATTTTTTGAAAACTTGGTCAGCCTCAGTAGTGTATTGGTCAAGGCAGTTCGCTGCCAACACTGAGGTCCCGGGTTCAATACCCGGAGGTGAATCAGTCATCGTGACTGTGGATGACTATGCTTCTCCAATACCCTGACTCTTGGAGGTTACAGGGTGTGGAAGGGACATAGTTACCCAGTAAGTAATCTGTCTGCACTGTTCGACTGGGTTGTGAAAAAACGATGATCACTCGTAGTGTGCGCGACGGCCTGTGCTACCTATCAATGGAGATTGCAACAACACAGTCTAACTCGGTGGAGGCATGGCCGTGCTTCGAAAATCCGTGCTCTGCAGTGTCTGCCACAGTCTTTGATAAGACCTGCTGTTGGCTATCAGATGGCCGCTGAGCCTTGCGGGAATATAGAGGATACACAATGTGTCAATGGTATGAGGTTAAGGAGCACGGTCCAACTTCGGGGTGCACAATGGCAGTTGCCAGTTGCCTTGGCCCCTTGAGGGTGCCTTGCTGGTCAGCCCGGCCTTACTTACTTACTTACTTACTCACCTACTTACTTTTTGAAAACTTGCATTTCTTAAAACGTTTCCGAACCCTATTGACAATGGCACCAGCTATCAGTGGTTGACAGTGTTCTCAATTTCAGGATGGCATCAACATCATTAGCTGACAGGTGAATATCAAACAGTGTAATAATAATTACATTGTTCAATACATTCAATTTTTGCATAGTCTCATAGCCCTATAAAGTGTTGCAGAAACATATTATCTAATTTGGATAGGTCATATCCTGACAATTGACCTAGTTAAAAACTGAGAACGCAACTCAGGGGCACATCAGCCACTTGTGAATGACAGGCTTTCCACGATTACTTTTGCCGAGCAGAGCTTTGTTGTCCTTGAGTTAAATTACGTAATTAAAGTTTAAATCAGCCTGGTAGATCTCTCTGCTAAAGAGTCAGAATATGATCCTCAAATGAGACGCTTTTTTCTGAGAATAAGTGAATCTTTTACATCAGTTAATTGAAAAAATCTGTATCCCTCAACAGTAGAAAAACTAAGAGAAAAGTATGAAATTTACTTTTTTTATCTGGAACAAATAAGATTTTATCCTGTATCTATCAAAAATGTGGGGCATAAGTAATCAATTTGACAGTTGAAAAATTATATTAGTCATGAAAGCATATCTCATTATGTATGGCAGGTAAAAAGTGGGAACTGTTGAAGGAAACAAACAATAATGATAATGACTTTTGTAGAAGTATTAGAGAAAACATTTTTTGCCTAAGCCTAGTTGAAAAGTAATTTTCAATAATGAAAGTTTGTTTAGTCGCAAATTTTACACATCTGTGTTCGATTATTTTTTTTCCAGGATGCCTCTTTTCATCTAAGTATTGCATGGTGCCTCGGAGATAAATCAAGTGAAATAAATTCTAAGTTAGAAGAGTTAAATTTAAAGTTGCAGAATTTAATTGCTGAGGAACCGGACCATTTTGAAACCGTTGTTGATAAAGCAGAGTGTAAAACAGGAAATAAATTATTTAGATTCAGTCTTTGTTAACATAACGGGCAAAGTAAGTTGTAAATTCTGTCTCTCCACACTCTTTATTCATATCTCCATTACTGAAGCAGTGTTCACTTTCTTCATGATTACTTAGGATGAGCAATCGTTTGCTAAAAGTACGGAGTGCTCTAAGCCTCTAGGAATCTTCCCAGGTTTTATTTAACTGTAAATGACCAAGGAACCTCGTTTCGAAAATGCCAAAAATGAGACCTGTTTGAAAGATATTTTTAGCAGGCACTAATTATGTAACCAGGCAGAGAAATGGCACTGGCTGATCGGTTGAACTCATCTTCAGGCATCGTCTTACTATATCAGCTTGACATTTGGTTCATTAGTAAAAAATTGGCACCCTGATAAAATCTCATTTGTGCAGCCAGCCGAAATTAGCCATGTGCGCCTTTTGATTTGAATAGACTTAGACCTTTTGGAAAACGGATTGTTCGAAATAATCGATACATAAAAAGTTCCTCATGAAAATAGTATATATTTTCATCATGTTGCTTGTGTGTTGCAATGAGGATTCACAAACTGTCTTGTTTAATATCTAATTGGTCAACAGAGGTCATCATTCCTGCTCATCGGAAATATGTAACATTATAGTTACAAAATTCATTTTGCGTAATACCTAAGAATCACTCTCTCATGCCATAAACCACTTAGATTGTCTATGCCCCATGTTTTAGTTCATTTGCCAATTGCCTTTTTATTTTGCAACTTTCAACGTAATGGTAAACTTGTATTTACTTACTGTGAGTTGTGTTCTCTAATGTCCTATTGTGTTTTGCAAGTGCTAAGGTTAGAGACTGATTGTACTTGGTTGCATTTGTAACTTCTTTTCAATTTTTTGCTGTGGTGCTAGGTGGAAAATTCAAGTGCAGTCACAAATGCCAGGGCCAAATGTCAAACAGGCGTAGCCCATGAAGAACGATTATTTGCTGCGAGTTTATTTCACTGAGAAAATCCTACTCATTCCTAACTCAGCAGTGGAAGGCTAAATGAGTACTTCTGCTTAGTATTTCATTTGTAAAATTAACTTTTTCAGATGGTCGGTTTTGCCATATTGACTGATTGCAATCGCCGGCACTAATTCAGTTTTCTTTCAAATTTCAGAGTATTCTTAGATTCCATAAGGAGAAAAGTTCAAAATGGCTTCAAGAGTATTTACTCAGGGTAGTTACCTCAGAAAGTGTGTTGTTTTGGTGTCATCTCGAGGTATATCCAAGCACTCCAAGCTATCTCCTTACCGTCAAATTTTTAATTCTCGTCTCAATCATTCAATGTCAAGTAGAGGAGCACCTGAAATAAATACAAATGTGCCGAAAGAACCAAACTTTTCCTCAGAGAACACAGTGGAAGGAGCCCCTCAACACTCTGATGAGAAAATTGCAATTAAACTTGCCAAGCTCTCAGACCCAGATACATTTGGCACTCTGAACCCTCAAAAAACAAAGCAGTTGACTTACGAAAAAATACTTGATGAATTACCAGATGAAGAAGGTGACGTAATTGTGGAAACTTATGCCGATCCAGAAACCCAGCGGCATCGCTTAAAAATTATGGAATATCTCAAAATGATTGACGATCTTATTAAAGCTAAAAGAGTAAGTAGTAATTTATAAATAATTGTATTTTATTTTATGAACTTACAGGTTCAAATTCATACTACAAGCGATGTGTGAGAAGTATTTTCACTTATCTCTCTCTAGAACTATCAGAGGATATCGTATTACTGCAAAGCAGATTGCAACTCAGGAAACTGATAGGTTTGACAAGTTATTAGTACTGTGCCAGCATTTGCACACCATAAGGATCCTCCAAGGAGATCCAGTGTGCAGATTCTACAGACAGGAGAAACCATATGTCACTTCATATCATCAATATCAACAGGAAAACGGGAAGATACAAGGGTTCTCTTGCAAACTTCTTGATTGACTAAAATTATACAGGTCTACCATGTCTTCCCAAAAGACACGTGTTCTGCAGCTTAGTAATTACATACAAATTTGTCTTTTCTGCCCCTTTTTTTGTTTATTTGTGTGAAGCTCATCTCTACATTTAATTTCTTTGAGTCTTTTTTACCATGATACTTATCACCTTTATTGAACAGCGTCCTACCTAATCAACAAACTTCCACATCTTTGATGAAAAGTTGAAAAAAAAAATTGGATCATGTTACAGATCAGAGATGCTATTGATGTACTGGAGGTAAAAATGTTGAAAGAGGATCGCGCAAAGCCAACATTTCACATTTATAACCATCTCATCACTGCTTGTGGGCATGCTGGCTACACAAAAAAAGCGTTCAAGCTGTACAATGATGTAAGTCCTATCCCTGTTTTATGAAAAAAATCATGAAGAGCAATTGAGTCAGTCAAATTGTTCATATCCGTTAATAGTGAGTTGGATCTATTGCTTTTTCCTCTTTGCTTAATGAAATTCTAAGTTAATATCGAAAGAAACAGTGTAACTGAGCATGTCTTTCAGTTGTCTTATTGTGATATCAGGATCACATTTAATTTCTTTTTGAAATGAAAATGTTTGCAAAAACGACAGAAATATGTCCTACAAATATTTGAAGTTTACTGTGTAGCCATATTTTAGTCAAAAATGGTTTTAGGGAATGTGTCAGTTGTGCTGGTCACAGAATTGCGTTTTGATGGCTTAAACTTTTACATAAGCAAAAATTAAGATCTGAAAAAACGCCAAATTTCTATGCACCTTCAATATGAACAGGGGTATCACCCATCGAAAAACGCCTTGAATATCAACCTCTGTATTAGTGCATACCATGCTTTTCTCCAACCTGGTTTGAGAGGATAAGAGGCTTCCAGCAGTCATCCTAGCGCAGTTTAAGAAGAGGATGGCGGAAATGAGGTTCAATGCATGGCCTGCTTTTAATTTGGCTGTTTAGAGGATTTCCTTGGTTTTCATATTTATTGATTTCAAGGTGCTCTAACAAGTTCATCGTTTGGCCTTTGCCGCTTGAGTGTAGAATGCTAGTTTTGCACTTTTCTGGGTTGTGTTTGTTCCACTGTGATGATCAGTTAATAAAAAGGAACCTAGCTTTCCACGTTTTGCATTTGCGGTGTTCCTGTTGACTCGCTCTGATATTTTCCTGCCACTTTGCCCAACAAAATTCCGTCCACACTCACATTCCACATTGTTTATGCCACTTTGGCTTAGTTTATATGTTCCAAGTTGTTGCTGTCAATTAGAAATCTCCCAAGATTTTTTTGGTCACTGAAGATGACTTTGGTCTTATCTTGTCTTGCTTCTCTAAGCTGCGTCTGGCTTTCGTGGAGAGCTTTGAGTTTTTAAACTTCACCAAAAGCAATGATCTCTTATGATTGTGGGGATTTTATGTGGGAGAAAAATTGTTGGTTGCGTCATCTCAGTTAAGTTTGGTCGTTTACCCTGTAAGGTGCTGAGGCATCTGGGTTTGAATTTAATGTCCTTTTTTTTCTCAAAACCAAATCTATCATCTTTTTTTTGTTTTTTCCAGATGAAGAAACGAGGAGTAAGACCTAATGGCGGTACTTATACTTCGCTTTTTAATGCTTGTGCTAATTGCCCATTTCCAGGGTATGGATTCCAGCAAGCCAAACATTTGAAAGCATTAATGGATGAGAAATCTATCTTCATTAGGCCTATTACTTATCATGCCATGATTAAAGGTAACATATCATGAAAATCATAATTATATTTTTTTTGTAGCAGAGTCGTCAGAAATTCTTAAGAGAGACAAAATTATCAGCAGCAATTCGCCATGAAATTCTGTATAAGTGATTATATAGCACCTTCAAAAACAATTTAGTGATCAATTCTGAACTGTAGTACATTTGCTCAACATTGCCAAAAGTTGCATCATGATGAAGTACCTGATGCATTTGTGAACAAGAGTTTGTAGGAAAATACCTTGAAATAACTCTTGGATTGGATTTTGCAAAAAGGAACCACTAGCATTGCAATGTTGCTAAGATTGTGCAACTTCTTTTGACTCGGAGGAAAAACCCGATTATCCATCATAGTTTCTTTTTTACTCGCTAAAAACTGTAAATTTAAGACAAAAATTACCATATAAATTTCATAGTTTTTCACGATTTCCGCAATTTTATTGCAAAAGATGAAGTTGCACAATCGTAGCATCATTGCAATGCTAGTGGTTCCTTTTTGCAAAATGCAATCCTCTTAAGAGTAATGGACAAAATGTAACAATTTTACCGTTTTTTTTTCAGCTTTTGGAAGATGTGGTGCTGTAGACATTGCTTTCAGTTTAGTGGATGAAATGATCGAGAAAAAGTTGCCCTTGTCAGCAGATACTTTTTGCTTTGTACTCCAAGCTTGCATTTCAGATAAAGAGGCTGGTTTTAGACTTGCTCTAGTTGTAAGTGAATCACTCCGTATCAGATTTCCTTTTCCATTAGTATATCTGTATCTGAATACTGGAAGGCGCATAGAATTAATCATTCCAATAATAGCAACTCTCTCTCTTTCCTTGGAAAGAACAGATTCAGATATGAATTTCAAAACTTTGGTATCAATTACTTGTGAACCTGATAATCGTGCTCCTTACTACTACCTGAAACAGTGTCTTGCATTATTAGAATTTCATTGCGTAGTTACGTATAATGAAATGAATGAAACATGTGCAAGTAATCTACTACGTTGATCAATCATCGTGCACTAACAATTCGATCAATCTGATTTGCATTAGATCCCGAAATTCTCTATCTGAAGCTTCTTGATGGTGGTCCTACAGACCCGTTGGTTGAAGGTATTAGATATCATTATATTTCTTCAAAGCATTCTTTTCTGAAATACTGCCATATTAACTAACCCTTAAAATTTTGTCCCGTCCTCACTGAGTCACACAAGATCAACCAAAAATTCTCTACCTGCCGATATTATCCAGTATTATCTCTAACCACTCATTCGCGTAAATTCAATTTTTGTTTACTATTTTCTACAGGTTTGGCACAAACTTAGGAGGAAATGGATTAAACCCGATATTTACAATTACAATTTGCTTCTCAGAACGGTGCGTGAGTGTGGAACAGGAGACCTTGTCACCTTTCAGCAAGCAATTGATGAGATTATGAAGGGCGGAGTGCCAAGCCCAGAGGTATTTTCTATTTGAATTAATTCGTTGCATACCACATCAGGCTCATGGGCCACTAAAGGCAAACCGAAGTCAGTCATTGATATCAAATTACGGCAAACTGATAGTAGCTGCGTCCAAACTTTTGGCAGAACATTTTTTGACCCTAGTTTTATAGGTTTCTGATTGGTCTCCACATTTAGCTATTATTTTTGTAGATAATTTCCACAATTTTAGCTTTTTTAATTCCTGGGGAATATATTTAAATCGAGTTAATTGTGGAATTAGTTTTAGAAGGTAGACATTTTCTATGTTTTTTAATTTAAACTTGTGCTAAGCTAACTGTTTGTCAGAATTATTTCATTTTCGCATGGTTTGAGACCTGGAAGATTTTTTTCCGACGTAATTTTTTGAATTCAGTGAATTGTCTCTGAAGAGGAGTGTTCGTTGATGAAGAATATGGGGATGACCAAAGTGCAAAACCATGTATCTCCATTTGTGACATTGCAAACTTCCTGTGACGTGAAAAGTTGTTGAGCCGCATGTTGCATCTAATTGTAATTATGAGTAATACAAACATGTGCCAAAGATGCATAATTGTTTATAATTCTATTTATCAGGGGCTATTGCATTTCAGGACTCAGTCCCATCATCAGAGCATTGCCGAAAGATACATTGCTAAGTTACATATTAGAGAAATATAATAGACTCACAAAACAAGAGAGAAACTGGAGGTACAGTAAAGCAGGATATTAATGAAAATTGCATAATTGAAAAAAGATGCACATACAAGATACAAATTGAAGATCAGATTTCCGGGCAGTGATTCATGTTGTATTGTAAGATTCTTTTCTATTGATTTTACCTTGTGATTGGATGATTCAATGTGTTGGAAAATTTGAGAGTTTTTGTCCCTCTTACACTTTTTGAATCTTTGGAGAAAACTCCTTTCTGATTTTCCCACGTAAATACTGTCACAATCATTGCAATTCACCTAATACACTCTGGATGCATTATAATTTACCTTCTTTGTCGGATTATTATGAAATTATGCATTTTTGGCACACGTTTTTATCACTCATTCCTGTGATACTTTACACTTTCTTTGAAAAACTCGTCAGCATGTTAGACTGCTCTGATTTTTCTTCTCTGCTGGCAGAATATTCTGTATGAATTTCAAGCAGTTGGCAGTTAGTAGTGAAGTTGGCTCGCTCCCTATCAATTCAAATCTATAATGGTTGATTTATTTAATAGTATTAGTGACTGTATCGGCACATTTCGTGAACCCGAAAATAATGGAATACAGTAGTGTTTTTACCTACCCCTCCAATTGTTTTCTTCTCTGTTCATTCATTTTAAATTTTTCTATTGCAGGAGCATAAACTTCTTGACTCACCAGCATCAGAGAATAATTCTAACCTACCAAGCTCCCAAGAATCATCAAGTCTCTCGGTCGACTTCATTGAACCAAGTAATGTCTCAGAAAATATTAGTCCTGTACCTTCTATTTCTGATGCGACAACCTCTCTTAAAGAACTTCCTGCCGAGAATAGACCAAATTTACTCACATACAAACCTCATTTGGGGAGTATCTTAAGTTTAAATGAAATTAAAACGCCGCAAGACAGGTAAAAATGAGCATTTATCATTTTATCACGTTATTTCATTTTATGCACCGGAGAACCTTAATGTAACAACTTTCCGTAGTTCATTGAAGGAGTACATCTGCTTAATCGAATCAGCGACATCAAACCCTGATTCCGCATTATCAAAACTGAGGAGTGATGACTCCACTCTTGAGGCTCAGTCCACTGTGCGCTTATGGTTGCTAGAGATCAGGAGTTGCCACTTTGACACCCTTTTTTTGGTCACTCATCAGTCTATCGTAATTTTTGAAAACTTAATGGCATGGTACATAATCCTCCAGGGATCTTTTTATCCTTTTAGAAGCTTCTAAATCAACCCTATTACTTATTCTTTAGCGGACTTATAAAGCACTTGCTGATAGCGGCTGTTTTTTGAAGCTCAAGCAGTACTTCTTTTCCATTTTATAGCACAATAGATCAATGGAGTCCATCTCAGTTTGTTACGGATGCACGGATGTTCGATACGGATTTGCAACATGTATTCATTTTCTTTTTATAGGCTGATATTACTTGGAGGAGTGAATGGCATTTTGGAAGAAATGGAAAAAGATGGCCTGAAACCTAATGATGTCACTTTTGGGTTACTGTTGGACTGTATTCCACCCACTCTCACCGCTGAGAAAGTAAGCTATTAGAGAAGCGCCTCAAAAATTGTCTCAGCCTCTTAATTTGGCCGTTTTAGGCTCTCTTCCTAAAAATATGGCCAAATGAACTTTCTTTTTTTCTTACTATCTTTAACTCTGCAAATAACTATCTTTTCCCCTTAATCTCCTCATCGCTCTAATTGATCACATGCTAATTAACATGCTTTCTTATATATATTAATACATTTAATGGATCATCATGGTTTATTATGTACAAATATCTGAGAAAAGATAGTTATGCGTGCAGGCGGAAGAAAGTAAGTAAGGAACAATCATGGGTAGAAATAAAAATTATGGTTAGACATTGGGGATCAAATTTGGAGCCTGTCAATCAGTTCGCAACACTCTCAATCACTGAGCCATTGCAGCATTTATGCAAAATGAGCACTACTTTGTCTCTTTAGCAAACGGCCTTTTTGGCCGAATTTTTTACAATACTTTCTTGGAAGTTTCTTGGCCCATTTACAAAAACGGCGATTTAGGGGTTTAATTATTCCGTAAACAGAAACTTCTGGCCACATTCCAATCAAAATCCAAGTGGGAAACTAGGTTTCCTTCCTTTGATAGTTGGCTGTATCTTTGGTGTCCAACAGTCCATTATATTTTTAATAATGTATTCTCATGAGAGATGTTTTGGTGCATTTGAAAAAACCTTATTTTTTCTGCAACTTGTAGATCAAAATTTATGGAAGCTGAGATCTTTCAGCTTACATATCCTTATTTCAATGGAGACATAATTTTCAAGCAAGTTTCCATGAATTTTCTCTATTTGTACTATAGTTTAAAAGAATGGAAATAGCAAAGCCATTTTTGAGTTAATCCATGAGCCTATTTTTTAGCAGTCACCCTCTTGAAGTCTTAGTTTGCTCCCTTTCCTGGATCTTTTCTAATTGTCACCGTTTAAAACTCTTTACAGGCTCTATTGTCAATTATAAAGAAGGAAAATATCAAGCTAAGAATCCCATTCTACAATTCTCTCATCAAAAGAAGAGCTTTGCGGTTTGATTATGCAAGTGCCCGAGTAAGTACTCATCAATACCCGTAACTATAGTTTTCTCAGTCAATGTAAAGCTGTCATTGTCTCTAACTCATTTTTTGCCTGTTGAAAAAAATGTTGGTGATAATTTATTTTATATCAGAGCTGATTTTATCCTGAACCATCAAAATACAGGAAAATTTGAAGAAAAGAACGCCTGATGCCAGCAGATGTCGGACAATAGCTTTCTTTCGCTTGTTCTTTTCATCATTCCTAATTATACGAGAATAGCTGCTTCTTTCTTGGACTTTTATCCCCTTGTGCTGGAAAATCTTCAACAGCAATATTCCTCCAGTGTGGCAAAACTAAAACTGTTTTGCTAAATGTGGAAGGTTTTGAGTATGTTTTTTTCTATTGTACTTCGGAAGCTCATGTTCATGTCAAAAGTTGTTATCTGCATTTTAAAAGTAGCAAAGGAAAAGTAAATGGGTGGAATTGAGCAAACAGTCTCATGTCTATTGCAATGTTTCAAAATTTTATCTCCTATATTAGTTTTTTGAAGGAATCCAATTATCATCCCCACTCATAAATTTTCGCAATTTTCTTGCCAATGTAAATGTTATTTCCACAAGATTTTAAGCATAAAGGTTGGTTTCCTTCCAAAAAATTAAAGTAATAGATGAGATCTTGAAACATAGCAGTGTAGATGTAACTGTTTTGCTCAATTTTATCCAAGTGTTTGTAGAACCATAATCGGAACAATTTCTGTTCTCCCACCCGCTTGTCTCCTTCGGATCGTTAGATTCTGTTTTGATTTCCATTAGATTCTTCATACTGTAAGTTTTTTTTTTTTTTGTTTGTTTGTTTAGGATGTTATGACTCTTTTGAGATTACACCATGTGGAGCCGGATATTATGACATTTGGTGCGTTGGCATTGTCCTGTAGAAAGAAAGGAGAGGCGGAGGATCTGTTGCGACTCATGAAAGAAGCTGAATTTCAGTAAGTACTTTCTCCCTAGATTGCCTCATCTGGGTCAATTTCGCAATAAGGCACTACTAGTTTTGACCCATTTTAGAAACAACATGTCTGTCATAAGTTTTCCCATGTAGATTGGTGATTCGATGGATGAGCTGGAAATAGTAGTTCCCTTTTGCAAAGTTTAGTTAATTTAATATGTACCTGTGTAACCTACTATTCTGATACCATTTGTAAACAGTTACTTATCCAGTAGACCTCTTGGCCCCTTTTTAACTGCCCTTTATGAAAAATTATAGTTGTTAAATCTACTTTTTTAGAATTTTTTCTTTAAAATTTTTTAAAACCAAAAACATTAAGTGAATTTTGCGTTAAATTGCTGTAGTTGTGCACAACATACTCTGATAGGTAGAACAATTTCGATGGTGAACAACAAAAATGTATTTCTCGGTTTGCGGCGTTGTAGACCTCCTATCCTACTTCATTTCCTACTTTGAAGATTTTTAAACTTCAATTCTTGGAAATTTCGATGATAGTTCTTCTCTTTGTGAAGGATATTCTGTGAAACTTGAAGCCATGGTTCGGCCTTCTTTTAAGACATTAAATAGGAGCGCAAATTTTTGAACATTGCAACAGAGACACATTTCTGCTGTTTTACTGCCAGATTGGTGTTCCATCATGGAGAGAGGGTGCAGATTATAGAAAGAAGCAAAAAATAGTTGTATTTCTGACATCTAGGAGATGCGTCGATAATATAAGAGAAGACTTTTGTGAAGGTCAAGGTCATTGATTTTCCCGAAAATGCGTGATTAGTGGAAAAAGGGTATACTTCTGAAAAGGTGTAAAATTTCATTTTGTGTTTAATTTGAGAGAACAATAGACACCACATTGTGAGCCCTTTATAGTACGGTGGGTACGATCAAAATCGACGATTTTTTGATTGGAAATTGCCACTTCGGGAGGTCATACTAGATGAAAAAATAAAAGTTTTTGTCCGTAGAACCACTTTCAAATCCGTGCAGGATCCAAGATGGCGGCCGTTAAAGATGGCGGCCAAGCGCTTTTTTGAAGTGCTATATCTCTGTTGCTAATTGTCCGATTTTGATTTTCTTTTTTTTAAAGGAGAGTTAAAAGGGCCTAGAATATGAATCAATTATAACAAAGTCAATTTGGCCAACAATTTGTCCAAAATGTTACAAAAAATTTTTTCCTTGAAAATTCCTAAAATTTCAAAGCAAAATAACTTCTAACTGAGCAGGAAAATTGATATTTTCTCTTCAGTAAAAGAGATGGGTCTTGATCTCGCGTTTAATTTGATACCAAAACCATTTTTGTGCTACGAGTAGTTAGCCCGCGAGAGCCATTTAAGTATCGCGCGATCGGCCGCGGCGGGCGATTTCCACCCCGCGTTCATGGCCACGGGCGCGCTTCACACGTGTAAAAGGCGCTGTATCTCTCCAACCGTTCGTTCGATTTTCAAACTTTTGGTCTCGTTTGAAAGCTGCTATAAAGACCTGTTCAAATAATGTGCATTTTTACATTTACCTTTAAATAATTTGCCATATTATGAAAAAATACGTGAATTTTTCAATTTCGATCATCTTAACAGCCATTGATTTTTTGTTTCTGGGCGCAATTAGAGCCCTTTATTTTCTTGAGGTGGATAGAAGATTTTCTGACCTTCAAAACGATACCAAAACCTTTTTTGTGTGACGAATAGAAAACGCGTGAGGACGGTTTTGGTCGCGCGCTCGGGTAGAGGTTCGCCACTTATGCGCCGTGCAACCTCGCGTCGGCCCACGTTCATACGCTACAGAACTGGAATATTCGCTGTTTTTTGATCATTCATCGCAAAATTTTCATGAAAATTGTTAATTTTGGAAAATCCTTTCATACCCTCTTGAGACGAAGTGAATACCTATAATGAAAAAATAAATACTCTGGTTAACATGATAAATATGAAAAAATGTATAACGAACTGATTCCTTAAGTTTTTATGAGATGGAGATGGATGAAACCGCAACAAATTTGATTCATTACACTTTTAAACGACGATATATTGCCGATAATCAGCATTCTCATGGAATTTTAGGAACGATTTCTACAATTTTCTCGCTTAGAGGTGAACTCTACTATTTAATTAAAATTGATCGCAAAATGATCAGCGGGCTTAGAATCCTTCCCTACAACCAAGTGCATAGTGCACGCGGAAAACTTTTCCGATGCAACAGCGGCGTTTTTCCCTCTTTCGTCCTCAAAGGCACTTCCAGATGCCTGTTTTCAAACCCTGGAAAAATATACCTGCATGTCGCCTCTATTTTTGGCGGTAAATAGAGGTTTTCTTAGCAGGCGCAGGGGCGGATATCGGTTTTCTTAAATTACGCTGGTAGATATGATATGAATGATAAACCGCAACAAACTTGATTCATTATGTAATTTATCTCGATTTTAAATGGGGATAAAACGGCGATTATCGGCATTCTCGTGGAATATTAGCTATGGTTTAGGTATACAAATTTCTTGCTTAGATCAGTAGAGCTGGTCACAGAAACGTGTTCTGATGCTTGAATCTTGTAAAGCAGCTAAAAATAGTAGGATCTGTTCCAACAGCAACTCTGAAAGTTCAATGTTAACCGAGATATCGTGCTTTGAAAAATTCGATTCATGCCGTTACCCGCCGAGGAAGTGAAACCCTCCAATTTGCTTTTATCCGAGTTTCACGCATGTTTCAATTTTGTTTCACGTTGAGTAACCAGTGAAATTGTGTGTCAGCCTGAAAAATGAGAGCAAGGTGGAAGAAACCAAGGGTGTCACTATAGTAGTGACACCCAAGCGGTATCCAAAGCGGTTCCGCTTTGGATGACGTCATCAACCGGATTTTTCAAAGTTGGATATCTTGGTTAATATTGAACGAAGAAAGCTTTTGTTCGTACAAATCGTTTTGTATTTAGCTGATCCACAAGGATCAAATGTCAAAACACGATTCTGTAACCATCGCAACTGACTCATTGAAATTGATCGCTAAAAGGTCAATGTGTTTAGAATCCTTCCCAACAACGAATCTGGGAACTCCAAAAAGTTCACGTAGTAGAGTTTCTTCGGACTTTCAATTTTTAGGAAACTCTCCATATCCGAGCATCATATCAGCCACGATAACCCCCGCCCCCCGTCTTTGACAATGTGCCAGATAACCGCCCTGCATGACATTTAAGGAACACTAAGGGGGCATCGACGATGTCTTCCGCGTTAGTAGGATTTTTTTAAAATTGGATCAATTTATAATAACTTTTGTTAAACTATTACTACAATGACTAATACGAGCCAGCTCGTGACCAGCTCTACTGATCTAAGCAAGAAATTTGTATACCTAAACCATAGCTAATATTCCACGAGAATGCCGATAATCGCCGTTTTATCCCCATTTAAAATCGAGATAAATTACATAATGAATCAAGTTTGTTGCGGTTTATCATTCATATCATATCTACCAGCGTAATTTAAGAAAACCGATATCCGCCCCTGCGCCTGCTAAGAAAACCTCTATTTACCGCCAAAAATAGAGGCGACATGCAGGTATATTTTTCCAGGGTTTGAAAACAGGCATCTGGAAGTGCCTTTGAGGACGAAAGAGGGAAAAACGCCGCTGTTGCATCGGAAAAGTTTTCCGCGTGCACTATGCACTTGGTTGTAGGGAAGGATTCTAAGCCCGCTGATCATTTTGCGATCAATTTTAATTAAATAGTAGAGTTCACCTCTAAGCGAGAAAATTGTAGAAATCGTTCCTAAAATTCCATGAGAATGCTGATTATCGGCAATATATCGTCGTTTAAAAGTGTAATGAATCAAATTTGTTGCGGTTTCATCCATCTCCATCTCATAAAAACTTAAGGAATCAGTTCGTTATACATTTTTTCATATTTATCATGTTAACCAGAGTATTTATTTTTTCATTATAGGTATTCACTTCGTCTCAAGAGGGTATGAAAGGATTTTCCAAAATTAACAATTTTCATGAAAATTTTGCGATGAATGATCAAAAAACAGCGAATATTCCAGTTCTGTAGCGTATGAACGTGGGCCGACGCGAGGTTGCACGGCGCATAAGTGGCGAACCTCTACCCGAGCGCGCGACCAAAACCGTCCTCACGCGTTTTCTATTCGTCACACAAAAAAGGTTTTGGTATCGTTTTGAAGGTCAGAAAATCTTCTATCCACCTCAAGAAAATAAAGGGCTCTAATTGCGCCCAGAAACAAAAAATCAATGGCTGTTAAGATGATCGAAATTGAAAAATTCACGTATTTTTTCATAATATGGCAAATTATTTAAAGGTAAATGTAAAAATGCACATTATTTGAACAGGTCTTTATAGTAGCTTTCAAACGAGACCAAAAGTTTGAAAATCGAACGAACGGTTGGAGAGATACAGCGCCTTTTACACGTGTGAAGCGCGCCCGTGGCCATGAACGCGGGGTGGAAATCGCCCGCCGCGGCCGATCGCGCGATACTTAAATGGCTCTCGCGGGCTAACTACTCGTAGCACAAAAATGGTTTTGGTATCAAATTAAACGCGAGATCAAGACCCATCTCTTTTACTGAAGAGAAAATATCAATTTTCCTGCTCAGTTAGAAGTTATTTTGCTTTGAAATTTTAGGAATTTTCAAGGAAAAAATTTTTTGTAACATTTTGGACAAATTGTTGGCCAAATTGACTTTGTTATAATTGATTCATATTCTAGGCCCTTTTAACTCTCCTTTAAAAAAAAGAAAATCAAAATCGGACAATTAGCAACAGAGATATAGCACTTCAAAAAAGCGCTTGGCCGCCATCTTTAACGGCCGCCATCTTGGATCCTGCACGGATTTGAAAGTGGTTCTACGGACAAAAACTTTTATTTTTTCATCTAGTATGACCTCCCGAAGTGGCAATTTCCAATCAAAAAATCGTCGATTTTGATCGTACCCACCGTACTATTACTTCAATTCAACTTTCGGATTTTGCACGAAATGAAGCCATACTGCACCCACTTATGCCTTGAATTAGAAACTGCAACCACCATTGTAGCAAACCATCAAATGATCACTCAAGATGTAGGTAAATTAAAGAAGAGAGGCATTTTTACAGAGACAACTTCAAAGACCTAGGTATTGAAGCACCAAGACAATGAATTGATTCTGGTTAAAATGCCTAATATACAGGGTGTCCCAAAAGTCCGTACCCCCCCTCGTAACTTTTGAACGGTTAGAGATAGAAAAACGAAACTTTGGGAATGTTTCTATCTTAAAAGGGACCATCTTCTAGGGTGGTCAAAATTTTTGTCCCCCCCTCAGGGGGGGCGCGGGGGCCCCCAACTTTTTTTTTCAAATGGTAACCCCTATCTTGTGATACATCATTAGAAAGAGCATAAAAAACTAAGACTTTTGGCGCAAACCGCAAATCAATATCTTAATTTTTGACCGAGTTATAATAGGTCAAAGGTCAAATTTGACCTATTTTCAAAAAATCATATCTCCGGTTCAAATTATCGTAAAGACAAAAACAAAACGGGAAACTTTACCAAATTGTAAGCACTTTTAAGTAAAAATCACAGCAATTACTTCAAACTAATTTTATGGGGGGTTTCCGACCCCCAAATACGTCATTTTAAAGGTCACACGATATTCTCGCGAAATGAGCCAATTTGTCCTTACTTTTCCTCAACATTATCATAGTGAGTAAAAAATTAGTTCAACATTGCGTTTTCACGTCCCCAAATTTCGAACAAAGTTTTAAAAAAAATGAAATTTCAATGGTTGAATTGAATCACCTTAAATTTCGTTTTTTGAACTTTGCCCGAAATTTGGGGACTTGAAAACGCAATGTTGAACTAATTTTTTACTCACTATGATAATGTTGAGGAAAAGTAAGGACAAATTGGCTCATTTCGCGAGAATATCGTGTGACCTATAAAATGACGTATTTGGGGGTCGGGAACCCCCCATAAAATTTGTTTGAAGTAATTGCTGTGATTTTTACTTAAAAGTGCTTAAAATTTGGTAAAGTTTCCCGTTTTGTTTTTGTCTTTACGATAATTTGAACCGGAGATATGATTTTTTGAAAATAGGTCAAATTTGACCTTTGACCTATTATAACTCGGTCAAAAATTAAGATATTGATTTGCGGTTTGCGCCAAAAGTCTTAGTTTTTTATGCTCTTTCTAATGATGTATCACAAGATAGGGGTTACCATTTGAAAAAAAAAAGTTGGGGGCCCCCGCGCCCCCCCTGAGGGGGGGACAAAAATTTTGACCCCCCTAGAAGATGGTCCCCTTTAAGATAGAAACATTCCCAAAGTTTCGTTTTTCTATCTCTAACCGTTCAAAAGTTACGAGGGGGGGTACGGACTTTTTGGACACCCTGTATAGTAAAAATGGACGTTTTTTATCATTGTAGTGTTGAAATTTTAATCAGGAAGGTAATTTATTTCAATCTTTTCTTTTATGTTTCAGCCCAAACATTGAAATACTTGGTGCCATGATGAGACATGCGTGTATTCAATATAGTTTTGGATACATTGTTTATCTAATGAAGTATGTTAAGGAAGAGGAAATTGAAGTGAATGAATTGTTCTTAAAACACTTGCAAACCTTACATAACAATGCTGTTAAAGCTTTTAAAATTTTGGTATGTATTCATTTTCTCTAAATTTAACTGCTGTAGGTACTATGCAAAAATATCATAAATCCACAGCTGCATGAATCGAGAAAATGACAAAGCGTTTAGGTTTTTTCTTCCTTCTTTTCACAATTAGTAAATTTTTAAGGTCATTTTGCTTTTTAATACACTTGTGAGTGTAATCAAACCAGATTTTGTGCTAAAAGCCATCATTATTTCAATAATGATGCATGAAGAGGATTACTTCGAATCAGCAGAGTTTTCGGTTTGTTGACCTATACTGATGGACTCTTCAGTCCAGATTTTCCTTTTAAAACATCATCTTTATGGAATTCAGCATTTTGCTTGAACAGGGAACTTTCTCAATTGTTAAATCTTTCTCTTCCAAGAACACACAGTCTTATGCGCATGCTTTTGATTTGTATGATTATCTGTTTCAGCACAAGAGTAAGAAAACAAAGGAGAATGCTAACATTCCTGACTTCTTCCGCAGCCAAACTTTCCAAGAGAGCTTTACAATGTTCCAAAAATTTTATACTTATTGGCTCAAAACTATAAAAAAGGATCCTCAAGTGCATCCATGGGCAGAAGTAAAACAAAAACGGAAAACTGCTCATAATTAAGGTGAAATATTGTTTGAAAAATTGTTAGCTGTACAGTAGATTTCCCCCAGAATATGTTTAAGTTTAAATTTCCACAAATATATCCATTTTTTACAAGGCTGATTGCTGCTAATTCTACCTTAGTACCACTCCAGGAATGATTTTATTTAATCAGTCTGCAGCGTACTCTTTTTAATAATGGTTTTTAACAAAAACCAAGGAAGTTTTGAATGAAGTAAATAATAAAAAAGATTTAACATTAAATACAACTCAACAAATCCTCGGAAATATATGTCAACTTCTAAACCCTTCAGAAGTTTTTTCATGTACACAGAACCAGCAAAAAGCAAGTGTGAAAATATTCAAAGTCAAAGAAGTCCCTGGAGGCTCCTTAAATAAACTTTGGCTCGAGGACATTTTTGTTTATTTGATGGTTTCAAAAGAATTGGAGAAAAATAAAGAGTGCATTTTTTTTGTGAAAATAAAAGACTTTATTATGTAGTTCCTCTCCAAAATGATACTTAAGTAAGAGTGAAAACCTTGACACATATTTAAGGCAATCTAAAGTTCGGAGTTTGAAGCAAGTGAAACCCTCAGATATTCGAGCTTTTTTTCAGAACTGCAAAAATCAAACTTCAAAAAGTATCAGAGACAGTATAATGTATCAGAGAAATTCAGAAACCAACAAGATAAATGGGGTAGTTGCATGCAGCAAGGATTTCACTTTTAAAACATGCTCTAACGAAACTTGTTAGAACAAAGCCAATGGCAGCATTCATAAAGCTCAAAATTCAGTCAAAGGCCCCCAAATAGCTCAGTTAAGTTTTGTCTAATTGCAGTGAAAAATAATTTTCACCTCTGAAAGGTCTAATTCATCTTAAACGTTGCCAATGCTGAAACTTGCCAAGTAACCGTACAAGCATAGACAGGCTTGCTTTACTCACTTTTACACACAAAAAAAATTAAAGGAGAGCCTTTGATAGCGTCATAAAGTTATAACATGATGCAACTCGGCATCTACACATGTGACGTTGGCAGTGTCACCCAAGTTGGATGATTTTGAGATGCACATTGAGACCCCATTACAGATTACCTTTGAACTTTCGAGGTTGATTCCCCTGGCTCCTACGACCATGAAAATTTAAGAAAACCCCCTTATGTTGCATACTCCTAAATATCGGAAAATGAATTAAACAACATTCACGCAACAACCCCATTGTGGCACAATGACAGACTTTTAAAAATTAAAATTGCAGGACTTCCCAATTACAAAATAGCTTGACTTACTTGTTTAACTTGGTACAACAAAACGAGCATGATACAAAGAAGATTTTTTATTTAAAAAGTGTCCAGCCTAGAATTAAGCGATTTTTTCCCCCTCTTACTTCTTGATTAAATACGCAGTTTATAAACTCTCAAACAGGGAAAGTTCTTTTTTTCAAAAAATGCTCAGACTTACAAAAATGCAGAAGCAAGGGTCAAAGGGGCTTCACTGTATTTCAATGTTGCAAAGTTGCATCGAAATTAATGCATTTGCTCTTGAACCATTGCAAATTTGCTTTAAATTTTTTGGCAAATTATCTTTGGAATCTGACAAAAAATTTTCTTATAAAATATACATCTATTAATGAATAAAAAATGAGCAGTCAAGTGAAACTTTGAAACATTGCAATACATATTAGGATCGTTCATAAATTATGTAACGCCCTAGGGAGGAGGGGGCAAGGAGAGCGTTACGCCATTCAACCAATTTTTTTTACATGGTAAAGGATAGGGGACTACGTCACAAAAACGCTGCAAGAGGGGGGCTGTTCAAACATGCAGAAAAAGAGTTAAATAATTTTTGACCGTTTCCTTGAACCCCTTTGACTCTTTTTCTACCAAATGTTGTCTTTAGGATAGAATAAATGAAGCTAAGATTGATTTGATTTTCCATTGCTCACATTTTAAACCATTTGGCACATGTTACACTGGGCATATGAAATTCAGACATACTATTTCACTCTTATAGCTATTAACTGTTTCAAGCTTGCTCAGTATTTCAACAGAACATATATTATGTTGGTTTGAACCATTTAGGCACTGTGTTACTTAGCTTTGCATTTGGTGCTTTATTATATTGGAATGGATTATTTTTAGAGCTAGAGATGTTGCTATTTCCATTGCTAGGTCCCGGGAGACACTCCATTTCATAGTCACTTTGATTAGATGAGCCCTCTTCCTTGATCGCTATAGTGTCGTTTCTTGACTTTCTGAAATAAAACATTTCCCTCAATGGTAAAAATAATGTATAAAGTTCTGAACATATTAAAATACGCTTTAATACCTCTAAATTATTTGCTTCGTTACATTTTTGTTGTTAGAATGACAACAGACAATCTTAAGAATACACTGCCATGTAATGGAAAACCCCAATCAAGATTAAATAATCTTTTTTCGTTGGACACAAATTTTAAAAATTCTAGGCATAACTTCTTGAATAGCAGATACAAGAAAGATGATGTTAGTTAGTTTGGAAGATAAAATTGGGGCATAAAGGCTGACATTTTTTGCGGGAAGATTACTATATACACGGCTTTGCTAGATTATTAAAACGACAATGTGTGAAATGATTTGTCTAGTACTCCTTTCCGGATGACAAAGATCCTTGAGGGGTTTTTTAAAGCATGTCACAATAGATCTACTGTGCGCCATGGATACAGCCAAGTTAATAGACTTTCTCCATGTAAAATCACAGGAGATGAAAGTTAATCCCCTTGGCTGCATCTATTGCATGCAACAGACTCATTCAGGGGTACTATTGCAGGATTTAAATATTCTTAATTTTCTAAGAAAAGTGTTATAAAATCATTGAATAATGAATGCTTCCATTAACCAACCAAGGAGTGAGTTCAACTCAATTTAAAATAAGTTCATTTTGGAGGACAAAAATTCACTCTTTGGCCCATAAATCGATTTATTCATGAAATTCTTCTGTGATGAGAAGGTGGTATTGACTACAAATTTTTGGGGACAAAGCATGATGACTTCTTAAATATCACTAAAAATTATGGTAGGATCAGTCATTATACATCTACATACCTAGATTTACGAGCAAAATAAGCTGCTACATCAGGCTCAACAGCCTTTGAAATGTATTTTTCTTGAATAGAAGGACTCGATTGGTTTGAGGACCCCAAATAGATAACAGCAGCAGGAACGCAGTCTGCTTCGATTAGAGTTTCTGAGGGGTTGAGAATAGTTTTTGGAGGTGCCGTATCTGAGAAATAACAGTGAAGATGATTTTTATCTTGGATTTGGAATGTTATTTGAAAATTACACCTTTCACTCTTGACATTAAAGAATAGAGAAAAATAGGCTTTGTCAATGCAGAGAAGTACTGAAAAAGGATTTTCTGATATTTGGTCGGATTTAGATAGCAATATGACCTACTTCCAGGACTATTTAAACGTACTGAATTATGACAGAATTATTCATTGCCGGGGGAAAAAAATTAATAGAAATAAATAGCCTCTAAGGAGTGAAGTACTAGGTGATTCATGAATTCTGACTGCTCTGTTCTTGCAATGTTAAGCTTGGGAGATTTGTACTCTGGAATAGTTTCCATGATCTGCAAATCATAAACAACTGCCTTGATGGGCGAAGGTGTTAAAATTAAACCTCAAAGCACACAATCATTACGAAAATGCAGTGAAACTTCGAACCTTTTCTGTCGGTCTTTGACGATTTAATCTGATTGCAAAACAAAAGGACCTCCTCACCTTTGCACCTGAGGGAGCGAAAATTGTATTTAAAAGATTCCCATTTCCTTAACGTTTCTTTCTTTAGTTTTTTTTTCTTTTCTCATCTAGAGAAACTGATCTAATAGTCTTGATTAACAAAAAAGTCCTGAGATGATCAAAATGATAAAATGCAAGAGAGATGTAGCCGAACGAGCTGATTGACTAATTTCTAATAATGATGAAAAACTTACTATGAATGAAGAACAATGTCAAAATATTGAACAAATAATAGTGATAACAGGAAAAAATGAAATCCATTAATTGTCAAATTAGCCACCTACATTAGAAAAAGCATGAAAATAGCAAAGACGACTAAATTTGGATGAATGAAGTTAAAAACGGAACTTACAGAGGTAGAATTCAGATTCAGGGTTCTGGATGAACTGCTTAACGAAACTCAAAACATGTTGTACGGTTTCTCGGGGCCTGAAAACACCCTGGAGAACAAATCCATCAGGAAACTGTATTCTGACAACAGTTTGCTGGTATTTGTTCAGATGAGCCAGCATACGCCGAGAATCAGAGAGATCTTTCATTGCTTTGGTTGAAAGAACAGCATTTTCCAACTCTTCTCTGCGACACAAGATGAAAAAGGGAGGAGTTAATTGAACAATTGAGGGGTATTTTCAAGGCAGTGGACATGAATTTCTAGCCAAGATCAGCTAGATTTTCCAGAGGAAATCGCTTTCAGAATTATCCTTGATATATTGGATGCAGCAAGGATGCCAAAGATCTTAAATTTTGGAATTAGAAAATACTTGAGATCTTGGATTGTTCACGGCACTAAGCCTGAACAACTTGAACGGTCTGGTTACATGCAGAAAATGGCAGATAAAACGTGCAAAACCGTCGTTTTTGGGTGTGTAAGGGGGATGCACAGTGCACACCCTCTAAAAATAATCCGATCGTGCCAAATTTTGCACACCTCTTCTTTAGTAATTTGTCTTTTAGATTTTCTACAGGGAGTCGATGTTCAAAACACACGGAGTGTGTTAAAATTGCCTGAAAGTGAAAGTACAACAAATCGCGACCTAACCCTCCAATAATTGACGGATGGATCCGAAATTTTTCTCAGCTCTATTCTTGTCACAGTAGCTCTAGAGTTTTTACTGGGAACCAAAATCCGAGACAAAACATTTTTTTTGTAACACCCTACTGGTAGGTAGATCCGCAATGAAAGGAAGTTTTCTCAGTAAATCGACCATCTCACAAACCAGGGGTCAAAAAATGAAAATCTACAGTTCAATAGAAATTTGAAATCTTGGAGAATGACATGATCATGTAATACTTACGTTTTTGTTGCCGTTTTTCCCCCCTAAAATTAGGAAAACTTAATTTTTTGAAAAAACTACGTTTGTGAACATAAAAATTAATTTTATTTTCGAAGAGCCCAACAGATTTGTTTCGTTTTGGGCTTAAAAGACAGTACTGGTACCCTACTTCAAGCTCCCCAAGACAGTTTTCAGTGTCATTGATTTTTTATTTAAATTGGGCTCAGACAAACCATGCAAGAAGATGCAGATATATTTGCTTTGAATTTTTATGGGTAATACAAAACATTTCCAGTATTCAAGGGTGCGTGTGGGTGTACGTTATATTTGCACGCTATGTGCCATACACCCACCTGGTACGGACTGAGATTGATACAATTGTATTTTGCCTGGAAATGGTGAGTTTTAGGGGTATTTGTTGCCTGCCATTCCAGTCCTTTCCACCGGTTTTGAAGGGTTTTGCACTTTCTACAGCGGTTGTTTTGATTGAAAGTGGTTGCTCACATTGCTAGGCGCCTGACCAGTGAGGCCAGTGGGCGTCAAGGTTGTGAAAATTCTTATTGCGCCTGACCGGCATAGTCCCAGCAGGAGAATGCACCATAAAACTTTTGATTTCTGTTGGGGGGGGGGGGAGAACGCCAAGGCATCAAGGGAGGTAACACAACATGTTAATTGAACCTTTGCAGGTATCTAAGTTCAAACTGCGCAATTGGTTCCAATTCCTTTGATATTCATAATGCTTTTTCATAGAAGCTATTTTGATGAACTATATGCAACCACTTCTCAAGTTTTGGAGATATCGATAGGAGTTTTCCTGAAGGAACTTATAAAAAACAATTATAATGTTGTATACCTCGCTCGTTTGTAGTCTCGCATCAATGATCTGGCATCATCTAAAGTCAAATCAAAGAATCCATCTGGTAACGAATCATCTTTAATCCTTGAACTCCTGAGGTCTGATAAATTATAAAGGAGAGCCTCCCGTTCGCCTAACTGTTCATATAAAAGTTTATAGATTAAAATAAAACCTAAAAAACTAATTACAAAAAAAAAAAAAATAAAAAAATAACACATGCAAAATATGAGCCAATTATGATTTATTCAACTCAGTGTCTATGAACATCAGTGTAAAAAATGTCAATTGTGAGGGCTAAAATTTTTAGATTAATATAGCCAGCAAGTAAGTTAACAAGATGAAAAGAAATTTTTTGGATCCGACCACTCATTGCATAAACGGCCAGCAATAAGCTGAATACACGTGTAAATATTGCAGTTTTAAAATAGAGATTAACACATGGATTGCATTTTGCAAAAAGGAATCAAGAGCATTCCAATGTTGCTAGGATTGTGCAACATACATTCTTTGCAAAAAAATTACTGAAATGATGAAAAAAATCATATTTACAAGGATAATTTTACTTTTGAATTCATGGTGAACTGAGAGAAAAGATAAAATTTGTGAAGATGATCAGTTTAGATTTGCAGGGTAAAGAAAGTTGCACAATCTTAGCGACATTGGAATGCTCCTGGTTCCTTTTTGCAAAATGCAATCCACATATTGATCTAAATCTGTCGTTGTTTTGTGCCCATAAAAATTGCTTGATAGAGACCGATAAAAATGTGTCCATAAAACTTAGGATTAAAGATATTACAGAGGAACTTACAAATTCAATATTAGACACATCAATTTCAGGTTCTGGTTCAGGTTCTGGTTTTGGTTCAACTAATTCTTGACATTTGCTTAGTTTCTTTTCACTCGGCGCTGAGTCACTTTCATTCCAATCCATACTATCTGACCCATTTGGAATCTCTGCACCAGACACTCGCTTTAATGAAAGTCGACTTTCAGCATCTATCTGATTCCAATTATCATCTGACATTTCTGAATTCCTAGGAGCCTGAGAGATAGTGTCCATGTTTTCTTCACCCTTTACAGAAGTCTGTGCTGCTTCACTCAGGCCTGAGGTACTCTCGTCAAATATCTTTGATTCATGAGCGCTCTTTGAGTCTGATACTGACAAAGGAGATTGAGAGATAGGTGTCTCCTGGATTTCAACTTTCACCGGTTTCAACGGATTTGACACATGAAGTTGCTGGCTTAATTGTTCCTTTGATCGATTTAAAAATCTGTAAGAGCAAAGAGAAAATTTTAAATAGAGGTTGTTATGAAAACTGACTTATCATCTAATCTAAGAATTTTTAAGAGTAATGGCCGCAGCTGTACAGAGAATAATGTGGACCCAGCACTATTCTATATACCTTCTTTTTGCAGACCGCACTTCCAGTGTTTTTCTCCTTCTCTGTGCCTACATACAGTTGAAAATATGTTCTTTTCCTGTGCAAAAGCAGGTGATTGCATCTCCAGAGATGTAGAAAGTTCCAAACTTTTCCTCAAATTCAGTCGGCTTTCCCTCATTTTTTATCAAAATTCATGATTGCTTCCTCCTGAAAGCTTTTAAAAATAAACCTTTGACCCAAAAAATTAGAAATTTTTACCTCTAAAACATCTTATTATGTAATGTGAGTCTGTGCAGTGGAAAAAACAGAATCATAGTGTATGGATAATGAAATGGATAAAGCTGGTTTTGCTTTCCCTGTCTTCGAATTTGATATACTTAAGATTTCGACATAAATTAATAAATGTTCATGTTCCACAAGCTAAAATTCCTAGGATTTAGGGTGAGAACAAAGAGCTCTTCAACAATGATAGAATATTATTTACCTGAGCAGAGCTCTTCCACTTGTGAGACCTAAATCTTTGAGAGTTGTCTTGTTCAATTCTTCAAGTCCAGTGATCTCTTTCCGCATGTAAATGATGGCTGGATTTTCAACCGCACCGGTTTCAGATGGGCATAAATTGCTGATTACATCTTTCAAACTACCTAAAATCAGGATGAGCAGCTTTAATAGTGCAGCAAAAGGAAAATCTGGATCACACTGATGAGCGGTAAAATCAAAGAGACTAAAAAATTAAACAAACTTTGAAAAATTGTCGAATAAATAAAAAATTGAATCAATGTCACCTGGCAATTATCTGTCTACATGAGGCTTCCCGAGAAAGATGCAGCATACTTACCTTAACTGGACTACTTTTTGCAATTAGAAACTATCATTTCCAGCTCACTTTAGAAATAACGCAATTGCCATTAGTTTCCTTATGCAGATGAGGGCTTTTACTAAGGTGTCAGATATGATCACCTCAGCTGATAAGGAAGGCTTAGTCCGTGAAATTGTAATATTGTTGCTACTTGTGGTGCGAAAGATTGCAATAAAGTTGTGTGAGGAGATAACTGGCTGAATTTTTTTTTCCTAGCTCACACGTCAGTCAACTTTGGTCATACTACTTTTAGGAAAGATACAGAGTTGTTGAATAGGATATTTAAAACTAAATGAATTAGGATACTAAACTACTGAACATTAACTACTGAAAAACACAATAGAGAAAAGTCAGCTGAAAACAGCTGCAGATGGAGCAATGAGCTCTGAAACTTGTTACAGTTAAGAACCAAGAGCAAATGAGTGGGAAAAATTTTCATAATTATGCTCAATAAAACTTTAATGAAAGATGAAACAAATCATTTTAAAAAACTTACATTTGGGCAAAAAGTCTCCATTCAGTCTTGTTCCATCTTCTAATTGTAACATTATGTTTACGGGTGACTCTTGCCGTTTCTTCTTGGCTTCAACCATTTCCAACTGAGCATTATTTGGTAGTTGAGAAAATCGTACTACTGAACTTGGGTCTAGAATCCTGCTATGGTGTCTGGGACATACAGAAAAAGTAATCTGATTATTTATCCCTTAACTTCAATTTCAAGGGGAAAATATGCCTGTAACAAGGAATGAAATACTTCAACTCAGCATCTTGCTGTGGACAGATGTTAATTAAAGTGAGTGCATTATTCAATAAGGAGCATTTTTTTATGGATGAAACTTTGAGGCTCATCTTCTTCTTTACATAACATTGACATGTCTCAATTCTGCCTGGTGATCATCAGATAATTTTCTTCTTATTTTTTTTCTTTCTTTTGAAATGACTTACAGAAGTATGAGAACACAACTTTTTGGCCTACGGTTAGAATAGAAGCACAGGTGATCTTGGGGCTTGAGACATACTAGCTTCCTGTGCACTGGTCAACTGTTGAAAATCAAAGCTTAGAAAAAATCGGACTTATTGAAAAGCTTAGGCTAAATCTCACTAAAATCATAGCTCTAACTGTAAAAAAATTTATAACATTTGAGCTAAAGCAATATAACAACAATGTCCAGGTTAAAATCTTAAAATGGACTATCTCAATCACCATCAACCGAAAACTAATGGTCTCCTCTAAATTTTAAGACCAAGATCATTTCTTTACAATGAATTGTTAACAAGAGATTGATAGCCAAAGTGCAAAACAAAGTGTGTCTCTTTGTAGCTGCAGATTTCCTGTCATACTTTATTTTTCCTTTGAGAAACCAGTCAACGTAATTTTTTAAAAACCTTGAATTTCCTCCTCTGTTGGCAGAGCATCTTGTGCGATATTCAAGCTGTAAAAATGACTTTGTTTTCCTTCAAAAAAATAAGATAGGAGAGATAATTTTGGGACAAAACAATGGAAATACGCACTTTGGGCATACTGTATTTGCACAGCATACTATGGTGACTGAATTAACTTTAAAATACTTGTGAGATCTCTGTCAGTTTAGACTTATATACAAGGTTTTATAACTTTGAGTAACGGACCTCACAATCTAGAATTGCAGTAAACACCAATTTAGACTTGGAACACAACTTACCGCAAGTCAAATTCTGATGCATCAAGCTTCTGTTTGACACAAACTTCTTCTAAAACCTTAAATCAAAAAGGCATTCATATTACCATAATGGAAAAAGGAAAAAGGCATAATGGAAAAAGTTTAAAAAATATAGACACCATGTGATAGAGGTACTTTGTAATAAACAATACCACCTAAGGAAATTTCAATAAGTCTCAAAGAGTAGATTAAAAATGTCTTCTTCAATATTTTCAGCGTATAGCAAATGGCCAGCACATCATCCAGTCTATCTTTCTTCTGAGATTCCACTTGATAGAGAGAAATTCAAAAAATCTTCTCAAAGCATGGAGATCTTTAATGTTGCCAAGCCATATTCACTGCAAGTGACACTTCTGTAGTTTTACTTCTCGAGAAAATTTTGTGGAAAAGGACAATGAAGCGTAGATGAGAAATTAGTGTCAAATTGGCTTACTAACTCTCTCGATGTTAAAGAGGATCCTCTATTTAAGTTCCTGCTTACGGTTTCAGACAGTGATAAATAATTCAACAACGCATTTGTACAGAGGGGTGCTGATAGTTTAGCGAAGCAAAAATTAGTTGCCATCTCAAACTCAATAAAAACCGTCCAACACACAGGGTGAGCAAAATTTTAAAAATAAGCGTGAATCTCTGTTTTTCCTCAGTTTCTGCTAAAAAGAAAAAAGCCTTTTTACCAAAAAATTTCCACACTTGCTCATGGAATCTCCCTTGATACTTGGGGCCGCTGCTCTTGTAATCAAGCATTATCTGCAGCCCTGCTTTAGAAGTAAGCCGACTGATAGAGCATCTACTCTACTTTAACACCTTTTTATACTTCTTTCTCTCCCACTGAAACAAGCTTAAAGTCAATAGCTGAGAACATGGTTGAAGTTAGGTATCAAAATAAAACTTCTTGACCCTAATCGGCTGGAAAAAGGTGTTCTACAACTTATGCCGAGCATTTATATCCCTTGATCATTAAAGAGGGATGAAAAAAATTTGGAAGGTGAATTGATGAAACAAAATACTGCGATAATGTAAGTAACATTCTCTGTCACAAGGGATTGTAAATAACTTTTCTTAGACAGACCGCAAGGCAATGGCATCAATGTACTTTTGCATATCAGTCCCAACACTGTTAATCCTCATCCAATAGATCAAGATTACTGACAGGACCACTCTTTTAAGGTGGCTGTAGATGGAGATTATGGTCCTAATAATTTTGTGGTCACTGCTATCCATCAGAGACACAAACGAAAAATATGGCTTTGCATTGATCACGCCACTGGTAAGATGGAGAAATAATAAGTTTGTGACTGATCCATAACTGAGTCCTTACCTGTAAAATTGTCGTATTGGGAGTTACTTTGACAGTTTGCCTTCTCCCAGTTGGGGTCAGGACAGAAAGTGTTATACTCATATTTATGATAACTAGTGCCACACAAGGAAGCACTCTGCGAGCAAGTAAATTCCGCTCAATTAAAAACTGACAGTGGATCTTGAAGTAAAGTGCTTAAAGTGTATCGATGATTAACTGCACAGTCAATTTTGAGACACTGAAAAGAACAAGAAAAAATAAATACTGTAAACAGTTTCACTATTTCAAAAGAATTAAGTGAGGAAAGTCCAAGTAAAATGACATGCACAAGTGCAAGCTCATATGCACAGTTTACGAGATTCTGGAGAACAACAAAGAATTTTAGGTTATGTTTACATATTTGATCAGCTGTTGATGACGCTCGGCGTATGACGTAGAAGGGGGAGGGGGGAGCATGTAAAGTGTAGTCTACACGTCTACATGGTATTTAATAATAAATCTTCTTCATATTACATCAATGCTTAAATGACCAATCTAGCGGGTCTAATTGAATTGAAAAACTGACCATCAACCTCAGAAACTTTTCTTGCCACGGAAAATTCCAATTGGAAAACGGTTCTTCAAGTATGTGTGAAGGACAACTTCCCTCATTGGTGGATGGGAAAAGGCGGCAAACGGCGCTCCTTTCGAATCGGCGCTGTTAGATTTTGTTGCGCCTCCACAGGCAGGAGGGGGGTTGAGTACCTATATGTATAGCGAGTAAGCGAGAGTATGGACAGATCGCTTCATGGAGGGCTTAGGGCCCAAAAGTGCAGCCATTCTTCTAACTAACTTCTGACACACAAAATTTCACTGCTAGTCAGCAGAGTCTGCAGATTTCAATTTTAACCGAGATGGCCAAGAATGTACATAAAAGAGCATTCTTCCACAAAAATGAGTAAATTTGTGCAAAAACTAAGTCAAATACATGCTTTATACACGACAGTTCCTAATAATTGTAATGGTGAATCGCTCTGGATAATTGAAATTCATAGGTTGGCTGCATTTCTGGGCCCTAACTTTGTTTGCTGAGGCGTCGGTGAAGGCCTGATGAATTTTCGGAGTTTCACATCTGTCTTTACTCTCGAGGGGGGATGTGCCTGCATAATAAAACTGACTAAAAAAATCATGAAAAACGGGGTTTGTTTTTTCAAGTATAAATGAAATTGAGTTCTTGTAATGCATGAAAACAAAAATTTACCGTATGTGCCCCCATCCCTTCTCCAGTTATAACTTCAATGACTTGTACTTCTGCTTATTTTTCCTTGGAAAAAAAACAAATTGAGTAAGTGTAGGAGGTAATTTTTTTCAGACTCTGTTTAAAAATGTAACTCAATCTTTCAATCTAAATTAAACGTTTTCGACCTGGAAATTTCGATTTTTACACTACTTGTTAATTTTTGTGTTAGTATATTATGGCATTTTTCTTTTTGCCATAGTTCTCTTTAAGTATCCTCAAATTTACTTGATATTTATGATTTATTCATTTTTTAAAATGAATAAACATCCATAAACGAGCTGCATTCAGGGGAGATTGATTCCGTTTTCTCTCTTTTGAAGGAAAACTGTATGAGGTGATTCGATGAACACCATATTTTGTGTCACAACAACATGCGATATATTGCATTGATTAGTTCCATTTTTTCAGCCACTCGTCATTTTTCTTAAATTTTAAGTTTGCAATTCTGTTGTCAGGATACTAAAGAATTGATGTACCAATTTTGACAAACAAATTTAACGTAATAAAGGAGTGGTTTTTTTAGAGAAAAAATATCTCATTTGATACTTATATCAAAACTGCACTTGAATGCGATATTTTTCCTCCAAAAAAAACCATGCCTTTATGATGTTAAATTTGTTTCTTCAAATTGGAACATGAGTTATTTGGTATCCTGACAACAGAATTGCAATCTCGAAATTTGAGAAAAATGACGAGTGGCTGAGAAAATGGAACCAATCAATGCAATATATCACATCTCGCTTTGACGCAAAATATAGTGTCCATCGAATCAACTTAACAATCAATAATGTACTCATAAGTTTTCAAAGGTTAACAACATTCTAAGCTTTGTTGCTTACAAAGTTTGAAATTAAACGAAATGGTGTTTTCCATGAGAGCACCTCTTTACTTTCTATAATAAGCAGGTAGCTACCTAATATTGCTCACAAAAATTATATAAATTAACTGTACCTGGAAAATATCGGCAAACACTTGACAAAAGAAGTCTTCATCAGAGAGGTCATCTTAACATCAAGTAAGCACCCAAAATACCCTGCTGTTTATACGGTCTTCATCTGACTTACAAGTTATATGAATTTTTTTAACAAAAATAAAAACTGAATAAAGTTTCAGGTCTTGCGTCCAAGATTTTTATATGGAACAAATGAGTTCCACTTTAATAAACACTGGCAGTTTCCCCTAGCTGCTAAAAAAGCCTGGATCATGATTTGAAAATCTGGGGGCAGCCAACTTATCTATGTACCTACAAATAATTACTTATCAACAAACAGATACCATCGAAACAGCTTTCGTGACCATAGGAAATTGTGGCTGCAAAGTGAATTGACAAAAGATGTAAAAATGGAAATATTTTATATATTAAAGTTATAAAAATAAAAACAAGACAAAGAAACACATTCAACAATCCTAACATTTAAATATAACAAGACTTAAAAAAGTTTTTAAAAGATAAACTCCAAAACCAACAGGGCAATAAGGAGCTATTAAGTTGATACATTGACAGTGAAACTACCGGACCACATATCTTGTTTGCGGAGTTTAAAAATCTTAAAAAAGAAAAAAAAGTTTTACAAAGATAAACTCCAAAAGCAAAAGGGCCATAAGGAGCAATGCAAAAAAGGCATGAGAAAAATATTGAAATAGATGCCTCTTAGAATTTACAAGCAATAGGTACTTTTTTGTTTGAATTTTGTTTCTTGTAATCACGCCTTCAGCTTAAAGTACTTACTCATCTGTAATATGATGGGTATGATGGCTCAGGTTCATAAAGAAATGAAGGGGTGAGATCTGAAAGGCTTAATTGAATTGCAAAGTTGCAAAGTCCATTTGGGGATTTATTCATTTTCTCGACAACAGATGCAAATTTCTTTGGAAAAGTATTCATATTGTACTACATCTTAAAAAATATTTCAACAGGTTCCTTCACTTCAGCAATATAGATAATTCTCATCACAGTAGGGAAAAGATCTTAAGTTTTAATATTCTCAAGCAATATCTCTTCTTTCAATGATTATTAAGCATTCTGAACTTTGCCTTATTTGAAATATTGTGAAAAAAGAAGTCTCTACCTATAAAAAATAACATATTTCCTTTGGTAAGAAAGAAACAACTTAAAGAGGGACTGAGGCCGCAAATAATAAAAAGAACACAAAAAATAAAATAAAAAGCCCGGAGCGGTTCGCAGGGATCACGCCCTCATTTTCAACCGGCAAAAACAAAGAAAATGAGAAAGAAGGACACTATGAGCCTCACTGCTATTATTGTGAGACTCAGTTTTAAGTTGTTTCTTCGTCAGTGTTTTGGGCCAATTAAGTTGTTGCTTCTATCCTTTGGTAAGGTAATATGGGAACATATTTTAGATTGAATGTAACAGGTACCCTCTAGGAGAAATATCACAAGATGCAACAGTAACATTAAGTAAGGTTAACCTCTGCAATTTTTATCTTGTATTTAGCAGAGCGGATGAGAAGATCTGCTGCAAAATTTTAGGAATATTTGATAGGTCCATGCATATAAACCCTTTGCCAACTGGAAGTGCTTGAAGGAGCCTGCAACACAACAAATGTTTAAAAAAAAATTATCAAACATGATATGATGTCCTATGATTCTTCAACATACATCTACCTCTCACTGAAAACAAAACAGAATAAAATTGATGATTCACTAAGTCCCAATCTCAAAATTCTTCCATCAGGAGCTCCTTAGATGGCTTCAAACCAAAACATTTCAAATTTTCAATCTTAAATTCACTAAACTAGCATGGATCATTTTCTGTTATTTTGCAAAAAATTATGGAATGTTGCGGAGGACGTTGGGGTCTCCCACAAACACAGGAAAAAATAGGAGGTAAGAATAGAAGGACTTACATTTCAGCATTGTTGCCTTGGGACCCAATGAAAATTGCGAAAGCATTGACAGATGGTTCCGATTGCAATGCTTGCGACAACTCTGATGGTGCAATTCTATAGCGCGTCAAATGAGCATCAGAGAAAACGACGACAATAGCTTCATCCCACTTGTCCTTGTCTTTTGCCAGTGACGTAACAGCATTTTTTATAGCTTGTAGAGTGTTATCTCCCGAATAGCAAAATTGAGAGTGAGCATGCATTGTCTGGAAATCAATCAATGAAAGTATTAAAATAATTTTGCCTTCAGTTAATTTTCAAAAATATATGAAAAAAGCTGAGGAAGATGATGATATGAAACATGGATTTGACAAATGTCATTTTTTTAAAAGACTGGGTACAGTATTGGCTGCTGCTTCTATGAGGAAACAGGACTATCTTTTGCAGGCTAATTTTTTACTTTACTCATCAATTGACCTTGATAGATGTGGGCTGCGTATCTATGAGACAGAGATTCCCAGCTATTCAGAATTAATTTCCATAGATCCAGCTATAGATCCACTGATAGATGCGGAACCTAAGGCAGTAGATGCCGTGACATGTATTAAGACTGTGCTTCTGATTGGCCCACTGGTAGTGCCGCGGCAGGATTCGAACTCACCATCGCACGGATCGGGTAAGACTGAATATCGACGCTGCTATTCATTGCGTCACAACAGCTAATTGAACGAAGTTGAGGCAAATGCAATAAATGTTTTCTTTGGAGGTTAGGGTTCCTACGTGCTTCTCCTTCTTCACTCGGTGAATCAGAGTTTCTGATTGCTTAGAACGAATATTTCTCTCTCAAAGCAATCGTTCAACACTGTATTCCAATTCTGCTGATCTATCGCTCATCCATCGGGTAGAATTACAGTATAGAATCACAAATACTTTGATCATAGATGCGCTGTAGATGAGATTTGCAGATCTATGGCTGGCATCTATGAAAGTAGATAATCAGCCTGCTGGTGTGCAATGCAAAAGTAATTCATTTGAGATTATGTTATTCATTGAGAGAAAGGTGTGTTGACATAAGTATTCTATACAGTATCGATACGAGAAAATTTGAAAAAAGAAGAGGGTATGTTTAAGAACTATGAAAATTTACCTTCAATAACTCTAGACGTTCTTTATTATTTTTTGGTGGATTATCTTCTTTAAAGAAAACAATATCATCATCTTCGCCCGAATGACCAACGATATCAACTTTAATGCGATCCTCGTGCCCAGCTAGTGCTTCCAGCACTAAGACAACAGCCTCCATTTGTCTAATCATTCTCCCATCATAACCATTGAATCTAATAAAAAAAAAAAAAAAATTAAATAACATCAAAATCATGAGGTAATTAATTAATTTTGGATGATCATTCTGAAACAAAAAAACTTTTTTTGTAGAGCTAGGCAAGATTGGTTTCTTTCGGTTTGAGTCAAGTTTGAGGGTTTTCTCACTTTTACAGATCAAACATGAGCTTTTTCAGCTTTAAAAATGACGTTTGAGTTTATTCAAGCTGAGCTGAAGAGAATTCCAGTCAAGCTCAAGAAAATTCAAATTCTAAAACAAGTAATTTTGACTTTCAACAGGTGATACTATCTACTTTAAACACTAAGTAATTTGGTTTTTATTCTTTTTTCATCTTCAACTTTTTTTCATTCAAAACGTCTTTGTCAACGGTTTTTTTATTATAATGACATATGTGCAAGTACTCACCGCAAAATCACAAAAAGAGTTCACCACTTTCAGAAAACTTACAAAGTAGAATTCGGCGTTAGTGTAGAAAAAGTTTTTTTTAAGTTCTGTAAAGTTTGCACATTAAGACTTGCCATAGTACAGTTTACAATAATTTGAATCAAATAAATTACATTAATTACAGCAATGGGTTGCTGAAACATTGCAAGACTTGACAAAAGACACAGCGTACATCATAAAAACTTCGGGCAACACTACTTGATATTTCATTATTACTGAGAGATTTTATAGATCATACTAAAAATGGCAGGGACAGTGTTGCCAAAAGTTGTGTCACATATAGGAAGTTATCCGGTTCAATTTAACAAGTTCCCACTTATTATTTGTTCTTTCTACAATCAAAACAGATGAGGCATCGTGAACCTGGAAGAGATGTTGAATTTTCAGTCTCAGCTTCAAGAACACAAAAAACTCACCGGTACATACTAGCAGACACATCAACCACAAGTTTCAGTCTTTTTGGTTTTTGCTGAATGTTAGGAATGTCTGGCTGCGGTTCAGTGCGGCGTCTATAAATGGCTTGCTCCCCGGTGATGCCTTCAATCAGAGAGGAAAGAGGTGGGAGAAAAACGTTCATTTTTAAAAAGTAGCGAGAAGCATGAAAATAGATTATTAATGAATGATACATTTTTAAATGGAGTCAGATCAATTAAATGAAATTTTATTTCATCTTTAAATTATCTTTTTCAAGACCGAGTCTCTTTTTTTAAAGTTTTTATCTTTTAGAAGGGATGAATTTTGAGGATAGGTTCATTAAGAGATTTTAAAATCAAGAAAGAAGGTTGCCAAGTTAAGGACTACACACTTCCATTAATTTTTTTGCACTTTAATTGGTCAGTTTAACATTTACTTTTTGAGGAGGGAGGGGGGGGGTATCATAGGATAGTATTGGGTGAACAGTATAACAGTGATTTTTTCAAATTCTTTTAGATGACTGCAATCCGGACAAAACATTTATAAAAGCATAAAAACATGAGGTTAATCAAAATGTAAGTTGAATTGAGTGCTCACAATCTGGTAGATCAGTATGTATAGGGATAGAAGCGGAATCTGTCTTGGAAGAGTACATGGTGGTACTGCAGTGTATTGTTGATGAAAATTTGATTGCAGTGGCACAAAAATAACAGCAAGGTTAAGAGTCTCAAGCTCAGTTTAAAGCAGGAGTTACCATGATTTTGTCTAAAATCTTAATTCAAGATAGTGTTTCTTTCCACTTTTCAGTAATTTCCAAACGGTGCTTGGGTAAAATTGAAGGTACCACAAAAGCGAAGTGTGAACTATCCTAACTGGTGCTCATGTGGACAAGGCCTTCAGCATGCTAGTAGATTGAGTGGTCTTATTCAAACATGTTATTTCATGTCCCCTGAAGAACAGATTTAATTCTCCATGAAAACTAATTTTTGAAAGGTTTCAACTTCCTCATCACTTTTTGTGTTTTAAAAACAAAATATAGGTTGATTGCAGGCCACTTCCTCAGTACTCAACCGAATGTTATTATTTATTTTGTTCTTACCTTCTATTAATTTTGCATCATCTAATTCGCCTGAAGTCTGATGCCTGGACCACTCCCTTTCTTTTGATTTTGCTTGTAGACTACTTAAAATTATTTTCAATGCTTGAACCTGTAAAATTTGAAAAGAAAAATAATGTAGGTAGATAACATCTGGAATTGGAAAATCTAAAATATCTTTTAATGTATTTTATTGAATGTCTATTTTCTTCGGGCCCTTATGAAGCTTTAATAATTAAGGGAAAAAGAGACAGGCTCTGAATTTCTTACTTGACAGTCCATGCTGATTTTCGAAATTAGACATGACAGACACTGCAATGATGTAAAAAAGCTTCATTAGAAAAAAAAAAGTGATGATAAATAAAAATAAGTTCAAATCAAATTATCAAGTTATGATAAACAAGAGAAGTATAAAACTAGTTACAATCTTACAAATTATAATCTTTTGGGCGGTTTTGAATTTTTTTAATTTCTCAATACTTATACATTTTTTAAAACATTTATTTTTTACCTTCCTGTTACTTCTTTTGTGTTACATTCGAGTGTTGTTGAATTTTCAATTTTTAGATACTTAAGCATTATTCTCTCTCTTTTTAATTTTTTTGACTATCTTTAAGTTACTTTTTTTTAATACCTCCTTAGCAACAGCACTTGAATATTCTTCATACACTTTTGCATCATATTCGCTCATTTGTATTTCCTGCAGCCGCTTCTTGAATGTTTCGCGGTTCATTTTCCTGGCAGCTTCCAAAACATGCTTTGGAACATTTGCTTTTTCTTCATCACTTAACTGCAAAAAAAAATGACCAAAACCAAAAATTAAAACAAAGGAAATTTCTTTAAAAGTCAACGAAAGAGTCAGGCAGCAAAATCAGTAAAATCCATCTGCTTTGAAGTTTCAGTAACTTGCATGGGTGACATTTTCTTCAAATGAAAAAAATTGAAAAATTGCAAAAACACATCATAACATTCTGGGTTTTAGTTCTTAAAAAATATTATTCTTAAAAAAAATTAAATACATAAAAAAATAAAAATAAGTATCTGATCATTGAAAAATTTTCTTTGTGGTTTTATGCACCTCCCTACCCACACAAGGAAGCTCCTTCTTCATCATCATTTTATCAGCTTCCATCCTAGTCATCAAACTGGCTCTGCTAAAATTGAAATTGTAATAAATAGAAAATATGAAAGTATAATGACCACTTCCTATGCAGTATTTAAACCATTGCAATGAAGCAGTTCCTGGTTTACCTGATGGACATCATGACCAGCATCCAGGCGATACGGTCCTCCTTTTCCACCTAAGCCTGCTGTATCTCGGCCACCAGTGCCACCTGCCCAAGTGTTACCACCGACATGAGGATTGCCATCCTTGTCAACTTTCCCATGTTTTGGCCCCGATGTGTCTAGGCCACTATCCCTTTCGATGGTTAATTGCCGCCGAGTTCCAACTAGATGAAAGAGGAAATGGCGAATTAGTGAATAAAATTTCAATGCTGAGAATTATTCAATTGAGCAATGCACATTCCCTGAAAATAAGTATTCTTGGGCCCACTTTTAAATAACAATCAAAGCAAAACTTCAGTCACTCCAATGAGAGAGAATTATCAAAAGGAAAGGATTAAAGCCAGAAAATATAAATCTTAATCCATGCATTCACATAATTTCATTTCTAGCAGTTCTAAGGAAAGCCTTTCATGATTTGGCCAAGTAGAAATTGGCACAGAGATAGCTATACTCTCCTTATACAGATGCATACTTCTGGTGATAAATTATAAAATAATAAAAAAAACAAACCTTTAGTTTTCCTTGTTTTTGTCAAAATGTCCGTTGGAATGCCATTTTCAAAAAATACTTCAGATAGAACTTCGAGAGAATTTTCACTATAACCGTCGAAATCAAAGACATTACCAAGAGCATCAGAGATGTCATCATTAGGAAAGGTCTGAAAAAAATTGATTTGAGAAATTGATCAATGAGCAAAGGATTGCTGCTGTTATTTTTGGCAAAGTTGAATTTACAGAATCTTAAACAGCTCTGAGGAAAGTTCTATATACTCGAAAAAGATGGGAATCTTGAATGGAAGAATAAGGGGATAAATAAACTCTTGTAAAGTTGTAAGTTATGATAAGAAAAATGAAGAATGAAATTTTTCTCCACAATATCTCAAAAGGAAAAAAATAGAAAAAACAGCACTTGGCTTCAATAAACAAATATAAATAAAAAGATGTAAGATCAACTGGTAGATCAGTCACCACTTCGAAAAAAAAAAAACCTTTTCAAACAAAAGGTACTAAAGTCCTTAATTAGTTCTTTTTTTGTTCTTCAGAGCATTTAAAATATACATAGCAGGCTGTCCCAAAACAACTGAGAGTAAGTCTGTGTTTCAGAAACAATAATAGATATTGAAACGCGGTTTGTGGGAGGTTGTAGCTCATATCCTTAGCTATCCAACGAGCCCAAGGTTTGCTATTTTGGTCAAAATTTCGCTGAGTTACAGCAATTTTTTGGAGCCGTGTAAAATATAACCCTACAGGATTTTTGAGTATTTTTTCCTTGTCTGAACTGTTGTTCCGAGATCGCAACTTTGCGGATCACGTTGGCACTGGTCTAAAATGTTTGCATGTCCTTTCATTGTATACCAGAGTTTTCTTCAACTTCCCAGCTCAGGGAAGCCAACATTGTCCAGCGTTAATGACACTTTCTTCCTCCGCCGCAGAAGTTGACGGCCGGCCGCCATGCGGAATCAAAGCCGCCGACTCGCGACCGTCGGAAAAAGTTGCATGCCACCGATAAATGGTGCTCTCCCAAAGTCGATTTTCTCCATAAGCAACTAACACCTCTTTCACGGTATCAGAGACAGTTAAACCTTGGTAAACACAGTAACGGATGACATAGCGTTGCTCTTGTTTCAGCTCCGCGGGCGAACCCATTGCACCAAACGAGAACACGTGTCATTAATGCTAGACAATGTTGGCTTCCCTGAGCTGGGAAGTTGAAGAAAACTCTGGTATACAATGAAAGGACATGTAAACATGTTAGAACTTGCATTTAGACCAGTGCCAACAAGATCCGCAAAGTTGCGATCTCGGAACAACAGTTCAGACACGGAAAAAAATACTCAAAAATCCTGTAGGGTTATATTTTACACGGCTCCAAAAAATTGCTGTAACTCAGCGAAATTTTGACCAAAATAGCAAATCTTGGGCTCGTTCGATAGCTAAAGATATGAGCTACAACCTCTCACAAACCGCGTTTCAATATCTATTATTGTTTCTGAAACACAGACTTACTCTCAGTTGTTTTGGGACAGCCTATGTACATATAAAGGTATTTCCTTACAGATGAAAACTTTAAGAGCGACATGATGATGGCTTACCTTGGAATTGATGTATTTCAGTTACATGCAATGCAGACTACCCTGCATAAGTGCTCTTTTTTAGTAGGAGAATTTATCATTTTAATTTTTTTTTTAATTTCAAGCAATGGAGTTGGTTCGTTTTGCTGAAGGAAATAGTACTTGTAAAACACCACAATAGGGATATACGTGTTTTCTGAATTTATTCATGTAGGGCATCTTATCATATAACAAAAATACTGCATCTGCAAAGCACCTCCTTTGAAATAATTCTTCTGAACAAAAAAAATACATTGCTGATTATGACAAACTTATAAAATTTGAAAATTATTCTCACCTGCAGGTGCTTGGTTATATTAATGGCTTCTCTCGTGGAGTAAGGATACGATACAAGATTCTGATCAGAGAGTTCCCTTAGCTTTCCAAAGACTTTGATCAATTTATCAATCACAGTATCAGAGACATCAGGTCCATAACTTTTTAACAACATTCTTTCTGATTCTGGGTTTGGATTGTCAACTATGTGGCAACTAAGAAGGTCACCAAAGGAGCTGAACAAATCGTTACCCAAGAAAGGAAAACCTGGCCGATTAGCCAACATGATGATTCGGAAATCAGGATGAATTGGAATTATATCAGGCAATTTGTTGACAGCTCGTGGATCTGTATTGGGCACAATACGCCTTCTGTCAGAGAGAATCATTTCACCTGATTCAATCAAGGTTTTTAGGATACATGTTACATGTGTTGGAGCTTTGTCAGCTTCATCTATCACTAACACATGACCAGATTTTACAGCTTGCACAAGTGGAGAATCTTCATAGCGTACAACACCACCAACCAAAGAGGGCTGCACAGTGAGAGACTGAACTGTTGTATCACGATGAAGTTGAATATATTCTCTCGGCCTATTTAAAAGTTCAAGTAAACGGTCTGTCACTTTATTTTTACCAACTCCTTGGTTACCAACAAGAAGGATATGTTCTCCAACTGAAAAATCTTGCATTAGCTTCTCAAGTAAATTCAAATGTTGAGGGACATCATAAAATAGAACTTGTGGGACTTTACTTTTAGCTTCTGTTTTGTACCTAGGAACAGTGGTATCTCCTATTGTGACTGTATCTTCTCGAATTTCCAAAAATTTCGTGGCAAAGCTTTCATTTCTTGGAATTATGTCTAATTTTTTGAGAATGGTGTCCAAGGAATGCTTAGTCAAGGGAGGAAGAAATTTGGCCATGCAAGCATTTTGAATAATATCATACACATCCAGTGAAGTATGTCTGTAGGTAGAACATTTTCTCGCTGTCCGTAAAAGCTGCCTTGTAGAAAGAAAATTAGCTAAAGATGATAATGCAGGATCTTTAGCTGTTCTAAGGTGTTCAGCAGCATACAGCAAGCCTTCAAACGTTTCTGCAGGGACATTGAACAATGACTGCATGATAAAAGTTTCTTCCTCTAGATTGAGTGGCCTCATTTCATGGAATAAAAATAGACTTAGCAATTCAGATGTCAACCACTGTGGAATGTCACCCCCAGGGGACTCTGCAAGGGCCACAATCCTGAAAGCAGGGTGTATTCGGAAAATTTTTGAATCTGTCAGGTAGGATTCACCAAACTTTTCTGCCAGGGCATCGTATCGGTCATGCCGTAAAAGCCTCTCGCCATTGTACAACTGGAGTTCACGGTCATGGACCAACCGGTGGATCAAGCAGAGGGTGGAAGGATGGACTCGATGGATACCATCAAGAACGGCTAGCTTCCCCTCGAGGGCAGCGGTAACTAGTGGTGAATTTTGCCAAACAGTATCACCATTGGGTAAAGTCGTTCTTTGCTGAATTAGATCACGTGAGGTGATGTCACGGTAAAGCACTACTGGTTCGATCTGGTAATTTAATTTGTTGGCTAAGTGCCTTATAATTGCTGATTTACCGCACCCTTTTGGTCCTACGATGCAAAAGTCACTAGTGCTATGAGACAGTAAAATTGAGGCGAATGTGTGGTCTAAGTATGGAGTGAAAATAAAGTTTTGACTCTCCGTAGGTCGGGATGCATTGCTTCCTGAAGGTACATTGAGAGTCACTTCACTTGGTGAGATGGAAACTTTCATACTTTCAAGCAAGTTATCACTTATCGTGAAGTCTAAGACCTTATATGTTTGTTTGCTTTCTGATGGAAGTAAGTCTTTGATTAAATTTTCTACAGTATTTTGCTCTGTTCTTGGCACAAAAATGCTGTAGGGATATAGTTTCTTCACGGCATCTGAGACTGACAAATCTGGATATTTAACCTGCAGAGAAAAAAGGTACAGTGAATTCTAAAGTTCATGATTACAAAATAACAAAGCTTTCGCATTCAGCTTAATTTCAAACAGGTATTTGAGCAGATATCTCAAATTTAAGACATGATACAAGATCTGAATAAAAAAAAAGATGGAGAAAAATGCATGTAATATAAGATGAAAAATTTAAGACTGAGCATCCTGTATCTTCTGGCCATGTAAAAAACAGCTGCATAAATTTAGTGATATTACAATTGAGCAATTTGATCTTTCAGATGGCCGATTTCATCTCAACCAAGTATATCAAGAAATCTTAAAAAATTTGATGATGCATGAAGTTTTTATGATCTTTTTAACAATATTAGAGCCTGAAATTGACAATAATTGACAATCATAAATAAATAGAGAATAAATTGAACGTAAATTATCTAGGTGATTTCAGCGAAGCAATTTTGAGGTTTCAGCAAGTTCTTGCATTTGTTGATGGCAGAAAACATTTTTTAAAAAAACTAAAGATTGAAAGAAGTATTTACCAATTGAGCTGCAACTTTCTCAATATTCTCTAGGGGAAAATCAGGAAGGCCAAGACTCCTTGATTCAACCGAAGACAGGGCAAAAGCAACTGACAATAACTGAGGAAGTCTCGCATCCAACTCCGGATACTTCTCTTGAAGCTCATCTAGCAAATCCTGAAACAGGTAAAATGCAAAGGATAAAAAGAATGAAAAAAATAACATAAAGAAATAAACAACAAAAAATTCGTAGAAGAAGAAGAGGAAAAAAAGAAGAAGAAAATCGATGACAGAATACACCTACATTGAAACACAGAAGGGGGCAAGCCGGCGAAAGAATAATAAACTTCTGTTTTTATTAAATAAATGTAAACATTGATAAGAAGGCGGCTGTCAACTAAAAGCCAACCCCCCCTCCCTGTCTTTCTTTGAATCTATCAACATAAAGTGAATGATTGCTTTAATATGGATCAATAAGATTTACAAAAGGAAGGGGGGGGGGAGGCAAGCGCGCAAATCGGGAAGGGCCTGTATCTGAGATTTTAAGGAGCAATTTCGTTTGATCTTGAGGTATTTTTAGATATTTGGACTCCTTTCAACAGGGCCAGATTTACCTACTTGCCGCCCATGGGCCGCCTGTCTCTTGTCGCCCCTTCTCATTCGTTTTGAAACATTGATACAAACCATCAAGTGAACGTGCCGGAGGAGGAGGGGTGCATAAGACGCGTTTACTCGTGTTGGGTACATTTTTTGTGAAAGCCCTGTCAACATTACCAAAAGTTCACGGAACTTTGCGCAAAAATTAAGTTCCGTAAACCTCTTTCTGTGTGGACGAGGCCTTTCATTTATGAGAAAAGAACGAAAAAATTATGAAAGAATAAACATGAATGTGGTTTAATGATTTTCATTTCCGCAACCGTGCCGCCAACCGCACTGTGTTTGGCGCAATGCGATAAGTATCCCTACAGTCTTGTAGGCGCTATGCGTTTCACGCCGACCGCTGCTGACCCGGCTGACCGCTCTACGTTTGACGCAATGCGTGAAGTATTCATGCAGTCTTGTAGGCACTATGAGTTTCACACCAACCGCTACTGACCGCACTACGTTTAACGCAATGCGTGAAGTATTCATGGAGTCTTGTAGGCGCTGATAAGTTTTTCATGCTGACCGGCGCGCCGAGGGCTTCTCCTTTTCATCTCAAGTCGCGTCATCATTGCTCTCTGCGCCGCGCCGCTCCAGGCCAAATTGCGTGTTTGGTTTCTCTCTCAACTAGACTAATGAAAGGCGCTGTCTCTTGTATCACCGAAAGACGAACAAATTAGAAATTACTATACTTTAATTCTCAGGGAATGAGAGATTTTTTCGCCTTTTCTCGTTTGTAATTTTTTTCCTGAATCAGATTTTTTTCTTGATACCTACATTTGATAAAAATTACAACATTTGCCGCCCCCTAAATTTGCCGCCATGGGTTGCGGCCCAGGTGGCCACCCCCTAAATCCGGCCCTGCCTTTCAAAAACTTTCGCCCCGTCTAATTTTTGGATAAAATGTGTCTAGGGGTGGAGAAGGGGGATTGAGGAGCTGAGCAAAAACGATATAAACGGAAGAAAGGAAGAAAGAAAGAAAGCAAACTTAGAGAGAAAAGAAAAGGGTGAGTGCTATTAAGGGTGAGTGCAGATAATTTTTTTTTTTTAAAAAAAGGTCTTTCACCCTGGTGCGAAGCACTCAAAATACCCTCACTAATAACAATTTTCGAGAGGCATGTTGGGCGCTACTTCCTTTCAAAGGCGCTTTATTAACCAGCAACATGCGATCATTAACAACTTCCGACTTTTCGACTTGATGAGCTTCTAATTGCGAGGAGCGTGGTTGGCAATCAACACCTCTCTAAAAAGGAAGTTTAGAGACTGGTTAAATGACGGATACACATGCTACTGGTGTTTTTCATGCCTTCCTCCTCGTACTTATGCACGCCAAAAAATGCAAGCTCAGGACTGAGAACTGACTGGTGGCGCCAAGACAACATCAAAAATAAAAAAAAGAACTTGGGGAAATTCGATACCTTAGAAACATTAGGAAGTTTGGGACGACCTCGCACCCGACTCTTAGGTACTTGCCCTCATATCCCATGTGTATGTATAATAATAATCTGAGTACAATTAAAAAAAAAAAAATGCGACGTGATTGTGGAAAAACGAAAAAAGTAGCTCATAATGGATGATAAGCGAAAGAAAGAAAAGTCCAGCGAGGAAAAAGTTCAGGATCCGCTAATGTGCTCGGAAGTTAAGAGTTTCAAGGAATTTAACAGTCAAAATTACCCTTAATTTTACAACACTCGAAGAAAAAAGGGAGAAAATTACTTTCTTCGTGTCATAAGTAGGTATACTTTTCCTGATAAGTATCAGACTTTATCAGGGATCAACTTCTGAAAGTTTGTCTGTAAGCATCGTTTTCTATTTTAAATTGAGGTTATGGAATAACCACCTGCCCTTTTAACTAAAAAACATGCTTTTTTTAAAAAAAATTTTACGTGGGGTTTGGATGAATACGTTGCAGAGTTTGCGCAGATGGAAAAATGCGATTGCAATTTTTTGTAGGTAATCGATACGATCCCTGCAATTCTGCATACGATCCTCAGCAACAATTCACGGGCTCCCGAGCCTCTCATATTGCCGTGATCGCTATTGAAGGCGAACTCAACAAAATAGAAGACACGCAGTGAAGAGAATAACAAGTATTCCTCGTTAGGACAGAGCGAAGGTGACAAAACCACTATGCGCGACTGGTCGAATATTTAGATAATGGAATATTCGATATTCGAATTATCGGCACCGAGATAATCGCATCACATTCGAATATTCGCTTCCGAAGTATTCGAAATCGCAAATTCGAATGATCGCATTCGAATTCGAAAACCGTCCATCCCTATCGTCAATCTCGTCATTAATTAAAACTAGTCCACAACTACTCCACACGGAAATGATTGACCGTCTTATTTAAAAGTGTCATTTATCTCTCAAGGTTTATAAAAAATCAGAAATCGAAGCAATAATCGAAAATATTCGAATATTCGCTTCCGAAGTATTCGCAATCGCAAGATTCGAATTCTAAAATAATCGCAATAATCGCATTCGAATTCGATATTCGTTCATCCCTACTAAACTATTCGTGTTCCCCAGCCGCTCATATTACTGTCACGGTTATTGAAGGCAAATGCGACAGAATAAGAGACGCGCAGTGAGGAGAGTGCAGTGTGTTTCTCGCCGACAAAACTACTATGCGCAACTATTCGTGCTCCAAAGCCGCTCAAATGGATGTATTTCTGCCAAACAGAGCTATGAGCATTAAGACATGAGCCCTGATACTCATAAGAAAACGTGCATAACAAAACTCACGTCATAATGCACATAGTTCCGTTCGATAGAAATACGTCCAAATTGCTCCCCTGGTAAAAATTGGCAGTAGAATCTGTGTTCCAAAATACCATAGACCTAAAGCCGGCTGTAAGATTTTCAATAGCTTCTATAGCCGGCTGCACAATTTCTTATAGCCTTTTATGGCCGATGGCGATTGAGCAACAGCCAGGCGATAAAGTGTATGCTACATGTTACTAATTACGGATGCTAGGACTTAGTGAGTTTTTGGACCACCGCTCTATTTTTGGGCCGCAGTATGTTGATTTATTTTGTGCGGAAAACTCCGTACTTTTGAAGGATGCCTGTCATTCCTGATATGTTGGAGCGCCTTCAATTTCGTATGATACTGTGCAATACCTCTGGTGTGAAATAGTTGCTTCAAGCGCCGTGGCAAGCTGCGGCGCGGCGGGCGGGCAGCCAGCGCGAATAGCGCCTTAGCGCCTACAAACCTAACAGGGATACTTCTCGCATTGCGCCATGCGTGAAGTATCCCAGTTAGGTTTGTAGGCGCTGGTGCGCGCTTATCGCTGGCAGCACGCTGCCCCGCTCTGTGTTATGCTCCAATATAAGCTTGCGGAGTCAGCGTTTTTCAACTCATGATTTTGAAAAGTTTGCACATCCTGTATGGATTATTCTCATTTTAATTGATGAAAAAAAAATATATATTAAAGGAAAATATAATGTGTGTTTTGTGAATATTATGTTGGCTCCGTATCAAACTTAATGATTTCCAAAACGCACGAATTTCTACACAATTTCGTATAGCCTTTTATAGCCGATGGCGATAAAGTGTAAAGCCCGGCGATAGGATCTATAGCTCAGCTGCATACTTTTTTATCGCTTCGTATAGCCCGGCTATGTGATTTGCTCCGCTTTTTACAGCCAGCTATATGATTTTCTATTGCCTTCTTTAGCCGGCTATAAGAATTCCTATGGTATTTTGAAACGCAGCTCCTATCGCCAATTTTTACCAGGGTCTCCATGTTATTAAAGGCGAACGCGACAGGATGAAAGTCCAACAGTGAGGAAAGGAATCAACATGTGTTTTTTTGTTTCTTATGCTTACTTAATCATTATTGTTATTATTTAGGAGTGATTTAAAAATTGACTGCATGAAATGTTCGCTAATTAACACGAGGAATCGTTCCGTGCGAGGTATACGGCTAAACTGCTGGAGGATTTTGAAAAACCATAATCCGACAATTCAAAAAAATCTGTTTGGTAAGACTGACGCGCGGTACTCGCGTCAGTCGAGACAAGTCCGACGATGTATTGCACTTTCATGCCTTTTGCTCCATAAAAAGCATTCACATTTTGATGAAAATATAGTCTACACCACGTCCCACGAGAGATAGTGCTGAGTTTTGGCAGAGTAACCATCCCAAGTAGCAGTGATCGAGAAATTTTCGCATTAAAAAGTGCGATATATGGCGATTAAATCTCTACACATCGCAATTTTCGGTTCGATAAAATCGTGATCACTTTTCGTCGATAGAGTCGAGATTAAATCGCCATTTATCGCGATTTTTATTTCGAAAATATCGCGATGAATTGCCGGGCGATAAAATCGCGATTTTATCCCGATAAGATCGAGGATAACCGCTTAGATGTTGATGATCCTATAGCGATTTTATCGCCGATAAAATTGCAATACATCCCGATTTTTCCGTTGGAACATGCTACTTGGGATAGTAAACACATGACAAGCGACACTAAAATTATTAGAACAGGTATTGCAGCGGGCGCTACGAGATCGATAAACATTTCCCGCCCGCACGCATGTTTATAATCTGTGGCTATCAGGAGGCGGGGCAGCTGGTACGGTTATGATCATCATACTACTGAGCTCAAAATTATATCGAGTTATTACTGCGAGACATTCTGAGAATGCAAAGTTCATTACTCTATTCATCAATGGAGATGATGCATGTGTGAGGGATTTGCGATTTGACCATTGATTCTTATGTAAAAGTTCGCGAGGAACACGATGGTGCCACTGGTTTTCTCTGAAATCATCTCCTCAGCTCAAAAAAAGCTCTCAAAGTGAGGCCAAAATGAAGGGGATATCCCACCCTACCCTGAGAGTCCACGTCTACATCAAGACAAACTCTCCATGCAAAGATAGGGAGCAAATACATTAGCAGGGTTGCCACTTTATTTGGGGACTCCAAAACTGAAAACACGGAAACCCTGCTAATGTATTTGCTCCTTATCTTTGCATGGAGAGTTTGTTTTGATGTAGAGGTGTGGACTCTCAGGGTAGGGTGGGATACCCCCTCCATTTTGGCATCACTTTGAGAGCTTTTTTTGAGCTGGGGAGATGATTTCAGAGAAAACCAGTGGCACCATCGTGTTTCTCGCAAACTTTTACAAAAGAATCAATGGTCAAATCGCAAATCCCTCACACATGCAACATCTCCATTCATTCGTCTCTCCGCGAAATGACAAGCAGTAACTTGGATACAGACGCATGTCGACGGTGTAAGTCGGCAATCACATAACTCGTTTGCGGTGTCTGAAAATCTCCGCCTCTAAGTTATTTTTTTAAAGGAGAACAAATTGTTTTCATTCCTTGAAGTTTTTGCAGAATTTTCTTCGCACAGAGAAGAAAAATCACGGCAATTTAAAGAATTGCCGTTGAGTAGTTTTCCGTTTAAAAAATAAAGTATGATAGGAAGTCTGAGACGTCGCAACCCTGGTAAAAATTGGCAGTAGAATCTGTGTTATAAAATACCATAGACCTACAGCCGGCTGTAAGATTTCCAATAGCTTCTATAGCCGGCAATACAATTTCTTATAGCCTTTTACAGCCGATGGTGATTAAGCAACAGCCTGGCGATAAAGTGTACGCTACATGTTACTAATTACGGATGCTAGGACTTAGTGAGTTTTTGGACTACCGCTCTATTTTTGGGCCGTAGTATGTTGATTTATTTTGTGCGGAAAGCTCCGTACTTTGAAGGATGCCTGCCATTCCTAATATATTGGAGCGCCTTCAATTTCGTATGATAATCTGCAATACCTCTGGTGTGAAATAGTTGCTTCAAGCGCCGTGGTACGCTGCGGCGCGGCGCGGCGGGCGGGCAGCCAGCGCGAAACGCCTGGCGCCTACAAACCTAACAGGGATACTTCACGCATTGCGCAATGCGTGAAGTATCCCTGTTAGGTTTGTAGGCGCCAGTGCGCCGCCGCTCCGCTTTGTGTTAGACTCTAATGTTTAATCTCGTGGAGTCAGCGTTTTTCAACTCATGACTTTGAAATGTTTGCACACTCTATATGGATTATTCTCATTTTAATTGATGAAAAAAAATACGTAGTAAAGGAAAATATAATGTGCGTTTTGTGAATATTAAGGTGATTCCGTACAAACTTAAGGATTTCCAAAGCACATGAATTTCTACACAATTTCTTATAGCCTTTTATAGCCGATGGCGAAAAAGCAACAGCCAGGCGATAAGGTGTAAAGCCCGGCGATATGAACTATAGCCCGGCTGTTTAATTTTTTATCGCTTCGTGTGCCCGACCGTATGATTTTTTCCACTTTCTACAGCCAGCTATATGATTTTCTATCGCCATCTTCAGTCGGCCATAAGAACTCCTATGGTATTTTGAAACGCAGCTCCTATAGCCAATTTTTACCAGGGAAATCGAGTTATGTGATTGCTGACTTACACCGTCGATGTGTATTTTGAAGTAATTATACTGGAAAAAAATTTGCATAAAAAATGCATGTACGCGCGGCAGCTAGCAAATCTCATTCTATAATATCTATAAATAAAATCATAAGTGTAACGTGTAACGCGTATCATTATGCCGTGTCAAATGCTGGATACTTCCGGTGAGTATTTATCAGGTGCTTAATTTTTATTTTGCGCGCAACCAGAGTGTGTTACCGGCGATCAGCTGATGCAACCGGAAATATCGGGTAGGTATTTCCGGTGGAATTTTCCCTTCACGCTACTTTTTTTTTTTTGAGAATGGGAGATGTTATGCATTTTTTGCAAATTTCGTCTGCCTCATTTCGAAATGAGACCTTTTTTCGGTTTTATCGCCAACTTTAGATGGAACGCCCCAAATCTGATTAAGCCGACAACGGGTTTTAAGATTAGGAAGAAAAGTTACATTGGAAAAACGTTTCTGGTCTCATTTTGAGATGAGACATTTTTCGACATTTTCTCCCTGCAGACCAACACTTCAGCTTCGATTGGGCCGACAACTGATTTTGAGATCAGGAAGAAAAGTTATGTCAACTTTAAAAAATTTGTCAATTTCGCGGAATAACAGCAAAATGACAGTGATCTGCCGGACTATAAGGTGCCTTTAAACACGACTAGGGGGTCCATCCCCTTGCCGCTACGCGGCCCAACTTCCAGGGCGCCGCGCGCCCCAAAGGTCACTTCGCGACCAGCGAAATCGTCAAAATCGTCCGTTGGCGATTAATGAGCAAATAGTTTTGATTGAATAACAAAACGATGTTTCAAAGAATAGAGTCCCTTTATACCCAGAGTTAAGACAACTCGATTATCAACTGACCGGCAGCCGGCCTTGGCTGGCCATGGAGGCCGAAACGAAAGCACCCAAACGCACGATATTGAGGGATAAGGATCAGGAATCCTGCGATGTCTGTCATCACAACATCAACAACATCAACAAATTGATCAATTAAAAAGAAAATGAGATTGGTTTGTGAATAATTTCTTAATCTATTCTCATTTTGGACCGATGGAAATGACAATTTACTCTTGATAAACCACAATTAGGTAATATTTTCATTATTCTTGTTCACATTCGAGGTACCGCCATCTTGGTGCACTCGTTTCGGCCTCCATGAGCGAGAACCAATCAGAATTGGATTTTTTTTAGGCCACTTTCAGCCCAACCAGAGCCCAACCAAAAGTGAGTTGTCTTAACTCAGGGTATAAAGGGACTCTATCAAAGAAAAATTTCTCGCCAAACAATATTCTTAACGACTTCCTCCTTACAATGAATTTTGATTCCTTCTTTGGAATTCGCCCTTTGGATCGTCTTACTCTCCTTCCTAACTCCGTCCATCGAGCGTCTTAAAAATGATTTTATTAGAATAGAGACCGATGACAATCGTCCCATCAAAATTCAGGTTGAATACCCAGAGTAGATTGCCGAACCAAAAGCAACAAAAAATTAGAATATAGAGGAGAGAGGATTTGGCGCCTAGAGATAAAGAACGCTAGCCGAGCTGACGTTTCGGGAATTCTTGCAATCGTAACCTCTGGTGTGTCCTAGCTTGTCTCTCGAAAAATTTACCTCTTCCTTGTCGAAAGCCTCAATGGCCCCTAAAGAGTTTTTAGGAGTTTCTCTGTGACTGATTTTGGGGTCAAGTCAGAGCATTTCTGCGAGGCCCTGAAATATTCAGTCTCATAGGGCACTGCCCCGGGTAGCTCACGCTCCGATGTTCGCTGACTTTACTCATTTTCTTCGTTACAAAATCACGTGACCCCGTTCCTCGTTTCGTCTCAACCCTTCATCCCTCGCCGTGGCGCAGTGCTGCCATTTTATACATCAACAGATTCCGAAATAATTCTGATTTCCGGAAACATATTCCGACTTGTCAAAGTTCCGAGAAAAATTCCGAGACACGCCCGGATTTAGTTCCGGAGATCGTCAAATTTGAACAGAAAGTCCCTAAATTTGACCAAATAAATGGTCAAACTAGCGGAAAACCGCAAATTTCAAGGAAATTCCGAAAACAGCGGGAAATTCCGGGGATTCCGAAGATTCCGGGAAAAGTCCCGATTATTTGAAAAGTTCCGAATTCCGAAAATTTCCTAATTTCGAAATTAATACCGGGAAATGGCAGCACTGCCGTGGCGTGAAAGTGCGACTGTCAAAGTTGAAAAGTCCGTACAGGATTAAAACAGCGAGCTCGGATTACGTGGAAATAGGAAGGCAGAAGAGCGGGAAAGGAACGGAGGAGACCCACGGGGCAGAATCGGGTTGGAAATGAATGAATCGTGCTTGTCACGATACGATTTCCTTCTCCCATCTTGTTCTGACTCGGAACAGTTGGTTGATCACAAAGTAAACAGAGGAAGGAGAGGACTACAACCTCACCACGTAACGTTTATCCAGTCAGTAGCTTGCTGAAAGTCGACCCGTCCTCGTGCTCCCCATCTTAAACTGGCCCTTCGCACGCCACATCAATATTTTCGATACCGCACACCACACTGCCGTGACAATTTCATCATTTAAGAAAATTCTTGGATCTCCTCTAAAATTTTATTTCTGACGTGCCGAATTTTTTTCGACACGTTACCTTAGGTTTTTTCCTCCGCCCACCACTGCCTCGCCGAAATTTCGAATTCTAAACAACCTACCTGCACTGAAAAAAACTGGACCAAATATAGCTTGTCCCATTTTCGCTACCGTATTGTTCTTACATCAAATTTAACTGATTTTACGAAAAGGTAAGAGTTTTTCGATTAATTTCTGATATTTTTCTACTATAGTTTTCTTCGCCAGAGCGGCAAATCGACGGCGTAAGTCCGGAATCACATATCTCATTTGCGGTGTCTGAAAATCTCCGCCTATGTTATTTTTTTAAAGGAGAACAAATTGAAAAAAGACATCGCAAACCGATTTATGTGATTGCCGACTTACACCGTCGAAATATTAGGTACTGTCAATTAAACATTTATTCCAAACTTTGGAAAATAAATAAATAGATTGATAAAATGAAAAAATTTGATCCTTTTTTTAAAGTTTTTTTCCTCTCCTTTCATTGGTTTTAAAATGTAAGATGATTTGCAGTTTTATTTTCTCGCGGTAATTTAGCAAAGTTGAGGATATAAATTTACTGCTAATATTTTAAAAAAGAGATCCTGATTTTCCCCGATTATCTAGATTTCTGAATTTCCACTCTCCTTGATCATTTCCTTTATCAACAAAATTGCTAAAATATTCCAATAGGGGGTTTCTAAATGCGTGCTACCTTTTTCGAGTTCAAAAACAGGGTGGCTGAAGCTGAACTATGCGTTTTGATATTTTTGGAATCTAAAATTTTTCACGAGCGCGTTAGTCAGCTAAAAACAAGTTAAGGCTGATCCACACGAATATGCATGGTGTCTGGAACTTCAGTTTTTTCGTTCCCTGATATTTCAATGCTTCGTCCTGATTTTCAAGGGAAAATTTCCCAATGAGAACTGAAAATTTTCTCTCATTTTACGGTGGATTCTTTTGGAAAAAACCATGTTTGTCTTCCACAGGAAAAATCAACTTCTTTTAAAAAAAAAATAAAAAAAAACTCCGATATGTTCAAATTAATTTGATCTCAGAGCAGATACACGAGCTGCCGGTTTTTCCAGTTTCTTGACACCAAGAATGCCACAAGAAAAGTTTTACAGAAGGGTGGAAATTTTAGCACAAGTGGTCCCTGATCGTAATTTATAGCAAAAAAAAGCCGAGGAACCTCAGAAAAATTTTATCATCATCTATTCTTGGTGGTACATTATTTTTCCTAGCGTAGTAAAAATATTAATCCTTTTTGCAGAAAAAAAGAAGAAAAATAAAGGGTCGGCGTTTAAGTTTGCCGTGAGATTCATTTTCAAATTACGACGGGAATAACATGTATTTACATGTTATACCCATATTTACCACCCTTTATTTATAGGTTGTAAATAGCTAGCCGAGGAAAAGGACAGGAGGAAATAAGGAGCTGACAGTTCTTTATCTATTGAAATAGCCCCGGGGCACAAAAAATTGCGCAAAGAGAGAGGGCAGAAATTCCGAACATTAAGTATACAGTAGATGCATGTGCGACATTATATTCATCGTGCTTTCGTCCATTTCCTGCGATAAAGTTTCATTCGAGGCATACTTAACAAAATGATTTGTTTGCAGGTTTTGCGAGAGTTGTCGTGACACTTCGGGATAGGGATAATGTTTACAATATCAAGAATAAAGAAGAAGAAACAAGAGGTTCAAATAACAACTGGAGCTGTTACAACGAACGCTTTGGATTGAAGCGTGACTGAGGATGTTGTGCAGTAACTCTAATAGCATTCATATGATTACTCCGACAGGTGAGTACATGAAGTATTGTGACGACGAATAGAGATTGATCTGTGGTGGTGGTTTCCCAGGCGAGCGTGCATTCCAGATGGAAAATTCAAGACCCTACTATTCAATCCTCTTCGAGGGAGCTAAAGTGTCATACGTTCCAAGTACCAGTAATCGCGATAAGTTGCAATTTGATCGGAGATTGTATTGCGATTTTATCGACGTGGACTTATTGCATTATTATCGAACGTAAAATAGTGATAAATTGAGATAAAATTTCGATTTGATCAAACGCGATTTTATAGAGATAAAATTGAGATAAGATCGAGGATAATGGCTCAGATATTTCTGATCCTGGCGATTTTATCGCTGAAAAATCGTAAAAAAAATCGCAACTTGACTTCAAAATAACACTATTTTCCCGTTGAAAAATAATATTTGGGACACGCTCGAGGCAAATAATTGATTTGCAAAATAAAATATGTCGCGGGATTTTACCACGTGTTCGGGGGTGCCACAAAATACTTAACTCTCTCAAATCATGTTTTCTAAAACGTTTTTACGCAGAGCTACGGACTTAAAATTTTGCGGAAAACACTCGTTTGTCACGTATTGTAGCAGCAGTTGTTAACCAAACCTCATTTTAAAAAAAAAATAAAATAAAAAAAAAATTATATTTTTCAATATTAATTATTCTCCATTCTTTCTAGGTAGATTATTTTCTAAAAAAATTGGAGGAGAGGGAGTCAAAGCAGTGTCTTGCGTAATTCAAAAGGGGGGAGGGAGGTCAAAAAGTCGGCCAAGATGACTTACGTAATATTTAAACGGCCCATAGAAGAACAGTGACATTTTCGCTGTGAAAGGTCTCGAAGACTCTTTTCTACATCTTACTTGGATGCAATTGGAGTTTTTCATAGAAATTACTTTACCATTAGGAAAACATGTTGACAGAAGAATAAATTACCGCTGGTTGTATTAGAAAGCATGTTAATGGCACCAAAAAGCCTCCAGCTGTGCTGAATCCGGAGAGGACGCGCTTGAAAATCATCCCAAGACCTGAATACAACTATTCGTGCTCGATGGATGTCCGAATTGCATACGCACATAATTGAAGGCGCGCTGAGTGTGAGATTTCTCGCACTCTCCATGAACGTTCGTTTCATTGGGCGTGTACCTACAGCGGAGCTTTATACGTCAGCGAAAGGAGCAGTAACGACCGAATTTTCAAAATCGAGTTTTTTTTTAAAATTCTTCTGATCTCGATTCAATTAATTGTATGATTTCATAATGGCAGCATAATTATTCAAAATATTATTCAATTATGCAAAATACGAGGGTTCGGTCCGCAGAGTAAGTTCGCAGATATAGACGTCATTTACGACAATACGTACAATACTTTTACACTCTCCAGTAAAAGAACTATACAGGGTGATCCAAAAGTCCCTTCCACCCCCTTTAACTTTTTACCTAATTGAGGTAAAGATTTGAAACTTGGGGGATGTTCCAAGGTCAAAGGGAGCTACTTTTTGGCCCCACTAAAATTTTCAAGGGGGGCCCCCCTTGGGGGGGGGGCAACGGACCTCAACTTTTAATTTTCAAATAGGAAGACCCTCTTTGTGATAGCTTGTTCGAAAGAGCATAAAAAAAGAAAACTTTTCGCGCAAACCCGAAGTCATATCTCAAACCGTTCCAAAATGGCGGCCGGTTAAAGTTCAAAATGGCCGAAAATTCACACCGGTTATTTGTCGATGGATTTGCGCAAAAATCGGTATGTAGGGGTATTTTGATACGAGAAAAACGAATTTAACGTTAGATTTTCAAAAAATCGAAATTTCCGAAATGGCCGAATATTGTCACCTCGGTTTTTTGCTGATAGATTTGCCTAAAACTTGGAATTTGAGAGTATTTTGGCATTAGATAAACACATTTGAACTTAGATTTCCGAAATAATCAATTTTTGGCCATTTTGAACTTTAACCGGCGGCCATTTTGGAAATTTCGGTTTTTTGAAAATCTAACGTTAAATTCGTTTTTCTCGTGTCAAAATACCCCTACATACCGATTTTTGCGCAAATCCATCGACAAATAATCGGTGTGAATTTTCGGCCATTTTGAACTTTAACCGGCCGCCATTTTGGAACGGTTTGAGATATTGACTTCGGGTTTGCGCGAAAAGTTTTCTTTTTTTATGCTCTTTCGAACAAGCTATCACAAAGGGGGTCTTCCTATTTGAAAATTAAAAGTTGGGGTCCGTTGCCCCCCCAAGGGAGCCCCCCCTGAAAATTTTAGGGGGCCAAAAAGTAGCTCCCTTTGACCTTGGAACATCCCCTAAGTTTCAAATCTTTACCTCAATTAGGTAAAAAGTTAGAGGGGGTGGAAGGGACTTTTGGATCACCCTGTATTCATTGCCGATGTCTGAGGCAAGATGCTATCCTTTTCTGCCGAAGTGCAATCCAAAAATGTGTAAGTTATTTTTTGAAAACTAATCAAACAAGAGTGCAATATATTGCAAGCATGGACAGTGATTATTCAAAATTTTACGAGGAGTGTATTCAATAAAATTTTCTTCTCGAATAGTGCTCGGTCCATTTTTAAACATTATACTTCCTTTAGTTACAAAGCAGAGCTGCAGCCAGCTGCTGCTCCCTTTAAGTCGTTCGGAGAACCTTTCTCTGAAAACGGACACTGAATAATAGTGCATGACGTTCCTTTGAAAATGTTCTTACTCTTTATTTCTTTTATTTTACATTTTTTTAAAGATTTTCTGTGCACGTAAAAACGTTTAAAAATCCCTTAGAGTTTCCGTGTTTCGAGTTTTGTCCACCGGTGCTTACATCTAATCTAGTCTAATCCAACCGCTTTCAAAGAAGACCTTATAGGCAGCAGCTTTCTTTAGCTTTCATATTTTAAGTCATTCATCGAGATTTTTATTTTGAGGGAAAACAAACAAATTGAATTAAGAGCCGTCATGGATACAATCCTGGCTCAGAAAAAAGGGCATTCTCGTTTTTATTTGCAGTTTATGAGGAAAAAAAGGAGGACGGGAAAAGGGGCAGCAACCAGTGGCGCGGCGTACTTTGCGATTTATCGATTGTTATGCCATTTAAACCTATGGAAAAGGATCGATAAACAGGGTGTTCGCACCGAACACCTTAATAATCGATTATTTACCGTAGGTTTAAATGGCAGAACAATCGATACATCGTAATTCACGCCACGCCACTGGCAGCAACCTAGGGTCTCAACGCCTTTCCTTCCGAGTTGTGTAAAAGAAATCAGGAAGCCACTCGAATTGTCAGCGACTATACCTCGTGTGGATAAGTTCGAATGTTTTTAAATTCCTAATTAGCACGCCGATAGAAAATTTACACTAATAGTATGTGATTATGATAAATATAAAAGACACGAAAAGGGGAAAGACTGTAAGAGAGCTAAATATAATTGATTACCACGAAATTTCAATGAAAATCCAGCACTTTCCTTTAAAACTCCATTATCGGTGTTTGCACTGTTCTGCCTGGCTGAAAAACTTAATGCGCCCACAGTCTGAATGCTTATTTTTTTAGTATTGTGGTTTGTTTTTACTTTTCGAGGCTCTCTGCGTTGCCAGCGATTTGAACCGAGCGCGGCCGCAGTCAGCGCAATGTATCATCCCACGCGACGCGACGCAGCAAACCAAAGCGCCTTCAGGTTTTAGCATATGCAACGCGGACATCCCTGGAGCACGTTTAGTTGCATGACCTAAGTCTTCCGTCCCGTTGTCGCATCGCGTCGCGTCGTTAGAATCCTATACCTCTTCTTTCGCGGACTTCCTTCCCATTTCTCCTCTCATCAGGACCTCTATAATTGAATTGCAGGGGTCTTTTTCTTTTTAAACACTGATCTTACAGTCTCGGATGTTTTAGCTCTTGGCATGGAGAACTTTAAAAAAGAAAGAAAAACACTAAAATTCATAAAGTCGGTTTTTATGATAAATAACTGAATTAAAGTTCATCAAGTACATAGATAGAATGATTCTAGAGAGATTTTCATCTTTATAAACTTGTAAATAACTGATAAAGCTAAAAATTCATATCTGATCAATTAAAATTAACAAATCAGTAAACTAAAAGATAAAAATCAGATATGACTTGACATTAGAACCGTATAACTCCTGACACACGTCAGACGATACGAATTAATAAAAATCAAAAGGGGGAAAAATAGGGAAAAAGTAGAATGGGCTTTGATGGGGTAATCATGCGATTGCCAGTCTGATTTTTCTTAAATTGCTGCCAATTATTCGAGGTTTTATTGATTAAACTGGTATTTTGGGGCTCAGAACTTAAGCTTTAGAGTTTCAACGAGTTTAAGTCCGTGAGTTTTGAAGAAACTCCTCGGAAAAGTCTCCTATGCTTTGCTGATGGGCATGTTTTCGTGTACTTCAACTCGCATGACCAATCAGAAAATGGAAAATCACCTCTTAGAATTTTCTCATGCAGAGATTCCGGAACGCATACTGCGTTAAAAAAGAGATCATTTTGAGATTGGTCGATCACTTCTCCGCGTGAGAGCGACTTACAAGTACCCACTTTTACCCTAGGTTACTCTTGCAAAGCTATCGAAAACAGAGACAAGAGACCCTCCATCAGTATCTTGGCAATGGTGGAAGCTTTTACTTTCGGAACTTCAACATGCAACTGTTGACCAATCTACTTGGTTGATGGTTAACAACGTGTCATATTATATCGTATTATAGCCGATATCAGACGGTCAAAGTGGAGCTCTCAAAGTGGCGTCACGTAAGGTCACGTGACCCTCAAAGATGCTCGGTCCGAGAATCTTCGGCAATAAAGGGTCACGTGACCCGACGTAACGCCATTTTGAGAGCTCTACTTTGATCGTATGATACGGGCTTTTCGCAAACTTACCGAAGTTTGGGAAACTCGTTTGGTTCATGACACCGCCCGAAGCTCATCATCCACCGACCAGATAAGTCAGCAGCAGAAAAAAGAGTGATGACTGGTGCTCCCTCATAAATTGTTCATAAGGAAGTGTTGAATCCCTGAGAGTAAAAGCTGCCACCTGTCGCAAAGAGGCCAGTGGAGGGTCTTTTGTCTCTGATCGAAAACGCGATCCTAAAACCCGCGCAGCTGATCCGTTGTGTGGCTTTGTGTTGGCAGATGAATGGTTTGAGCTTGAACTAGAACGACCGACTGGAAGATGCCCGGTCGCTGGGAGTCCTCGGGCAGACCGCTGTTCGTCCGGACCGTCTGGATCAAGGGGATCCGCCACGTGGTGCTCTCCAAGAACGACCCCCTCCTCCGCGAGATGGTGCAGGACATCCCGTTCCGCGCGGGCCACGTCTCCGCGCCGACCTCCGAGCCCGCGATCTCCGCGCCGTCGATGACATCGGCTTGCTCCTCGGCGCTCACCTCGTCCACCGAGCCGCTCCCCGAGTCCTTGCTGAACCGGTGCCAGAAAATCGAGCAAGAGCCGGTCGACGAAGAGGACTCTCCCAAAACGAACAAGGTCAAAAAGTATTCCTTGCTCGGACGAACGCGGTGGGGCGAGTCGGCGCGGGGCCGGCAGCTCTTCCTTCCGATCGACGAGGCGCCAGCGACGGTGGAGCTGAACCCGCTCTCGGACCGCGTCATGAAGTGGCTGGACCTGTCGGGGAAGAGCCTCCTGGAGACGACGATGGTCGACGAGCAGGAGAAGGGGAAGCGGTGGCGGGGCGGGAGACACGTGAAGAAGTTCGTCAAGAACCGGAGCGCGAGCTTGAACATTATCAACACGCAGTACGACATGACGTTGACGGCCGACATGAGGATCGAAGGCAATCCCCAGCAGAAGCACCATCAGACGATCCAATTCGAACGGAACGAGTCGGAGAAGGATATAGGCGCCAAGATGGGCAGGGTCTACGAACTGAAAAGGAGCAACTCCGTCATCCCGCTCCCCGTCTCGCCCGATTGTCCCGAGCCGTGTCGACCGACCACGACCGACGTTGTGACGAAAACCAAGCTTCACGTTTTTGTTCCGCTCATCACTGAGATCGACTCCCTCTCCGAAGAAAACGAGGGGTATTTTTAAGTGTGCTTTAGGGATCCTATACTGCCGTGCTAAGGAAAAACGCCGTACAGGGTTGTTACAGAATTTAGAAAATGAAATTCCCTGACACTTCCCTGACACATTTTGGTGGAATTCCCTGACAACTGAAGATGTGACGGATGGTTAAGAAAGCATAACTGAAAATAGTTTTCAGGCATTTGTTGTTCAAAATCTCAACCCTATTCTAGAAAGCAAATGAAGGTGATTTAACACATTTTCCCTGACATTTCCCGGTTTTCCCTGACTTTTCCAAATTCCCTGACGCTTCCCGGTTTTTCCTGCCTGTGGCAACCATGGCCGTATGAGCATTCGAGAGTAGCCGAATTTCCTTCCATAAAATGTATATTTTTGCGGAAAGTTATGCATATTTTTCCTTGAGATTTCCTGATGTTTTCGATAAAATTGTGAACAAAATCGCCTGGAAAATTGGAGGAATATTATCCAACACTTTTCTCGTGGATTACTTTTTAATAAAGGCAATATAGCAACGCCTGAAGGCTCATATGGCGTTTTTCCTTAGCACGACAGTATAATAGGAATACATCAAGGCCTAATTTTTTCGGTCCTCCCACCGTACTTTGATATACTTGGATTGCATTTTGCAAAAAGGAACCACGAGCATTGCAATGTTGCTAAGATTGTGCAACCTCTTTTGTCTTGGAAAAAAGAACCTGACTATATCCATTGACAGTTTCTATTTTACTTGCTAAAAACTGTGAATCTAAGATAATTACCATGTAAATTTTACATGTGTTCATGATTTCAGCTATTATTTTGACTGCAAAGGATTTGCAATACTTCTGGTTCCTTTTTGCAAAATGCAATTCACTTTGGACGAGTCTCGACTGAAATAAAGTCCGTCTTAGCGCTTTTGATGGACCATTGGTGCAGTTTGAACTCATTGGTGGATGTTGCACCTCCTCTGTGTGAGAGAGCCGATAAAATTCGGCCCCTGGCGGGAAAATGACTTGAATTTACCGTCGAGAAGATTATTATCTTGATTACCTGGTGCCAGCAACTTTTTTCCTGATAAAAACATCTTTTCTGTTAGATTCAAGAGAAATTTCTTCCTGACGGCGAATTCAAGGATATTCCAGTCTTAAATAAGCCGCTTTTTTCCCCGCGTATTATTGAAAAAATTGCTTCAAAAGCTGCCCAACTCGAAGAAATGAAATGTTTTGTTGTTTATTTTTTCCCATTTTATGGCTTTTTTTTTTCAGAATGGGCCTGTTGCATGCAAGAGATACAGCCGCGCGAATAGACTTTTTAGAGGTTAAATGACACGAAAATTACGATGGTCACATTAAAAAAGTCTGAAATACACTCCTTACTGCGCAATTTGCGTTGTTAGGAACGTGCTTTTTCAAATTTCCCGCGTCTGGGGGCAGTTTGCTAATCATCGGAAACGAGCAAACGGCGGGCTTCGGTGATTTCCGGAAGATGCCGAGTCGTTGTTGTTGTTGTTATTTTTTCCTTCAGTTTGTTTCCAACCCAACGTGATCTCTCATAGTGGTCCATATACGCGTTATGCGGTAACCAAATCGATCAACTTTTAAATATCCAACGCAATCCTTTACATTTCATTTCACGATATCACGAGCTCCGATTTTTAGGTTATGTTGTCAGTTTTAGTTGACCGGAAATAGCCTTGAGTTACCGTTAATTGTTTCCGTTAGAAAACTGCCCCCAGACGCGGGAAATTTGAAAAAGCGCGTTCCAAACAATGCAAATTGCGCAGTAAGGAGGGTATTTCAGACTTTTTTAATGTGACCATCGTAATTTTCGTGTCATTATGACTCTAAAAAGTCTATTCGCACGGCTGTATCTCTTGCATGCAACAGGCCCATTGGACACTTTCCGAAACAAGTTACTTGCTCCAGTTTCTGATGTTGCGATTTAGTCTTAAATGATCTGTCAGTCTCAAAACATACTATGTAACGATGCAAAAATGAAATAAAGTTAATGTTATGAATAAAATTGTCATATATTATTTCGATGGAAGGTGGAGAGGCGCTCTTTAATCACTGCTTCATCTCGGCTGAGATTGCGTTTTTTAATAAACTCCTTTTTTGAAAGAGGGATCTCAAATGCAAGTGGTTAGATCATATACGAGACCGCCTAAAGGATTATATTTTCTGGAAACTTGAAAAGTTTTTTTTCGAAGCAGGCAATTCCCTCCTCTCTTCCCTCCAGTTGTTTTAATGATACACAATTGAGTTTAAATTTGCACAAGCGGGATCGTTATTCCTGCGTTATTCGTTATTCCTAATAGTTTTCCGTAACCCACCATACATCACTCAGAATGTTTTCGACTTTGCTGCCACTGAAGGACAGTTACTAAAATACGGAACACTTTATGGGGGAGGGGAGGGGGGGTCGAGGAGAGCGTTACGCCATATTGTTTTTACCTATTGAGGGATAGGGGCCCGCGGAACAAAAGCGTTACGGGGGGGGGGGGTGTCGAAAAATCTGAAATTTAATTTGACGTATTTTATGAACGGCCCCTAATAATAGTGTATACCTAGCGCTATTGTTACAACTAATTTAAAATAATATACGGGCCATAATTAAGTATCCCCCCCCTATTTACACGTAAACAGTAGATAGATTTTGGGGCATGTATTACAATAAAAAAGCCTTCACTGCAGCAAGCATGGGGTCGATAAATTGATGCGTGAGAAATTAGTGAGAAGTTTCCTCGTAATAACCTAAGCATTGAACATTGGCCCGGAAGTTCGGTCGGTGGTATTGCCTTCAGGATTTATTGGATGCTGCAATGAACATTGATTTCAGAAACTCACGGGCAAGAATTCAATATGAAATTTCACTGAAAGTAGTGTTTGCATATAAACTCGAGATTCCACATTGCACGTGCCTTTCTTCATCAAGTAGCGAGGAATTTTCAGTTGCGAAATTACTGGGAGCCTGATGAACTTGGCGAGAGCAACAGATAGTTTCGAAAGAATTTAATCTAATTCTCTCCGAGCGGGTAATTACGTGATTATAACTACGAGCACGCTAACGTTGAAGTTCAGCGTGTTTATTACGAATTTCTCACGTTTGGATTTGCCAACACCATAAGAAGATAAGCAACATGTTACAATGCATTTAAGCTGTTTTCAAACGAGAGCTCTTAAAACAAGGGTAATAAATTAGAGATAACAACATAACAAGAGTGATTTTTGGATACTTATTATAAAGGCGCCTTGTCACCTTGGCGATACAAAATAAAACGATAAATCGTCGATTAAAATTCACATTTAACTTCCAAGAGGAGGGGAATAAGTAAATAAAAATATTAAAAACTCGCGGACAAGTTCTAGAAACTACAAGATCCCATTATCAGGGGATCCCGTTATCCCATTATCCCATTATCACGGTTCACAGGCTAGGCCGCACTCCGAAACATAATTTGTAGTCGAAATTTTGATAGATATGATAGATACGATAGCTTTTTTCAAATCTACTAATGAATTGGAGATTAGCATGTACGAGTTATAGGTTTTTGCTCATTATAGAAACAACATATGTAAGTGCCATTCGTTTCCTTATGCAATGGGCACTTTTACGGATAAGTCAAGATCAGGGTCGGACTGACCGTAAGGCCAATCTGCCATTGGCAGATGCGCCCCCCTCAGTGCGCTAAAGGCGCGCCCCTCTTCCGGCCGCTAGAATAATAGTAAAGAAAATGAAGAAAAGAAGCAAAGAAAAAAAGAAAAAAAGAAGAAACAAAGGAAAAAAGAAGAGGAAAAAGGAAAGAATAATAAATAAAAAGCAAGGAGAAAAGAAAATAAGTAAAGAAAAAATGCCTAAAAATTATAAGTAGGTAAACGGGAGAAGCTTTAATACTTAGGAGTTGATTACTGAAGAGCCCCATTTCCCCAAAAGAAGCCGTGTATTTTTGGAGGAAATAAGGGGCGAAAAAAAATTGAAGCAAACGCCATACGCCATACCAATTCTACGTAACTTTTTTTCGTAGAATCTATATCTGAAGTCAAGACGTACCACCCTTGCCATTTGAAATTCAATCAAATTCCAAAATTTTCCTCTGTAAGATTAATCGACTTTGAACCTGAAAATATCGTCGTCAAAATTCTACTTAGAAGAGTTTGTTTTTTAAAAAATTCCGGCCCCTCCGAGAGAGGGGGGATTGTTCCTGCATTCTCCTGAGCAAAATATCACATTGCGCCCCCTTCGCCGGCTAAGGGTCTGCGCCCTCAGAGGTGCGTCAGTCCGACCCTGATAGTGGTTTCTTCTTGCGGGGAAAAAATTCTTAAGTCTTCATCTGAAAATAATCTCTTTATCTATTCTGCTGTGCTAAGAGAGAACACCGTATGAACCTTCAGGCGTTGCAAAATTTCCTTTGATAAAATCAGGGCCGAATAAAGGGGGTGGACACATGGACCGCGGCTCATGGCGGCAAATTTTGCAATCTTTTTTAATGCAGGTATCAAAAAAAAGAGAGAAAAAAATCGGATTCAGGAAAGAAATTACAAACGAGAAAAGGCGACAAAATCTCTCATTGCCTGAGAGTAAAAGTATAGTAATTTCTAAATTTGTCGTCTTTCGGTGATACAAGAGACAACACCTTTAATTGGTCGAGTTAAGAGGAAACCAAATACGCAATTTGACCAGGAGTGGAGCGGCGCAGAGAGCAATGATGACGAGGACTGGGATGGAAAGGAGATACCCTCGGCGCGGCGGTCGGCATGAAACGCATAGCGCCTACACGCCTGCATGAATACTTCACGCATTGCGTCAAACAGTGCGGTCAGCAGCGGTCGGCGGGAGACGCATAGCGCCTACAAGACTGCATGAATACTTCACGCATTGCGCCAAACACAGTGCGGACGGCGCGGCGCAGCGGCGGAAGTTATGTTTGTTCTTTCATGATTTTTTCGTTCATTTCTTATAAATGGAAGGCCTAGTCCAAACAGGGATAGGTTCACAGAACTTAACTTTCGCGCAAAGTTCCATGAACTTTTGTTATGGTTTTGACAGGGCTTTCACAAAAAATGTGCCCAGCACGAGTAAACGCGTCTCATACACCCCTCCCCC